ACCATCGAGACAACTGTCCCGATGGTTGTTGAACTCGCAGGGCATACTGTAGTGCCGCATGATCTGTGCGGACGGTGAAATGCCGACCGTACAGATATGGGCGATACTGTTGGATGAAATAGACAATTGCCAACAGTTCCCTACGGGTGACACAATATCTTTGCTCCGCAGGAGACAACACCCGACTACCGTACGCGACCACTCGTTCCACGCCATCAACCACCTGGGAAAGCACACCCCCAATACCCGTGTTGCTCGCATCGGTGTCGAGCAAAAAGGGCTTAGAAAAATCAGGGTAAACCAAGGGAGGGGCTTTTACCAGGGCGTCCCGAAGGGAGCAGAAAGCAGCCTCCTCCGCTTGACCCCAGTGGAACCGAACCCCTTTAGATGTTAAAGCGTGCAGGGGTTTGGCAATTGTCGCAAAATCAGCGACGAACCGTCGGTAATACGACGCGAAACCAATAAAACTCCTGACCTCTCCCACCGAGGTGGGAGTCGGCCAGGAGCTGACACACTGCGTTTTGGCGGGATCGGTAGCAATACCTGAGCGTCCCACGATGTGCCCCAAATAACGCACCGAATCGCGCAACAAATGGCATTTTTGGGGTTTGAATTTCAAATTAGCAGCCCGCATCTTTAGGAAAACCGCCCGCAACCTCTGGAGATGTTCGTCAAAAGTTTTACCAAAGACGATAACGTCATCCAAATAAATGAGGCACGACTCCCATTGCAATCCAGCCAAAACCAATTCCATCAAACGCTGGAAAGTTGCCGGCGCTGAGTGTAAGCCCATCGGCAACCGGTTGAATTGGAACAGGCCGTGCGGTGTACGGAAAGCAGTTTTAGGCTTTGAATCATCGTCCAGAGGAAGCTGCCAGAATCCCGAAAGTAAATCGAGTGTGGAAAAGAATCGCGCTCCCGCCAAGGCGTCCAGCGATTCATCCATCCGAGGGAGCGGGTATGCGTCGGCAACCGAAATTTTGTTAAGGCGCCGAAAATCAACGCAAAACCGCAACGATCCGTCCTGCTTTTTAACCAGGACAATCGGCGCTCCCCAAGGGCTGGTGGAAGGAGAAATGATGTCGGCGGCCAACATGTCATCAATAGCCGATTTGACATGGTCCTTTTCGGCGGGACTCAACCGAAACGGATTTTGGCGAATTGGCGCGCTGTCACCCGTGTCAATATGGTGACGCAGCAGGTGAGTACAACCCAAATCGTATTTATTCCGACTAAAAACGTCGGAAAATTCCCGCAGTAGTGTTTTAAGTTGTTGACGCTCTGAATCTGACAGGTCCGTCGATCCCGCACAAAGCGCCTCGAGCCACCCTTCATCGCTGTCCGAATGCGGTCACGGCGCAGGGACAACGCTGACGTGATTTGTGACGGTTTCCTCACATGGCACCGGCGTTGCGTGAGCAAGCACGGTTCCCTGTGGGACCACCACCGTCTGCGAGCCCACATTGAGGATCGCGAGGAAGGGTTCACCGTCCCCTCTTACTATGGTCTGGGCCGGAAGTAAATGAGGTCCACTAACCCCGGCCCTAGACGGCCCCAGCAGAACCCCTTGGGCCGCAATACCCTTAGCGAAGGGTCGCCGAAGTTTCAAGGGAATCAACATTTGTGCCCCCGGAGGGACGCGCACCGTTCTCTCTACGAATGCCGGCACCGTCGCGAACGCCGTCCGAGTCGTAACGGGTGATGGCAAAAACGCCATGCGTCTGCCCGACGGGAGCTCAATGCATCCCTGGTCGATTAATATCCTAATCGGCATTTTGGCCAGGAAGTCCTGTCCCCAGCAGGCACGGAACCGCCAGCGAGGAGGAAACAAAAATCGGCCCAGACAATTTAATTTCCCCAACACAAATTTGGGCCCGAATTTGTCCGATGATGCCAAGTGAGCCCCCGTTAGCCGCATAGAATGGTACGTTAACAGGCATCAAAGGACGGCTCTGGACAGGGAGAATATTGTAAATTAACTCCGAAATAATGGTCGCCGATGCCCCCGTATCGACCAGGATGCGCACCTCAACCCCGTCGATGTGCCCCACAACGGCCGACGACCCCGACGATGCGGCTACCACACGATCGGCCAGCACGGACCACTGGCCGGGTTCGATATGAGTACCCAGAGTGGTGCGTGATGGTGCGATGGTGCGCGATATCGGCCCCCCTCTCGTTGCGGTGTTTGAATGCGTGACGGGCGTGTGCCAAACATGTGGGGTGCCGCGACTCGCCGGGTTATGATGGTGGAGCTTGTGATGAGGCCCGTCGTCCCGTTGAGGTGTCGTCCCGCGCTGACGAGGAGAGTGGCACCCCGAGGCGACGTGGCCCCGGACGCCGCAGTTAAAACAACGCGGGAGCGCCGTCGGAGGTTATGGATGGTCGGAACGGCCCGACCCGTCCCGGCCCGACCGTGCTCCCGTCGCCTGTTGCCGTCGGTGGTCGACGGCGTAGAGCTCCTCCGTCGGAAGGGTGGCTGCAGCCACCGCACGCCCCGCCGATGCCCTGCTGGCTTTCCGCCGGAGCGACAGGAGGTTGGCGTGGAGGAGCCTTGCCGCCTGGAGCGATGTCATCTCCGCGTCCTCCTGCGCGACGACAGCGATGTCAAGGTCGTCTGCCAGGAGGAGGATTTTCTCCGTGACCATAGCGTCCACGCCGTCGTCGTCCATACGAGGGAAGGCCGACTTAGCCATCGCCAGGAGGCTCGTCCGGTATGCTAGGGGCGACTCCTTCTCACCCCGCTTGCGGTCGTAAAATTGCTGTCGGCATTCAGCTGATGGTCCATAGACCCCGCCCAGCTGCTGTAGCGCCATCGGTAACGTAGACCGCTTCTCTCTCGGCGCCGATGTGAGGGCGGCGAGCGCGTCGCCGTCGAGGAGCGCCGGCAGCGCGCAGAGAGCCTCCTCATCGGACCATTTCGCCATCTCCTGATGGGCGAGGAAACGTCGGCGAAAACCGGCCCAGTCTCCCTCCGCGCCGATGAACTCCTTCAGCGGGGGCAGTCTCTGATGAAGCGCAGCGGTTGTTGTAGACTCCCGCCGGCTGATGTCACCACCACTCGGCTGTGCGTCGGTGCGAACGGCCGATGGGATCGCCTGTCGCGGTTGTGATGATGCACCCTCCGGCGGTGATGACGCTGCAGCTCCAGCGACGGCGATGTCGGAGCGGATGTTCAGGCTGGCCACGCCCTGAACAGCTGTAGCGTCGATGGCGGGAATTTCAAATTCGGACTGCTCCGAAATGGCGGGAAGGCGCCCTGGTCGTTGGCTCGCCTCGCCCCGTGTTGGATCACCGGTCCCCAATCGCGTGATGGTCTCCAGCGTGGCGGCAGCGGCATACAGCAGCTCCGCCAGCCTCCCGTGAGCCAGCCGTAACGCGTCTGGCTGCGGCCCCTCTTCATTTCGATGCCCCGGTAAGGAGGCGTCAGGCCCCAGCTGCACCATGTCTTGTGGAGCCGTCTCGGGCTCGACGATCTCGGCAGTGTCTTCCTCCTGCGGTACTTTGGCCCGCGCTGTTTTCCGCGTGTCCATGTTCGAATTACTTCTGACACCAGTTGAAGTACCGGTGAGGACGCTTGACGCCGAGGTTGAGGCACACGTATATTTATTTCACAATACGACAGTGGGCATATACACACTCGAGGGGGTATCGGCCCCCTCACCCGTATAACTCGGGATACACCCCTAGCTAACTCTGTCCTAGCCCCGAATCCTCCACTAATGGGCTAGGGGAGGCTAACTGGCCCGACACTGGTAAGTCGGGCCCGGTACCCGGAGTTCCAGACCAGCTCTTACAAGAGCACCGGCTCTGGCTTTCGGGACCACGCCGCTGGCTCAGTCCTGTCCGGCCCTGAAAAGGACATCGAACTAGGGGAGTCCAGGGCTCTATCTAAGACGTCTTCAGTCTTCTTCCCTTAGCTTAAACATAACTGACTCGAGCCCTTTGAACATCCCCTTTTATACCCAACCCCTCCCTGAGGGGTGGGGCCCCGGGGGATCATAACGTTGGAACCAGCCCCCCCCAGGGTGTCTGGCTCGGACGTCGTAGAGGGCACCTCCTCGTGCACTTACGTAGCCCCGCCCACTGTGTTTGTTTTCCATAGGCTGCCATGCATAACGGGCCCTCTCTTTAACACCCCTACAAATGTATACATGGAAACAGCGGGGCAAGCGAGGCATTGTGGGTTTTCCCATGATGCCCTGTGGCCTAAATATATTCCACTTTAGCATGTCGTGCTAACATTAACAAGTTTGGGAAAGTCATCCCTACGCAGGGATTATGTAACGCTTTCCAACATGCGTTTGTACTCGGAGGTATTTAATTACCAGTGCCGAAGCCGCCTGTTAGCGGTCAGGGCAAATTGTGTTTCCATTTTGGCACAGTCCTTTGTGGTCTTTGTTTGTTTGTCCAGGGTTTGTGCAGCTCTGATCAATTTGGACAGTTTTTCAAAAGGCTAACGTCAGAACTGATGCATACACACTTTCATTCTGAGTTTGAAAGTGTTAATTATTGATGGCAATCAAACACTTGATGGCAATTATGATGGGGAGCAGTGTAGAAAAGTAACAGATACTGAACACGTACTATATAGTGAGAAGTACGGCATTTGTTGAAGAGTTTAATTTAAATGGTATATTTGGCCCGAAGTGTAATAAACAGTGTATTGTTTCTTAGTACTCAAGCCCACGTATTTTTTGATAGTGATACATTGTACACGGCACTCTCAAAGCATTCAGCAGCAGTTTGAGAATGCATCTTGTAAACTCTTATATTATACCTTCGATCGCGCTGTTTGTTGCTGGCCGCTTGGTGGTATGGGCCTTTGGGCCTGTGTGCTCGGCAACCGGGATTTAAAATGTCGCTTGGATCTGTCGCGCAAAAAAAAAGTGACAACGAACCTCAAATGCCCGTTGTTTGGTTCGTCGGTGGTTATCGATTTGAAGGTACGCTTTCACCCGTCATCGTCGTCACCCCCCCCTCCCCCTTGTGCATCGCAGTCCCAGAAGTGGCACCAGGGAGGCGAGCACTTTGGGCGAGCGTGGCAGCCGGGCGATGTGGTGGGCTGCCTCGTGGACCTGAACGACCGCATCATGATGTTCACCCTCAACGGCGAGATCATGCTGGACGACTCGGGCTCCGAGTTTGCCTTCAGCGAGCTGGACATCGGCGAGGGTAAGTTTGAGAGCCATATTCTGAATTTTTATTTTTTATTTTACCAGGTAAGGCCAACTAAGGCTACCTAGCTCTGTTTCAGAAACGACCTGGCTATCACAAATGGTAGCCCAGTGAAGTGGCGTATCGTGTGGAAATGTTTAGTAACCTGTGACCGTCGACACCAGCCAGGTAATGCACACCGCGCGGTAAACTATTACAGAAACTATGTTTTAGTTTACCAGGTAAGGCCCAGAAGCGACGTGACCACAAATAATAGCTCGACGAAGTGGTTTATCATCACGTGGAAATGTATAGCGGCCAAATACTCTTTGACGCATGTTTCTAAATGTGGGAATAACCGGAGAAAAATCCAGTGAACCACGGGGAGAGAGACAGGCAGATTCCAAATATACAAGCGTCAGGGTCAAGATCCAACCCACGACCTCCTGCATACCAGGCGAGGCAGTTGACATCTCGCCCCCACCGAATTTGACCTCAAGGAAGCTTGTATGTGGGACTCTCCACTCGCAGTCTTGTGGTCGCGAGCTCACATCTCAGTCTCGAAAGCACGAGTATCACGTGTGAAGGCAACAATCGTTGTTCCGTGGAGAAATTGTATTGTTTGTTAAATTTCCACCATGACTATGAGTGCCCACCAGTACCAATTTCAACATGCACACGCATTGAGATAAACGTACGATACAGTTTGGATTTACACAGCTTCTAAATGCAACTACATCGAAAGACACTGTACAGAATAGTGAGACATAGGCATGCTAGAAAATTTTATAAATGTCTTTTTTCATTTCTTATCGTGAAATAGATGTTCAGGCAGAGGGAAAAGGAATGACTTGAGCCGCACGCATGGAGTGGACAGCATGGATGGCTGAAGGAAGGGAGTTCCAGAATGTGGAGTGCAGAGTGTGTGGAGGGGCGTAGAGTGAGATGATATGAGAGATGTAGGCAGGGGCCAGTCCATGGAGGATCTGGAAGACTATGAGTGTGATCTTGAAGTTGGTCCGTGATTGCATGAGGAGCTTACTAAAATCACATTTCCCCTGTTGATGAAACCCAGTACAGTCCGTCTGCCATTATTCTGCCATTCTTGTGCCATATGCTACCAGCAGGCTCCTTTTGCTATTATTTTTCAGTGACATTAATCTCCTTTGTCACATTGCTGCAGTCCGTGGGCGCTAATGATCTTGCGTTACTTTTGACAAGTGTGGTACATTTCTGGATACAAAAAATGTCCCGCACATATTGTTTTTTGATCACGCATTTGTAGAGGATGTAAAGTCCTCTACGTTTCACCACTTGCACTTCTGGAAAGACTGCTCAATACCACAGTACTACCTGATCAGTTAACATTAGTATCTAAAGGGCTAACCGTGCATCTCTGTCACCAGCACTCTGTCTCTGTGTAATATATTTGGAGATGGCCATAAAATATCTATGGGTTGATGGTAAACATCTACAATTGCACTAAATTGGTCCTTGAAGCATGGTTTATATTTACTTAAGAAGAAAATCAATTTTATTTCATGTAAGGCATTGTTTAAGGGACATTACTTCATGCTTTATGCTTGATTTGTCTGTTTTAAAAGTGTATGCAAACAGTGCTGGTTCCAGTCAGTCTGGCCTTGGAGGATTCTAATGGATTGTCCATTTTCAGGGCAACTGATGGGCAAATATAATTTGACGATAATGTCGTTTTTCCAAGAAAGTGCCACTGAATCTCGAATAATGTTTTACTTTGGGATCCGTAGATAATTCATGTTTCATTTGTTTGCCTACAAAAAATGCTTTCAGGATTTTTCGATTTAAAGCTTTCGTGACTGCAGGGATTCATCTTCTTGGTTCTTTCGGTAAAGTCACGTAGAATGGAAATAATAAAATAAAAAAAATAAAACATAATAAAATAATTCTCACGACGTTTCGGCCACAAAGCAAGCAGCCGTTGTGGCTGCCCACTGAGAGTCAAGCAGCCGTTGTGGCCGAAACGTCGTGAGAATTATTTTATTATGTTTTATTTTTATTATTTTATTATTTCCATTCTACGTGACTTTACCAAAAGAACCAAGAAGAAGCTTTCAGGATTGTTTTTAAATCTCAACAATTAAAGTCCTTTTCTCCAAAAATGTCAGTCTTTCCCAGCTCCATTGAATTTGGGCAGTGCTCATCTAAATGTATGTCTCTATGACTCTGATTTGGGAAATTCCAACCATGTTTGATGGGGGGCCTGCCCTTCCATAGGACAACCACCGTTTACTTAAAAAAATATAAGTTACTAATTTTAGTAACCCCAGAGAGATAATGGCATTGAGTTGATGCCCTCGTCTGGGATTTCAATGCGTATTCCTTGTGCCCTAGCCGTAGCACCACCCTTGCTGGTTCTGTTTTACTCGATTAAATAACTTTGCGTTTTACTTTACTGGCAAAAAACCCAAAACATCTGCTGTGTTGTTGTAGCGTTTCAAAATAAACGTCGTTTCACTGGCACATGCAGTTATGCACTGGCGCGTCGGTTTGGTGCCATTTGCAAGGCCATGTTCTGAAGAGAGAGCGAGAGAAAATAATAACTGAAGTGGCCTGTGGTGACGTCTTCTATTAGTCATCGCCTCACACCTCCAGGAAGCGGACGATTTAATCTGTGCTGCCCACTGAGAGTCAGGCCATGTGCCTGCTGGAGCCGCGCGAGATGACGTCCGCGCGTTGCGCGTGACACCGCTCTGGAAGCGATAAGCTGCCGTGTCCTGACTGCAGTGCGTCACTACCGAGATTGCTGCTGCTGCTGCTGCACCTCGCGTGTGTGCATGACCTTACAGAGTCATTCTTTGTTCGTTTTGTTCAAGGCAGCAGAAGACAGCTTCCTGCCTGTTTGTCGTCGGTGTAGCAGACGGTGCTAATATGCGAGCTGTACGCGCCGGAACTTGTGCTTGTCATCACCGATGATCCAAATTGGCGTGATATTAATCCGGGTGGCATTGTGGCAGTCGACCCAGGATTGAAAGGATTTGAGTTCATAATACTGATTGGGATTTGTCTCATTGTTCGTCCAGAGTTAATAAAAATGGGTGCAATGCTTTTGAACGTTAAAAGCGTTTGTCCTATCGATATACTGGCCCCTGCCATAGGGATATGGAATGTATACCACTGGCTCAGGCCTACTAACTGAAACAAGCACCCTGCTTTAGCAAGGTGCTGCACTCTTTTTCAAATAATAAATTCAGAGTTGGCAATGCTGTTAGACTTTGTTTTGATTTCTCCGAGCCGTGAAAATATGCAGTGAGTTTCACGTGCATGATGTGCATCACGTTTAGCTGATTAATATAAGCCCACTGATTTGTATGTGCTGAAAAAAACTAGACAGTTTAATGATAAGCTGAATGACAGTCGTCATGCCATTACTTTTTCGAATTGTATTTGCATGGTGAATATTATCCATAATACAGGTTTTACTCAGAGGCGCTTGACAGCCTAAACCGAATGTTTCTCCATCTCCGTTGGACGAGCCCCCATGTCCATCTTGTCGAGTTTGTCACTCAGGGGGCCCCCCCTTATCCAGTGTTGTAATCAGATAATTGCATTCATTTGGGACTGAAATTCCCTCTAATCATTATAAACACTTCAACTAAATTCTCTGCTGTCAATGCTGGGAAAGTTGACACAACTGTGACGGTTGATATCATACTTTGTGGTTATGCAAATTGACAGCTGATTTCTTCCTGGCATTTCGTCACCATATATGCTAATTCTTTACTGTGCTGCTGATGGAAGGCTGTTTATTATCTGGAACTGACTTGCGTGCGTGTCCGAGCAGTTATACTTAGTAATCATACATTTTTGTGTTTCTCTGTTAGTAGCGTGGGTGTATGTGTATGTGTGTGCATATGTTTGGGGAGCGGTAGTGTAGCGGTCAGTGCGCTGCACTCCGGCGACGCGGGTTCGATTCCCACTGACGTGCTAACACCAGTGACGATTATCTGAACTGGTCATGTGCCTCCCTTAGGTCGAATCAGCCTCAAATTACTTCTTGATGCGGTGTGTAAACATCGCCACTGGGGAGACCAAGGCGGTCTGGCGTGGTGCTGGCCACCCACCCCCTCGTGTGTCGTGCCGGCCTTAATAGGTGCTCCCTAACAGCACTTGTCCTAACAGTCTGTTAAAAACTATATGGGGAATATTTTGCATGTATATTATTCTGAGCCCAGTGACTGCCATGTTTCAGTATCTGGCTTTGATTCATCGTAACAGAAGACAAAAAATAACCTGAAGGAGCACACTCCCTTTCCGAAGGGATATTAGGTCCACTGTGCCATCTGTTAGCAGATATAAAAATACCCAGGCCCACTTAAAGTCCTGCATTCCGACACCATGGCCAAATAAACCGTCAATTTACCCGATGTCACGCAGTCCCGAAGCAACACAAATCTGTCATGCAAAATCCGTTTTCTTGTATATTGGTAAAAGTACAGCCCTCCAGTTCCTCGTGCCACTGCTGGCAGAAGGGCCTCCAAAAGAGGGAGATCTACAGAGCCCCTCTAGAGGGCATTTGGCCTACTCTTCCACACTAGCCAGACATTTTGGAAGAGAGATGGTAGTACCCACGTTTTTACCACACTGCATTCAATCTCCCTATCGGCTAACTGTGGTATATCTTTACTACTGGGTGAACAGAGGCAGGCGGGTTTTAGAAACTTGCTCATTGTTTCTAGTGCCGTGCGAGGAGAAGAAAGTGGGAACTCCTGGATGATGTGTCTAATGCGTTAAACCATTACACCACAGCAGCATCTCACCTTGTATGTAGCAGATAAATCAATATGTGGAACTGCTAATCAAGAAATATTATCTCAGTTCCCTTTTTCAGTAAGCAAATCCCCAGTAACACAATTATCTGTAGAAGAGCTGTGCTAAAGGCAAAACTGCTGACTGCCTTTTTCACCCACCTACATTTATTAACGTTGGGATTTCAGGACCACAAGAGCCGCTTGATTTAAGCTTTTTGGAATGTACAGCCATTCTGTAAAATATGGCAGGACAAGAAAAATTAGACGTGCGTGGGGGGTACGTGTGCCCAGATATTAATTCCTCCCGACCATTCCTAACATTTGACGTCTATGTAAACAAATCAGCACATCTGGTATTAAAAAGAACGAGACGGCCGTGGCCAAACTCGCCGTGCCTCCACTGCTGAGAGCGTGAACAGTCGGAGCGATTATTCAAACGTTGCGCCCAAAGCGTTTTGCCGCAATCGCGCAGCTCCCGCACTGAGATGATCCTGCAAGGGCGCAACGTCGAATTGCGCCGTGCCAAAATTTGCCAACGCAGGAACCGTTTGCGCGAACCAACTTTAACCGTGCGTTTGCGTGGCAAGCGTAACCAATGCTTCCCCCCCCCCCCCCCCAAACACACTCCCGTCCTGGCCTCCCACGCAGCTCCGGCTTTGGGAAGGTGCCGCAGCCGAAAGTGCGCTCAAAACATTCGAATGGCTGCCTGTTGCCAGGAGGCCGTGGCCACGAGTTGATTTGAATTCCTGAAGCGGCGCTGCTGCTGCGGCGGCGACGGTGGCGGCGGCCGGTTTAATGTGCAGGGCTGCGTCTCGGCGACTGTAAGCGCTGCGCAAAGTGTGACGCACGCACCTCTGTCAGAGTCTCTCCCTCTGGGCAGTGTCGCATAGCCAATGAATCTGACTGCGCTTGTCTTTCAATCTGTGACCGAGTGATGCCCCAGAGTGTGGTGCTCGATTCGCAAACGAAAATTTGTGAGTTTGAATTCGTGTTCGAAGCCAGGATCACTTGTTCACGGGTCAATTAAATGAGGATTAATATACGCGGGGAGCACGACAGTGGCTGTCCCTCGTGCTTCCCACTTGCTTCCCACTTGCTTCCCGCGTGCTTCCCACTTGCTTCTCACTAGCTTCCCGCGTGCTTCCCACTTGCTTCCCGCGTGCTTCCCACTTGCTTCTCACTAGCTTCCCAATTGCTTCCCACGTGCTTCCCTCGTGCTTCCCACTTGCTTCCCACTTGCTTCCCACGTGCGTCCCTCGTGCTTCCCACTTGCTTCTCACTTGCTTCCCACTTGCTTCCCACGTGCTTCCCACTTGCTTCCCATGTGCTTCCCACTTGCTTCCCACTTGCTTCCCACTCGCTTCCCGCTGGCTTCCCACTTGCTTCCCTCGTGCTTCCCACTTGCTTCCCTCGTGCTTCCCACTTGCTTACCACTCGTTTCCCACTTGCTTCCCACTTGCTTCCCACGTGCTTCCCACTTGCTTCCCATGTGCTTCCAACTTGCTTCCCACGTGCTTCCTACTTGCTTCCCTCGTGCTTCCCGCGTGCTTCCCACTTGCTCCCCACGTGCCTCACGCGTGATTCCACTTGTTTTCTCATTCATTCATACCTGATGACGATTGCTTGTGTTACAATCGAAACGTCGTATTATATTATTTAATTTATGTTCTTTCTACGTGACTTTACCGAAATAACCAAATAGTACTATTCATGTTTTTTTCATTTTCATTTTAAAATGTTATACATATCCAAGCAAACGCATACAGACTTGAACAATATCATAGCAGTAGCAACGTGTTTGACAGGTGTGTCGCATTGAAACCATTCATTATGTTATAATTACCTCCATTTCCACACAGTCAAGTGTAGAAAAAAATATTCTGGCCACAAATTAGTGTGCTGCCACACAGTGGCATGTGTGTTGACATGGTCTTATGTGTGTGTTTTTAAAAGCAATGCTATTGTGTACACATCGACCATACTTTAGCCAAAATTACATTTCATTGCGTGGTGTAAAAAGTAATGAAAACACGTTTAAAAACCACTTACACTCACATGAAAACAACAGTGCATAAACACTCAATGCAATTTTTGTACTAAAAATAGTTTTAAGCTTCCCTAACAATAATGTTTTTTTTAAATCCGCATTTATTTTTATTCTGAAGTTTTCATCCAGGAGATAAGCTGTGTGGCTCAGGCTGTCTGCCGCCCTTGTACTTTGGCACGCAACATCACCTGCCTGCCCACCTCCCATTGTCATGCCACTGTCTCGTGGCACAATTCAGCAAGAGCACTTTAAACGTGTGATGTCTCAGTCGCCCGTTGCCGCGTGTAACGCAGGACAGCCTTTGCAGGGGGCGGGGGGGTTCTGCTTCATTGCCAGCCTTCAAGCTGGCCTTATGCCAGTTGTTTGTGAATTCCAAGAAAGTTTCCTTCGCTTTAAAGTCCTCTCCGACTGTCGGCAACTTCGACACACCGCGCCTTCTGCACCTCGCCAAGACATTCTCGCTTCATGTGCACACGCACGCACAGACACAGAGATGCGTACGTACGTGTAGATGTTCCTTCTCGCCTCACTGCTGCCCCCTCTGTGCCCTCTAGGCTTCATGCCCATATGCAGCCTGGGCCTGTCGCAGGTGGGACGCCTGAACTTTGGGAAGGACGCCACCAAGCTGAAGTACTTCCCCATCTGCGGGCTGCAGGAGGGCTACGAGCCCTTCGCAGTGTACATGAACCGAGACATCACGCTGTGGTACAGCAAGCGGCTGGCGCAGTTCATGCCCGTCATGGCTGACGACGATCATTTTGAGGTAACGTTGGCCCATCCTCCTCACCCGCTGCCCCGCACACAAAGCAGACGAGGGTGTCCAGTGGGGGTTTGACGAGCGTGTGGCGGCTTACTGTGCCAGCTTCTGTCAGGTGTTTGGCTGCAAGCCCCGAATTTCAGTGGAGACAAATGAGAAATGAGCCCAAGTAACCTAAGAGTACTCTGGACAGATTGTGTTGTCGTAGGAGTGCTCGTGCTCGCCATTACAAGGCTGTGAGTTCAAGCCGGAGTCAGTGATTTTGATCAAGTCCATGAGCTCTGCTCGTTCAGTAAAAAAGAAGTCAACAATGGTTGAGCAAGGAGACGCTTCATGAGTTTCGACTAACACAAACCTTCTGGCTCTATCCTTCCACATTTGGTAGGTTGTGTGTTACGTCTGGACAAGTTGCTATCTACGTTATAATGGCAACTCTGCACAAGCTCCAAACACAGGCTATGAGTTGGGTTCTCATTACACTGGAAAGTAGGCCTCGCTGAACATTGTATACATGCTGCCAACTCCCTGCCCCTGTTCAAGTCCAGGCTAAATACCTTCCTATTATCCTCTGCCAGTCCGAGTAAAATAATTGGTAGATAAATTGATGACTTAAATAATCGGATCGCTCAGCTATACATTTTAAAATGGTTACAGCTATTTCTAGTGAATGCTCTTGTGACCATTGATGGGAGGCATATTGTTCTGCCTTTTACATTTACACTGGGGAAATGTAGGGCATGCTGATAAAGACGTCTAAGCTCTGCACCATGCATTAATTTAAAAGTTCGGTCCATCTCGTGTCAGTGAATGCAACTATTCGCATTACAATTGCAGCCCGGTGACAGGAATTCAGAATCCCGCATCTCTATGCTGCGTTGTGCCTCAAATGACGCAAGGCTTTTGTGTGTCTGTTCGGATCAGACGTTATTTTTTCCCAGATGATTGCACTATTCAGTACATAGCTTTCAGAGCCCCGTGGCTGCACTGTGCTTCTTTATTTATTTGCCAGTTTCATAAAGTGTCACACGTGTCAGCGAGGGTCTATTTCATGAAGAAAAGTGCACCCAATCCAGAGTTTGCATTGTGCTAGCATGAATTGATATGTCTTGGGAGTTGGGACACTAACGTGTTTAGGCAACCTATATGAAACAAATTGCGAATTTCACTTTGTTGTGCTCACTAGTGCATTGTCAGGCTCAGAACAATAAAACTGCATTGGTATTTATTTCGTGGATAATTAAATATTGTTTTGAGAATTGTGTGCCTGGGATTGAGCACTTGATTTATGAGAGTGTGTTCCAAGGAAACTCTATTGAAGACAAATTTGGCTCTTATCAACCGGCTGGGTGGTTCCCGGGCATCACACAGTGAGGATGGAAGGTCACAAGGTCACAAGAACCAAAGAATAATTCCTGCAGTCACGAAAGCTCCAAAATTAAGATTGAACCACTTCTACGGGGAAGTTTTAAGCTATCTTTTTTCTCTATCTCTGGTTTTTGTTTTCTCTCTCTGCCTGTGTCCTCTCTTTGGAATTTTCACACTTAAATTATAACTTAGCAATCTTTGAAATACGTAATCAACCGGGCTATGCGTTAATTGTGTGTTGACCGACTCTCTGTGTTGCATTACATTACATTTCGATATTTTACTAGGTTATTTAATTTTAGTGTGTCTTTCTCCTAATTTTCAAGCTTGCGTACCGTACCATGTCGTTGTCCACTCATTGACATGCTAATTTTTTCTCTGCCCCCTCCCTCTCTCCGCCCCCGCCCCCCTCTCTATATTTAAGGCCCCGTCACAAAGACGACCTCTCTCTTTGTGCCGATACGTGTTCTCTCTCTGTGTATCTTTATGATGTCTGTCTGCTTATATGTCTGTCTATAGTTTTCTGGTTAGATTTTTGTTGCTATTTCTTTTATACCTGATGATTGCTTGTGTTGCAATCGAAACGTCATGCTATTATTTAATTTATTATTTTATCTTTATATGTGACTTTACCGAAAGAACCAAAGAATAATTCCTGCAGTCACGAAAGCTCCAAAATTAAGTTCAAAACCGGTCGAGAATCGACTCAGCCATTCATCCCCGCCGGAGGTTAATATTACTGAGTGCCACATTGTGGAAAATCAATAGCAGTTGTCCTTTGAAGCAACTCATCCCAGGCATAGGAATGTGGAATTTCTCCACTGAGGGTACAGCATTTCAAACGGGGGATGAGCACTACCCCATGGTTGCTTGAAGTATGGTTGTTATCGGTCTTGTCACCAATGATTTTACAATAGCTCTATCTTACATTGCATTTGAATTGTCTCAAGGTTAAAACATGTTATCAGATTTAGCCAATCGTTCGTCCACAGCGGGCTATTGACCTGGCGTTGTTGGAAAGGTTATTTAGTGTTGGTTGTCTCGATTAATAGGTTTACAATTAAGTTCTCTTTTTGTAGATTGTTTCTATACTAAATATAGCCCCGTTTTTAACACGATAATGATCGCCCTTTATCAAACTGGAGCTGACTTACCTATGACAATTGTCGCAAATTCAGGGTCGTGATTTTCTCCAAGAATCGATTCTTTCTTGTTGTTGTTACACTGCAGTCAATGATGACGCCTTTCGTGGCTGCGGCGTTTCTGCGAACCCATTAGGTGAAACGTACGAATTGCGAACGCATCGACTCTTGCACGTGTACATTCAAAGCGTCTGTCATGGCCTTGTCGTGCTTGGTGGTTGACCATATTTGACCACATTGGTCTGGGTGGGTAGTTGAAGGGGAGCGCCCCAGGACCGCTTCTGATGTTAGCATTAGCTTGCAATCAGACGCGTCGGGCTCATAACACAGTGCGCTCAACCATTGTGCCGCCTCTTACCCCAACCGGTCTCATTTGTAAAGGTGCAACCCTGAAACTGCTTGCTCATGCCATTGCTGGCAAAATAAACTCTGCTTCGAGGGAGCTCTAGAGAGACCCTCTGGGTCTCTACATGCTTTAAGTTCCATTTTACTTTGATTAGTTTACACGGATGGTCCCGTTTAGCCAGTTGACCATATATTTTTGAAGGGGATCCCATGATGCATGAGCACAGAAAGAGAAATGGGTACAGGGTCCTTGAGGAATATTGCACAACTAACAAACTATTTCTTTGAAGGTCGTACACACAACACGCGAGTAATCTGAAAAAGTTAGGTTCAGGTGCACATAAATGATAGATTTAGTCTAACAAAGACAGAGACCCACCCGTATAGCCTTCAACAGACTGTAGGGGCAAGTGCTGTTAGCGAGCACCTATGAAGGCCGGCACGGCACACGACGGGGTGTGTGGCCAGCACCACCCCCGGGCCGCCTTTATCTCCCTGGTAGAGATGTTTTACCAGCTATTTATTTGAGTCGACATAGGGTGAGGCCCAGGACTGGTTCAGATAATCGTCACTGGTGTTGGCCGTGAGCAGGAATCGAACCCGGGTCGCTGGGTTAATAGCGCAGCATAGCGCTGACAGTGACATAAACACATGCAAATCGTAAAAGACAGTGCAAACATGTGGTAGCCAGAGGTGCCAGAAGACGTTAGGCACATGTGCAAGTTTATCTGTGTGTGTTGGTTTAATCGAGATGTAGAGATGGGGAGTTAAGGGAGGGAATCAAGATGTAGATGAGCGGGCGGAGTATTCCAGAAACAGAGAGCAGCAACGTGAAAATACTTTTTTACCAAAACAAAGTTTTAGCAAGTGGATTTTTCTGTAGTAATAAGGAGGCACTTCTGAGGCTACGGGAGGGATTTTCAGGGTACTAAGTGGTCCTTTAGGCAATTGGCGGATTTGTTTAGGAGGACCTTTTAGGATGAAGACAATCCAGTGGTGGTCTCTCTGGATATCCAGGAGGGGGACAGACCTGAATTGATGTATAGGTTGCAGTGATGAGTTTAAAAGGGGATGGAAAGGGCAAAACGGAGAGTGGAGTGTTATAATGGAATGAGACATGTTATAGTAGATCATGGGACCTCCTTTGCAAGTACCAAAATATGAGAATAGGTTTTCCCCTTTTTTCTGGCAACAAAACAGGTGTTTAAGATGTTAAAACACCAAACTGAAACCTTTTACAAGGAATCATGTCTGCATTAACCACAATACTTGTGGTCAGAATGCAAACAAAAAACATTCTGATAATATATGCATTGTCTTTGAAATTGATTAGTCCACACCAGAGACAGCTTTCTTCTGAGCCTAGTCTCAAGTTGTTTCTTTTTTTCGTAATTTGTAATCGCGATTTTATCAGAAATTCAACTGCCTCAGCGGAACTCCATATTCAGATTTTTATTTTTACCCTCGAGGGTCTTCATGGCTTACCAGAATTTTTTTAGAATGCTGGCCAGTCCTCTTGAAAAAGGTGATAATACCCACACTTGACCCCACCAGCGCACGCACCGTAACCCCACGTGAGCGTCCCAAATGTCATCATCATGCTCGCTTGTAATGACATCCAGTGCCCTTCGCAATGCGGTCCCTGACATAGCGTGCACTGCGTTCCCCGCTTTTGCCTTTTCCTCCCTCCCTCCGCTACCCCTCACGCACTGTGTCCCCTCTCCCCCCCTGCCACTCGCCGTTCCCCGGGAGGCAGGTGACGCGCATAGACGGCACCATCGACAGCCCGCCGTGCCTCAAGGTGTCGCACAAGACGTTCGGCTCGCAGCACAGCAACACGGACCTGGCCTTCTTCCGCCTGAGCATGCCCGTGGAGTGCGAGGAGAGCTTCGGGCGGCGGAGCCTGCCGGCGCCATCGCCGTCCACGCTGGGCGGCGGCGGCGACGACGACGCCGGGTCGGAGTTCGAGGTGCTGCGGCGCTCCGTGCAGGGCACGCCGCTCACGGGCTCCCGCGGCGATTCGCGCGCCAACTCGCGGGCCGATCAGCGGCGGGGCGAGCGCGAGGAGGAGGAGGCGGCGGCGGACGACCGGACCAAGCACGAGGCCAACAACCACAAGGACTATGCCCAGGAGAAGCTGCTGCTGCTGCAGCCCAAGCACAGGTACGCGTTGTCGCGTTGGGTTTTCGTTTTGTTTTGAACCGGGAGAGAGTGCTAAGTGGATGCGTGATCGAATGACTTGGACGGTGAGTCGATGCTCAAATGAGCAATGGTTCTTGTCTCCAATGGAGAACCCGAGCCAGTGGTTGAATTGCCATTCACACGACGTGGGCCAGTATGTGCATAGAAAGGCCACCGTTGACTCCCCACAGCGGAGTACCGATTTTATTGACTCCAAAGCGATGATGGGCAGAGCTGACACCCAAATGGACTTTAATCTCTGCTCTGCGATTGTCTGAGCAGGAAGATGCTTTAACTTTTTAGTTGTTATTACTACCCTGGAATTTACTATCATTTTTAATCGTCATGGAATTCGCTGCTGTAGGTAAATCACTGTAATAGTCCGGTTTTCACTCTAACTCCAGCGCCACCCAACAGAATCTTGTTTGTGGATGTACCTGAAATATTGCATGTGTTATTACCCAATCCCAGCTGTGGAATTTAAATGTAACTATATTTTATAAAGCATGGGTTTCCATCCTAGGACATTTGCATACTTGCATATGTCACGTTCAATATATCTAGCGTGCATCATGTAATTTGCTTTGTATGCAGCCACTATCTCAGGAGAGGCAGGATTCGTGTGTACGCAACCTCCGTTGTTCTTCGTGCGTTGTCAACAACAGGGAGTGTGCACTCGTGCCGGGTACGACGTGGAGCCCGCATGCTCTGCATCGTCCAGCACCCGCGTTACGGTGCCCCTGTGCACGTCGTGTCCCTTATTAACTGTTGGCCGCCTGGCGCTGCACTCGGGCAGGGCCTCCCAGCCGCTACGGCCGCCCTCGCGGGCGACGGGAGAGACGCTGCCAGCCGATCGCGACGAGCTCGAGGCCCTTCTGCAGTCCACCGTGGTGAGTATCCACATCACGACACCCGCTGCCGCATCGCCGCCATCGAGTCAACTCACACACTTCATTAGCATCCCATGAATCCAAATTAAGTTTTGCGTTATCCACACCAGTGTCAATTTGTAGCTCAATCTAGCACGGCCAACCCGAGGTGGACTCAACATAAAATGCATCCTTAGTATAGTGCATCAACGTCAAAACTAAAGAACCCAGCGGGACATGGTGATGGCCACACCAATCCTTCTTCGCCAAGCCAGCTTCAATGGGTGCTCGTTTAACATGGCTTGTCTTAGATCGTCTACATTATAAAGGACCGGGTTAAAGGTGGAGCCCTGCAATTCCTTGCTTACGCCACTGCTCACCACTATAGGGCACTCTAGAGCCCCTATTGAGTTTATTTTGGCCTATTCTTGAACACTGGCCATACATCTAGGAAAAGATGTGATTGACCTCTGGATTGCAAGTCATGCGTGCTGACCATTACACCTTCCCGTAAAGGACTGAATGTGGAGGATTACATGCATTATCCTGTGTGTGTGTGCGCACGCAGTACTACTACTCGGTGCGGATCTTCCCGGGCCAGGAGCAGGCCACCGTGTGGGTGGGCTGGGTGACGCCCGACTTCCACCAGTACGACAGCTCGTTCGACCTGGACCAAGTGCGCACGGTCACCATCACGCTCGGCGACGACAAGGGCAAGGTTCACGAGAGGTGTGTGCGGCGGTGGTGCCAGCGGCTCGGAGAGGCACACGTGGTGGTGGTGGTGGTGTGGGGAGCGGTAGCACAGCGGTTAGCGCTACGTTGCGCTACAAGCCCGGCGACCCGAGTTTCATTCCCACTTACGGCCAACACCAGCGACTATTACCTGAACCGGTTCTGCTCCTCCTCCTAGGTCGACTCAGCCTCAAATGAGTACCTGGTGCGGTGCGTAAATATTGCCACGAGGGAGACAAAGGCGGTCGGCGTGGTGACGGCCACCCACCCCTTATAGTGCCGTGCCGGCCTGCATAGGCACTCGTTAACGACACTTGCCCCATAGTCTGTTAAAGACTATATGGGGGTCTTTGTCTTTGTATTGGTGGTGGTGTGGCGGATCTATGTCCAGTGTTATGGAGCCAAGGTTGAGGATTACAAGCTAGACAAGCCAGTGTATTCAGCGAACTTCAATACAACCTATTTTTCATCTTTCCATTCACTTGTGTTTCCCATCCACCTACAAGATGACCGCAAAACCATATTATTTCCGAGGCACGGTGACAGACGCCTGTAATTCGGCGCTATGGACGTGCGATTGGTGGATTAAACAGACAGTATTGTGTGTCTATGAGAAGCTCCAAACCTGCTGGGATTTGAAGTGGCCTGGAGGTGGCTGTATAACAAGTGCATTCCTCCCCCGACCATACACAATTTTGAATATCATCTCCTTGAAAAGCGTGGGTGTCCTCTGAACGTTTGGGTTTTCTCCAATGTTTGGTAATCGTGGTTTATGAACAAATACAACAGTTCACAATAGACTAGCTCTCCACATAAACACAATGTGTTTTATCTTCTTGGTTCTTTCGGTAAAGTCACGTAGAAGGGAAGTAATAAAATAATAAAATTAAAACATAATAAAATAATTCTCACGACGTTTCGGCCACAACGCAAGCAGCCGTCCTCAGGTGCTTGCGTTATGGCAGAAACGTCGTGAGAATGATTTTATTATGTTTTATTTTTATTATTTTATATTTTATTACTTCCCTTCTACGTGACTTTACCAAAAGAACCAAGAAGATGAATCCCTGCAGTCACAATGTGTTTTAGTCCATAAGCTTTGTGATGGGCCACAGTCATCACGGAGGTACACAATGGGGTTTGTTAACATGCCTGTACAGTATATTCAATTAGTAATAATACTGATCTTTCTCTTTGAACTCCTGGATAAAGGTCTCGCCACACCATATCGGCCATGGGGTGTGGTTTGACCATACTTCGCCTCACTGGTCTGTGTGAAATGGTGACCGTTTCAGATAATCACTCGCCACAGATGTTGGACATGTTTTCAAACTCAGGTCACTGGCCTCATAGCCCAGTGTGCCAATCACTGGTAGCATAGTGTGCTAACCACTGTGCCACCACTCTACCTGCACACAGTGTATGCTGCATGTACATTCTAGTACCACTTGGTTAGAAGTCAAATGTGACAATCTCGCTCGTGAACTGCCCCTTCTACAGGAATGGCTCTGAGCGGAGATGAGCACTGTCTAACACTTGCTTGAGTATGCAGATTTAAAAAAAAAATCCCCCGCTCACTTTGTGAAGAATCGGACCCTTTCTCGCAGACTCTCTGGAGAGAATCGAGAATGCCCTTGGCTAGCATGTCTAATCTAGGGCTTCACATGACACTTGACAAGCAGGTGATAGTATACATGGAACTCTGGTGGAGCTTTTTTAAACCAGACTTGTTTTTGCAAAGTTCAACCAAACTATCTTTTGCTTTTTTTATTTTGAGACGGTATCTTTCATCCACGGCTGACGTTGCCGAAAGCCTTTTATGGTCATCACATGGCTTCATTGACAGCCGTTTGGCCAAACAGCCCCACAGAAATGGCCCTGCCATGCATCTTATGTTTGTGTTTCTTGGCATCACAAATCTTGATAAAAAGTTAATCCAGCCATTTATTTAACCTTGTCTGTGAGCTTTCTCAGTGCCGATCGAGTTGAAGCTGCTTTCATAGGTTGCAATGAATGTCAGAGGTCTGTACGGTTATCAGAGCCGTAGCTACACATATCGTATCTACTGTACATGCACATGGACAGGTGGAACGGAGGACGTGCAGTGATTAGCGTGTGCCACTATGAACCTGGCAATCTTAGTTCGCTTCCTAGCGACAACTAACATCAGTGGCGACTGGCATCAAAACACTGGTCCTGCCCTCCCCTTGCTTTACCAAGTATTTACCGACATGGTGAAGTATGGTGAAAAGAAAAAAATTCCATGACCGACATGGCATCTGGAGGCCTTCATCCATTTGTGGATTGAGAATGGTTGTAATTTTTTCTTTGCATTTTGAAATGTACACATACACACAAAATATACAAGCAATATTTAGTTTCATGGGTAAATCACTCAAGTTTATAAACTACGTCAAGTGCATAATATTATTTATTACTTCTTCAGTTGTCCAGTAAAATAAATTTGCCAAATGAACTTAACATTGCCCAATAACAGGATCTATGCTGTAGGGGTTTCCCTGGATTCAAACCACAATGGCGATAAAAAAAGGTCATTGCCCTAACATTATTGCACGATCGTGTATGTTAACGTTCACCATCAACGTCGGCCGTTATCTATCTAAAGCTGGACTAGGGCTCCACATTGCCGTAGCCATTCCTATTGGTCCTGCAATGCCGCGATCCATCTCTACGGTGGTTGTACCTGCTAGTGCGGTTGATTCTCCGTTGACTGCCATTGTCTTTGCCAATTTTGCTCATCGGCCAACTAACCCTTCTATATTCACACTCTCTGGCACTGTACACGATGACGGAGTTGAAATGTGTTTATGTGTTGCGCGTACGCCAATGCCAATGAACTTGCACACGTTAGTTTTGAAATTATCTTTGCGGGAGGTCGCTCTTACTCCTTTGCCGCTCCGTAGTCTGGAACTCGCCCAGCCATCTGTGCTGTCCACTCCGTTGCCCCCTTCTTCAAGTCCAGCTTTAAGTTGTCGTCTTTGTTCCTCTGCCCATGACTCGCTGCCTCACTCTATAAAACAAATATGCATGATTTCTCTGGAAAGTGTTTGAAGATATGGTCATATTTGGACGCTGTGTGAATCCAAGTTGTATTCCATCACTCAACAGCTCTTCTCGCCTCCTTAGCCACGCTATTCTCCAGAAGCTATCGGTATTGCATGGTTAGGTAAGACCGCCAAACCCCACGCTTGACAGCTCCAGTGAGCGCCATGCTGCGGTGAGTGTTTACTTGCCGAAAAGCTGCTTGTACGTCTGGTTTAACGTTACCGTTGGCGCCACGTCAGGCAAGGTGCCAGCTGTTACTGGCTGCAGACGTGTAGACACATTCCCACCCTTGGCTTAGCAAGCATGCACACTTATAAATGTGATTTAAAGCGTGCCCAGCATATTTGAACATCCATTATAACTGCATGGCAAAGGTTCTGCCCTGCAATCACTTGCCCATGCCACTGCTGGCAGATGGGCCTCCACTTAGGGAGTATTTTGGCTTACTCTTCTACACTGGGCCAGACATCAGCTCGTGGACGTGAGCTAGATGGTTTGTTGCATTGGGAGAGCTAAACAAGATGGCGGCAGCTTTGGGAGGCCTTCATCCAGCAGTGGCAAGATGTTGAATACTTCGCCTGGTATGGGTTCGATCCCGACCCTGACGCCTGTATATTTTGGAGTTTGCATGTTCTCCCCATGGTGGAGTTTGCATGTTCTCCTCGTGGTCGCGTGGATTTTTCTCCGGGCCCTTCGGTTTTCCCTCCACGCTTAGAAATGTGCGTTTGCAGCATTTGGATGCTATCAATTTCCACGTGATAAGCCACTTTATTGAGCTATAATTTGTGGCCAGGTCGCTTCTGAAAAAGAGCTATATAGGTCAGTGGGCCTTACCTGCTAAAATAAAAAGAGTAAAAAAAAGTAGTAAAGAGAATATAGGCCATGGCTAATAATTGTGATGAGAAGGCAATGACATTGTAATGGCAATTCTGGTAATGCGTATTTGGTCCGTGCTTGTAAGTCATTGTGAACACATTCCCTTTGTGTTATTTCACTTTCTACCTCGTTGTGTTGCATATTTTCAGCATGGGCAATTTCACCTTATTCACAGACTGAATTACTGATTTGCAATCATGGCTATAAATGGATGAGGCAGGTAACCATAGCAGCTGGCTCCAGATATATTAAACTTGGGCTTGGATTTTACAAACTTAATTCAATCAGTCGTTCCTTTCAGTTGCTTTCATTTTACACTGATTATCGTCTTCCACTTGCAATTATATTTTTATCTGAGGTACTGTATGATTGTACCGTTTCTGCTGATATATTTGGTTCTTCACTACATTGCTGTCCAGGTTACATGTTTATGATTGTGTTTATACCCCAGCTCTCCCTTTTGTCTCAACGTGCTCTCACCCTGCTCTACATCAATGCTGTGACCAATTCATCGATTTATTGGTCAAATTACAGATGTGTACATTGTCCAAGGAACATAATGCCACAACAACCACAGTGGTTCTCATTGTCTTAGCAAGCTCTGCTGTATTGGGTGGCAGGGTGGCACAATGGTAACACCTGTACCTCGCAGGAAGTAGAGCCTGGGTTCAATTCCCGACACCGGGCACCTGTCTGTGTGGAGTTTGTATGTTTTCCCCCTCTGTTCTATATGGGTTTCCTCCCACTTCTCCGATTTCCTCCCATATCTAAAAAGAAAAACATACAATGCAACTGGTATTGGCCAAAGATCCTCATGCTGTAAAATTACCTGTAAATTACTCATGGGATTACACGTAGCATCTTTATTGCTTGCTATAAAAACTTGGCAGGGCCCACCGAAATAAAGTGTTGAGACTAAGTTCGGCTTTCCTGGGTAAACAAGCATTGCAACAACGACAACAATAATAATAATAAGACTGTGTAACAACATTAGTTTTTGTTCCTGGGTAGTAAGTGTTATTTCCTAATTGCTTATGCCTCAAAGGTACAGAAAATGGCTATTATTCCCCACAAACTTTGCTTTTGTGATCAGGACACTGATATTTTGGAATGTACCTATTTTCAATGAGAAAACGTGTGCATTTGTGTCTTTCGTTCACACAAAGTCCTGCTTACAAAGCAAAGTTTGTGGGACATAATAGCCATTTTCTATACTTTTTAGGCATAAGAATTACAAAAATAACACTTACTACCCAGGGACAAAAATCGTGTTACATGGTGTTATCTGCGTCCTGCTTTCCCATGCTTCTTCCCCCCCCCCCCACCACTGCCACGCAGCATCAAGCGCAGCAACTGCTTCATGGTGTGGGCAGGGGACGTGCCCGCAGCCGAGCAGAGCCGCAACAACAGCGGGCTGGAGATCGGCTGCCTGGTCGACGTGGCAAACGGCGTGTTGTCCTTCACGGCCAACGGCAAGGAGATGCACACCTTCTACCAGGTGAAGGCAGCCGGGCCATCCACGCCGCCTCCCTCCCCCCCTCCCCCCCCAAACCTGGGCCTAATGCAGAGATCAATAGCCTCTGAGGTTTAATGGACACCACGGTGGTGACCTGGTCTGCAGGCGGTCGTGGGTTCGATCCCGACCTTGACGACGCCTGAATATTTGGAGTTTTATCCCTATGGTCGCATGGATTTACTCCGAGTCCTGGTGCGGTGTGTCAACGTCGCCACGAGCGAGACAAAAGCGGCTGCCGGGCATGGTGCTGGCCACCCACCCCCTCGTGTGCCATACCAGCCTTCATAGATGCTCGCAAAACAGCGCTTGCCCCGAAAGTCTGTATGCATACCTGGCCCCGTGCGTGTGTGTGCGCGTTATGTGCAGGTGGAGCCGAGCACCAAGTTGTTCCCGGCTGCCTTTGTTCAACCGACCAGCCCCGGCATGTTCCAGTTCGAGCTCAGCCGATTCAAGGTGCTCCCCCACCCATCAGCACGAGCGCCGTCACGTTGCCCCCCATTTGAGCTGAATGACGATTTCACTTTTCACTTTTTGATAATAACCTAGAGACAGTATAGGCACCACACGTGTGCCAAAAAGGAGATGAGCTTTGCCCTAATTCTCAGAAAGACTCGTTGACACTTTGACTGTCTTAATATCTGGCATGAGTAAGGGGTCAGAAAAGAGAATGTCGGAACTGTTTGGAACTTAATTGAGAGGTGTTCTCGTGACATTCTGCATAATTACAACAACAACCATCATTCGCCACTAAGTGGCGGTAACGTTACCACAGGGCTTGTGCCAGGCTACGTGCACTTTAAGGCCGCGTGAAGTGTCGAATGCCCGCTGGCAGGAAGTCACGGCACAGGCCCAGGTGTCATGGGTTGACTGACTGAGATGACTGGCCGATGCGCCACTTATATATATATATACACACATGGGTTTCAAAGCTGTGCTCTAACAGAATTTTCCTCCATGGTCCATAAAGACTAATCAATAGAAAGCAATGGTCCGGTGAGTATACATGTGTTACTGTTTCCGCATAGCTTCTCGAGGTGCAGTTGCCTTTAAATGCACTGCAAATCTATAGTTTGATTCAAATACATTAATGAGCATTGGTTGTTCCTGTGACGAAGCCGGGTCAGGTGACACGGTGACTCCAGCTTCCTGGTCTCTCGCCTGATGATGCTCAACTCAGATTCAAGCAAAACGTCGTGCGTCTAATTTTTTTTTATTTTGCGGTGAGAATTGTTCTGCAACTGAAACAGTAAGAATTGGCGTGCTCAGCAGCTCGTACGTGGCGGGACAGCTGAATTTGTTGGGCAATGTCGGGCGGCGGAGGGTCTCACGACGTATGTCTGGCTCGGTGACTTAACACGTGACTTAGCACAAAACTCAATGATGACTCATTTCAACCTGAATTGTACGTCATTGTATAAATCTGTTGCGTTGCGCATTCGTGCGTGCGCGTGCGCCGGTGCAGAACACGTTGCCTCTGTCGGCGGCGCTGTTCAAGAGCGAGCGGCGGAACCCCGTGCCGCAGTGCCCCCCGCGCCTGGTGGTGCAGCAGATCAAGCCCGTGCTGTGGAGCCGCGTGCCCAACCTCTTCCTCAAGGTGGAGACGGGGCGCGTGAGTGAGCGCCACGGCTGGAAGGTGCAGTGCACCGAGCCGCTCGTCTTCATGGCTCTGCGGATTCCGGAAGAGAACAGGTGCGGAGCTTCTACGCGTGACGGCGCGCAAAGACAAGCGTGCGGTGCTCTTGTTCTTCGTCGCCGTCTTCTTCCGTGTGGCAACTGCATTTAAATGTTCGCGTGGAAGTCGGTGAGCCAGTGGATCGCCTCAACAGTAGCCCGATGAGTGTCTGAAAAAGCTGCCAGAGAATAACGGAGGGGGGCGGTGGCGTTGCTACGTGGTCCATTGTTTGAGACTGGTGACCGTGTTCGCACTCTCGGCTCTTCTTAATTTTTCCACTATGGGTAACCTTGCCCGTAACAATAGCACTGGTTTAACAGGCATCAGTTGGACTCGATGAGGTCAGAACCAGCCCAATGTTTGCCTTTCTTTTCATAGATGCTATTGGGGCACATTGATCTGGTATACCCGTTGACAGATTAAATGCAGTTGAATTTCTATGATAGCACATCTCTTTACATAGCTCTTAATTTTGCTATTTATTTATCGTGGGATTAAGATTGTGATTTGTATATATTTAGTGCTTAAATAACAAGCTGCATCTCAGAGCGCATTTCCATACCCACCCTAGACTCGTGCAATATCACCGAGGTAAGAGAAGGGAATTGAGAGAAGGTGACGACGAAGACAAAAACAACGACGTGGTTTGTACGACGCAGGGCACGGGACACGTCGCCGCAATTCGCCAGGACTAAAACAGTGTTGGGGTGTGCAACGCACCTCCGCCCCGCCCCCCTCCCCGTGCAGGTGCATGGACATCCTGGAGCTTGTCCGAGCGGAGGGACCTGCGCAAGTTCCACGCGCACACGCTCAAGCTCTACTCGGCCGTGTGCGCCCTGGGCAACAACCGCGTGGCGCACGCGCTCTGCAGCCACGTGGACCAGGCGCAGCTGCTCTTCGCCATCGAGAACCAGTACCTGCCGGGCCTGCTGCGCAGTGGCTACTACCAGCTGCTCATCAGCCTGCACTTGCAGGCGTGCAGCACGGCGCGCCTCATGACCAACCGCGAGTTCATCGTGCCCATGACGGACGAGACGAGGCGCATCACGCTCTTCCCCGACGAGAGCAAGCGACACGGGCTGCCCGGCGTGGGCCTCAGCACGAGCCTGCGCCCGCGCATGCGCGTCTCGTCCGTGGGCTTCCTGTCGCGCTCGCTCGACGGCGCGCAGTTCAGCCCCGACTTCCCGCTCGAGGTGCTCAAGGAGAAGGCCATCGGCATGCTGTCGGAGGCGGTGCGCGAGGGCGTGTGCCAACCACGCGACCCCGTGGGCGGCAGCACGGAGCACCTGTTCGTGCCGCTCATCAAGCTGGTGCACACGCTGCTCACCATGGGTGTGTTCGGAAACGAGGACGTCAAGCGCATCCTCATGCTCGTCGATCCCAGCGTGTTCGCCTGCCAGGGCGGCGGCGGCGGCGGCAGGGAGGACCGCGCCAGCGACAGGCGGGCGCCGCTCGCCATCGCCAACGGCGGCAGGGATGAGCGTCGCAGAGCCGAGGTCGCCGGCGAGGAGGGGGAGCTGGCGGTCCAGCAGCAGCAGCAGCCACAGCAGCAGGATGAGGAGCCAGTGGAGGGGCTGCTGCAGATGAAGCTGGAGGAGCCCGTGAAGCTGCAGGTGCCTGAAATGCCCCCTTGCTAATCGGTTTGACTCGCCAGCCCTCGTCCTGCTGATGAGAACTCCACAGAGCACCTTGCTCTGTAATTGATTGTCGGGGTAACGCCTTTAAGGTTCCATTTGCTTAAACCACTTCATGGAAATCCCATCCCCCAGCTCAACCTGTCCACCTCTCAACTCTTTGTTAGTGAATGCTGTAAGCGTCAGCGGTGACACTTGCCGATAAAAGCCAGCTACTCATGAGGATTGTCCCGAACCTCCAATTATAATGGGTGGCTACGTACGGTGCAAAAGAAGGTGAATATACATATATACATTGTCCACCCAGTGAAGGCCAACGTGTGTCTGGCGGGTTTTCCTGCTTAGATAAACAGCGCATTAAGCTGAAAGATCCACCCACATTTTATTTTGCCACTGACTCAAATCCTTTTACCTGGTTACTTTATATGTGTGTTGCTTGTTTCGTGTAAGATTTGATGAATGCAAAACAATTGTTTTGTTATTTGTCACTGAAAACTCCGAGATCCAATTCCAGGTTTATGAACACAATAGCTGGAGTTTTACTGGGACGCCAGTAGAAAATGATCCAAGTGTTCACAATATGCGACACAAGTTGATTGCACGTTTTTATAAACAATTGGTGTTGTTACAGAAAAGCACCTTTTTCATGGAAAGCATAGCTTCAGCGGTTGATTTTTGGTGACACTGGCAGGAGACAAACCAGGTGTAAACAGTGGAATTCCAGAGTTTAATTCCGGCGGTAATTTATTTCACTTAGTAATGTGGAATGGTTAAAATTATAAATACAGTTGATCATCGATTATCCCTGCACCGTGCGACTATCCAGCTTCTAACATTATCCGAAGGTCCCGGGCCGATTCAGTGAAACCGCTCCAGAGGCTGTAACCCAGTAACGGTGATCGTCAAACGCGTGTTTTTTTTCAACAAGAGCCTCAGTAGTAACTACGTAAATCACCCCACGCGGAGTCTTTCGAGATTGGAGTGCTAAGTACGGTACAGTAAATACAGAAACTTTTACAGTAGGATTATTATGTTGGTCTTTTGGTATGTTTATGCCAATTTCATACAGTAAACACATGTAAAGCACTAAGAAACATATACACAACGCCTAAAAACATAACGTTATGCAATAATGTGCAAACTTAAGCTTTCCCCCTTAGCCGCCGGGTAATGGATGATCTACCGTATTTGTATTAAACGTGCTGCTTAGCTTCAGGACTTTCTAGATGTTCTTTAAAAATCAAGACATAATTTCACACATATCCTTTTCAGGATGACCATTACTGTGCACTCAATTATAATAATTGCAGCTATTACTTCCAACAGTAAATTGGAAATGACTGGCTTATGTGACATTGTACAGGGGATAGCACATTAGGCTTGCATTTACAGTCTTAGAAGAACCTTGTTTGATTCCCCATCATCATCCAAGTAAGTGCAAATGGGCATAATCACACAGATATAATCGCAGTAAGTCAAATGGTGAATTGACGACTGCTTGTACTGGGGTAAAATGTGAGAACCCGACTTGCAGGGGTAGCATTAGTACTATGGGCAGGCATTGAGCCCCAAGGTATGTGTGATTTTACATTTGTTTGCAACATGTATTGGTGTTTAGCTGTGGAGAACTGAATTGAGATGATGCATATTTCACTGGCTTAGAGTTCCGTTTGTGCCAATGATTTGATTTGGGTGTGTGGTACACGCCTGTGATCCACCGCTTTCGAGGTTGGGTTGGTGGAATGCAGAGGTATATGTGTGTGAAAGATGCCCATCCACACAGCTGCTGCAATTGAATTGCTGATCTGTTTTTCGTAGGTTTTAAATGAATTCGCTTGCGTGTGTGTATATATCTGAATTATTTATGGCCATGCGTCTTTATCTCGCACGCAACAATACTCATCAAGGATTTCGCCGAACATCCCAAGCTTGACGATCCTGCTCTTCATTTCGGTTCATGTTACACTCCGAAGCAGAGCTGATTAATTAATTATCCATTAATTGGACAACAGACCGTGGTTTCCCATCTCAGAAATTCATCGTGAATCCGCGAGAATTCCGTGCTCGTAAATGCTCGCCTGACCGTGCGCTGCCACCCCCCGCCACCACCACTCCCCGTTGCGCGTGGGGCTGCGCGCAGATGTGCCACCTGCTGCAGTTCCTGTGCGACTGCCAGCTGCGGCACCGCATCGAGGCGCTGGTGGCCTTCTCGGACGGCTTCGTCATCAAGATGCAGGAGAACCAGAAGTTCCGCTACAACGAGGTCATGCAAGCGCTCAATATGTCCGCCGCGCTCACCGCGCGCAAGACCAAGGAGTTCCGCTCCCCTCCCCAGGAGCAGGTGAGGATCGAGCGGGGGCGCTGGGGCTGGTTTCCGTCGCATACTGTCATCGTGCAATTCGTAATGGATTGCAATCGCGATGCCAATTGTCATTGTAATTGCGGCTAACGGTGCTGCCCTATTTGTAGTTGTGTTTATGGGTGGAAAGTGGGATATAGGTGGCAACCACTTTCATCCGTGCTTCACCCTCCTGGATCAGCAACCCAGCTCTCAACCTCTGCTGGATGGGGAAGTTCTTTTGTCACTGGGCTGAGACCATCGGCTCGCTGCACTTGAGAACCCTGGCTTACTCGCAAGCGGCTGGCCACGTTTGAACTTTGGGTCTCAGTAGTATGTGCGCAGTGCTGCTTTTAGGCTTCACAAGTGCACTCGGCCGCCTAGCTTTAAATCGCACGAAGAAATGAATCAATTGCTCCAAATAGCAATTGAGAGGTGTTTCTAGGACAGCATGAGTATCAAGCGGAGAATGAGCGCCCCCCTAGCGTGCACCATAGGTGGGAGGTTGAGAGAGGAACACTTGTTGGTAAATAACTGCCGAGTGTGATATCAGCGAGCACCACGTGTTAGATATGCGCACTTCCACGCATGCTGCGGCATTGCATTCCTTGCTTTTCACCTACACATTCGGTCCTCATTGCCGTCGCTCTGCGAAATTCATCATCTTGTCGTCTCCCCCCCCCACTCCCTCCCCTCTGTCCTCTACGGTTCTCTCTGTAGATTAACACGCTGCTCAACTTCAAGAACGGAGAGAGCGAGGAGGAGTGCCCATGCCCCGATGATGCCCGAGAACTTTTGCTCGACTTCCATGACGACCTGCTGCTGCACTGTGGTACGTGTGTGTGTGTGTACACGGGCAGGTGCGTGTGTTTTGTTGTCTGCTGTGTGGGGAGGAGGAGGAGGCTCATAAAAGATGCAACTCGGCAATTGGAGGCAGCCACCCTCCACCAAGCAGGGAGGGCAGGGAAATGGGCAGGCACAGTGGGGGATCGCAGGAGGTGCATCTGTCAGTTGTCGAGGTCAGTTAGCCCATAACTTCCTGCTGTCAAACCCTCGACACATCACGTGCAAGTACTGCGGTTACAGCATCAATGATAATTTGTGACAAATGACAGTTTTGTTGTTGAGAAGCACAGAATATGCATAGCTCAGCGACTCCGGTCTGTTAGCCCACGTCACGTCATATGGGTCTCTCCATTGACCTACTGCCAAGAGCCTTCACCACTCTCCCAATCCACACGGTCTCAAGTCACCTTGCATCTGAGGCAGGTTCTCCGATCAAGTAATTAGCACCCGAGCCTACCGAGTCCTGGCATAAGCATCGTACCGGCGTCACCGTTGCTTCGTCACGATTGCCGGCCGTTGCTGTACGTGTGTGCATACATGCACAGTGTGTTTACACGCATGTGCACGCACGTTCCCATTGGTGCACACTTGTTCACGAGCGTATGTAATTGCGCGTGTGTGCCCCCGTGTGCCTTTGCGGGAGCGGTAATGTAGCGGTTAGCGCGCTGGGCTACAAACCTGGCGACCCGAGTTCGATCCTCACTCACGGCCAACGGTTACAATTATCTGAACCGGTCCTGGGCATCCCATAGGTCGACTCAGCCTCAAATGATTACCTGGTGCGGTGCATTAACACATCGCCACTAGGGAGACAAAGACGGCCGAGGGAGGTGCTGACCACCCACTCCCTCATGTGCCATTCCGGCTTTCATAGGTGCTCGCTAACAGCACTTGCCTGAACAGTCCTTTAAGGTTATACAGGGGATCTTTATCTTTGTCTTGTTGCCTTTGTGGGAACCGCAGCAGACGACCGTTCACGTGTGTGTGTGTGTGTGAGGCGCCGTCACGAGTAACAGGTTTTCACTCGGGCACGTTACTGTTGTTTGTACAATGCCGCATGTGCACTCCCGCACACGCAATCGCGCATCTGTCTTCTTACTAGGACTTTCCCGGATTTATTTCAGGAGCCGTTTAAACTGCCTGGAGGAGGGAGTCTCATGGGAGCCGTGTGCCAACGAGTTAAATTAAAATGCGATGTGGGGTGGCTCTTTATTCATGGAGCCTGCAGCCACGTAGGCAACAAGTTTCTGGCCCAGACAGGCTTAACTCGTCCTCATGTCCGATCAAGTAAATTCTTTCGCCAGCTCCCCAGAGGGCATCATCTTTTGCACGATCAGCCATTCCCACTCTCGTCTGTCAGAGCTCAACCAGTTCACGTGCGTGCACTGATGTATTGATGGATTTGTCGCGTGGCTTTGCATTGGCTTGAGGAAGACGGGCCCGTTAAATCCAGTGCGCTCCAGGCCCCTACAAACGGGGATTATTTCACTCTTTGCTCATCATTTCCTGGACATTGAACCATGTGGGCTGCGCTGCCTGTGATGTCATGGTTGGAACACTGCGCTTGCATTCCAGACGTCGGCAGTTCGGTCCGCTAAACATGGGGACCGTTTCTTCAGTTCCTCCACCGCTGTCCACCCAGCAGTGTCAATGGGTGCACCACTGTTACCTTTTAAAACTGGGTGACGAAATAAGTCTAGGACAAGTATGTACAGTAAAAACTTGGATTGCGAGTAACTTGGTCTGCGAGTGTTTTGCAAGACGAGCAAAATTTTTTAATAAATATTAATTTGATAAACGAGCGAGGTCCTGCAATACGAGTAGCACGTGTATACGCTCTGTCTGCCGAGCGTCACGTGATCACAACTGATATACGAGTGCTTTGGATTACAAACACGTTTCCGAAACGAATTATGCTCGTAATCCAAGGTTTTACTGTATATATGTATGTTGAACTTATTTCTCAACGTAAGGAGCCAACCGCGCGCTAATCGGAGGTGCGGGAGGGGGGGGGGCAAGAGTGCAAAGCCACCTGGAATGAATTATGCGAAACTCCGATTGCTTGATGCTCAATAATTAATCGTTGTGCTTTGGACCGTGCCTTGGTCTCAGACATTACGTTAAATAGTACACGTTTCAGAACGCTCAGTTGGGGCTAAATTGAGTATCTGGACTGGCCTTGGAATGTTCTTGTCCAACGCCCACATATGCACGCGAAATATTTGGAGCCCTTAAAGACTTTAATCTCTTGCCTGTCAGCGGCTGATAGATACTTTAGTTTGCGAATATTAAAATAGGATCATACATTCATTTGGTGACGGTCCTGAGCGACATGCGGTGAGTAAAGGTTTTTGTATTGAGTGCATAGTCGTAGTAAAGAATACTGTACTCTATACAGTGGCTTTCAAAGCTGTGCAGAGTCGTGTGCGGTTCAAGGATTGTGCTGTAAAGAGGCCCATCTCCTCGTATATTTTGGCCAGCTACCAACCCCAGCGGACCGCGAGTGTCATGTTCCCTACACCATCCACACACCCTGCTTCCAAAGAGCTGGGTTATAGGCGTGCTGAGCCGTGCATTTTGGTTCATGTTGTTATAATATGTTCAGAGCCCTAAATAATTTTTCGTAAAAAATGCATTTTGTCCAATTCGTGACACGTTTACGACACTCGTTCCACTCCCTTTTGGTGAAATCGTGGCCTTGCAGAGGAAACCTTTACGTTTTATTTAATTTCAGGAATGGATCTTCCCTTCACTTCAGAATGCTTTCTTCCATCTGGCAATACCTGCGTGGCAGAATGGTCCAGCGCCAGAGCCGAGGCAGTTTCGCATTATTACGGGACGTGTTTCCTCAATTCATGAGCAGCATTCCGTCATTGGGGCGTGTGGTCGCCAGGCTGAGTGTGTCGAAAGGCATGGTGGCACACTCCTCGACAAAGGTTCCGGCAACGATTCTGATGATTCTGTCACCATGTGCATCGGAAGAATTGGAGCCTGATTGGTTGGCTCTGACCTTGGGCGAGCATAACACCATGATATCACAATGCTGTGGTGGAATCCCCATGCCCCGCCTCATCATTTATGATTGGTTGGCATCGGCAGAGCAAACATGCGCTCCAACCATTTCCCTTATGAATTGCAGAATTACACCCAAATTTACCTTGTATTTAAAAGTTAACAACCCTGTAAACTTTTCTCTCTCTCGCCAAATGTTCCACAAAGCTCCGTTCTTTTTCATGAAATGAAGCAATTCAAAATGTAAATTACAGGTAAATTAAATACGAATCAATAAAACAGGTGTTAAAATGTTAAAACACTAAAAAGAAACCTTTTGCAAGGAATCATGTCTGCATTAAGCACATATACTTGTGTTGAACATGCTCTGATAGTATTTAACATCTTAACCCCTGTTTTGTTGCCAGAAAGGGTAAAACCTATTCTCATATTTTGATGCTCGCAAGGGAGGTCCCATGACGAATCAAGTGAATTTGCATTTCGATAACCCTCTTTGGAACGGCATCCTCGCCGTGGATTTTCCATTCAGCCTTGTTGTCGACGCCAGGAGGCGAGCGGTGCGGTGCTGCATTTTTGTGTCTGTCTCTAAGCGCTGAGAGTCGTCGCTCTGTGCACCAGGGGTGGAGCTGGAGGATGAGGAGGAGCAGGAGGACGACCAGGACGCCTCGCTCTCGGGCCGCCTCATGGCGCTGGTGGAGCGCGTCAAGAACCTGCGGAGAAAAGACGGAAACGCTCAAGCGGAGGAGGACGATTCCAAGCCCAGTAAGCTGTCGGCAGCGGGGAGACCTCGGAGCGACGGCTCCGTCGCGTCACTTAGCGGCGCAGCATCGCTATTGTTGCGGTTGGGACGTGGAATGCAGTCAGGTTTAGGTCAATAGGTCACCACCGACTAGCCCACTGACGCCACCACGCCTTGTCGTCGCTTGCTTTCCTCTTACCAGGTACTTCAGCTGCTGCGCAAGTCGGCATCTGTTCAGCCAGAGTCGACCCTTATAGTATTCCCACTGTCTCTGGCTTTCTGCCTTCGCTTTGGATGCTGATCCCTTGATGAAGTGGCTTGTTAGTGTGCTCAAGATAGTTGCATACCAAAATATGTTTCCACAGTATTTCGGTTGGCATACCACTTAATTTGCTTCGCACAATTACACACATAGTGACCGTTCGCTCAGACCACGTCACTGCAAATGCCACTCAAACTAAAATAGAGTGAGTAACGGGAGAGTGGTCATCTCCTGGTGGCGCTGAGCTGGTGGTGGGAATTCGATAATTTTATGGTAACTTAACAATCTGCTCGCAAATTTCGATTTAAAGCTTTCGTGACTGCAGGGATTCATCTTCTTGGTTCTTTCGGTAAAGTCACGTGACTTTACCGAAAGAACCAAGAAGATGAATCTGCTCGCAGTACTGCATTGTACAGGCTTGAAGGCACATGCATTACCATGCCAGATGGCTGCATGAACAAACCCTGCCTTCAGAGTGCTGGATTCCACACGTATGTGGTGGTCCCAGCGTGGGTGACGCAGAAGCGAGATGTTAACTCCCTCGCCTGGTATACAGGATGTCGTGGGTTCGATCCCGACCCTGACGATGCCTGTATATCTCTATCCCCGTGGACGCGTGGATTTTTCCCCGGATCCTCCGGTTTTTCACCCCGCATTTAAAAGCATGTATTTAGAGTATTTGGCTGCTATAAATTCCCACGTGATGATAGGCCACTTCGTTGAGCTATCATTTGTGGCCAGGTCGCTTGTGAAAAAGAGCTACGTCGCTCAGTGGGTCTTACCTAGTAAAATAAACAAAAAATAGTTAAGTGTTTAGTCACCTCGACCCAGCCACGTAAAGAACCACACACCCTCCCTGACAAGTCGGAGACACAAAACGCGTACGGGTGGAAGGGGCAGCTCCCGCGAGTCCAAAGCAGGGAATCACCCTGCGATTGCGCAATACCCACGAGGTCTGCAACCGTTGGGTTTCTTTCCGCGAGCCGTCTAAAAAAGGTCCAGGACTCCTGTTGACTCTCCCGGCCACTCCATCTCGTGTGCCCCCCTCCCCTCCCCTCCTACACCGCTCCTCAATTCTATCCATGACAGTTGCTCTCCTGGCAAGGCCACAAGCGTGTTGGATTACGGTGGGCAAGCCATTCCTCGGTTATAATTAGGGGCTTAATTAGGATAGCAGATTCGAATGCAACTGGCCACTGTTTTTGTCAGTTAATCTGCTTTGGTTGGAATGCGATAAGGTTTCAATCGTGTGGTGCATCATCAGCTGGCCTGAGCCATCTTGAGTGTTTGTTTACATGTGCATTCACTGTGCTATTTATATTCGCGTTCATTAAGAAATAATTCTTATCGGTAATTTCATTGACTTCCTCAACGCGATGCTTAGCCTTAAGAATAAATGGGAAAAATGTTTTCCGAATGATTATTTCATAATTATTATACTTATGAAGATTGTTGTATTTCACAGCCAAAATAGCATGTGCACACGCACACAAACTGGGGTCAGCTGATGAATTTGGTTTTATATTTAATTGGGAAATAAGAACATAACATTACGGCCATATTTTCCCCTTGTAAGACACAAGTCACTTTGTGCCCGGCGCACACTATAGGAAGATAAAGAAAATTGACCATGAAAATCAAGACAGAGGTTTATCATGTGGAATTTAATAGTAGCCAAATGCCCTAAACGCATGTTTATAAATGTGGATGAAAAAACCGGAAAACCCGGATAAAAATCCACGCGACCACAGGGAGCACATGCAAACATACAGACGTCAGGGTCGGGATTGAATCCACGACTTTCTGTATACCAGGCGAGGTAGTTAACATCTCACGACCGTGGGAAGTGAGCTGAAGATGAGGAACGGAGAGAACAGGAGCAAAGGGTCAAGTTTCAAGTTTCATTTATTAGGTATAGCCATGTGAGCCATGCGGCCCTTAAGTCGGGTGCAACCACAACAAACAAAATTTGAACAGAGAACATCTTAAAGCGACGACACACAACAGAAACATCCTGGATAAACGAGCAAATCTTCCAAAAAAAAACCACCGTATTACAATGCTGTGTGCAAAAATCCCAGTGTGATGCAAGTCAAACAATAACAACCATAAGACAATTTAGATTCAAGTTATCAGGCCAACTCCGCACTTCCGTCAGTAGAGATGAGGATGAGAAGGAGGCTTCATGAGGGTCTCGACGCTGATTTTCACAGGGGGCAGCGGGGGAGTGTGGGTGGCCAAACAGAAGTCACGTGCTGTACAGGAGGCTTAAGCTAATTGAGATACATCGATACAATAAGTACATTTTCAGATGAGATTCAATTTTAACCAATGCACCAATCCAATAAAGTACCAATAGTAATAAGCTCCATCTAGAATCTAGATGGTACTTATATGTGAAAGTGTTTGCAATGTTAAACGTATCCAAACGAGTTTATTCACGCACAGAGGTAGTTTTATATACAGAAGATCATAGACATAACTCGCCAGAGTCTCATCTTCACAAATGTTCATCATCTTCTGATTTATTTTGCGAAAAAGTGGCGATGTTTTCATTACCAACAGTGGGAACATTTCCAAATTGATGTGGTCCAGCCATTTTAAAGATAAGAATCGGGGTCAATCTGGTGCGGTCGCAGTCCAGATTGAAACATATTTCACACACTGCTTCCTTCTGCCCTCGCTTGTTCCATCCTGCCCCCCGCTCATTTAACCCCATCCCAACTCCTTTCTTTGTCACTCACCCTTTCTTCCTTCATTCTGCCTTCATGTCCTCCGTTCAATCCCTACCACCGTTCTTTCCTCTCTGCTTCCTTCCTCGTCTCATCCCTCTATTACCCCCTCTTACTTAATCTGCTTCCCTTTTCAATCACAATCCAAACCCATTACATAATTCAATTTTCTTCAGTCTCTTTTCCTCCCTCCTTTTAATTTCATCCCTAAATCCCTCCTGTCAGTCTTTCTTCACTCTCCCCGTCCGTCTTTCCCCTCACACGCTCTTCGCTGTATGTACGTTGAACTTCTTTCGCACCGTACGTAGCCAAACCCTGATAATTGGAGGTGTATGAAAGGACAACAAACTGAACACCAAAAAACATTTCTAAAGAAGCGCGTCTGAAAGCGCGCGATGCAGTGACTGCCTTTGTTCGATGGCCAGCAGCCAAAAGTCGCTGTGAGGATGACCGTAGTTCTTGTGATGGTTATGCTCCCCTACCCGCCCCCTCCGCTCCTCACCACCGCGCCAAACCGTGTTTGACCCCCGGCAGACTGCCTGCAGCAGCTCATCTCGGGGACGCTGGTGCGCTGGGCGCAGGAGTCGCACGTGGCCGACCCGGCGCTCGTCACGGCCATGTTCACGCTGCTCCACCGGCAGTACGACGGCGTGGGCGAGCTGGTGCGCGCCCTGCCGCGCGCCTACACCATCAGCGCCGCCTCCGTCGAGGACACCATCACCCTGCTGGCGGCGCTCACGCAGATCCGCTCGCTGCTCAGCGTGCGCATGGGCCGCGAGGAGGAGAAGCTCATGATACGCGGCCTAGGGTACGCGGCGGTCCCGGCCACGCCGGCGGGGGGCACCAGCTGCGGAGGTCGCGCGAGGGCCCCCCGCGGCGTTTGGTTGCGGTGTAGGGCCGACTGACGATGGGCGGTGGCTCAGCGAGAGTCGCAAAGCCCGTGTTGGACCGCCGTAGTTTCCTTTCCATTTGCAGAAATACTCACCGGGGAGCTGACTGAACACGCCAAGCAGAATCGTAATGTAGTCTTGAACGTAGGTGAGGCTTTTTTTGGTAAATTAACTGTTGGTTTATTGTCACTATGCATATTCATAAGCTCAGGACCCCAACCAAAGTGAGCGATGCCTCACAATCATTTGAGCAGGAAAGCACTTCTGACTTGGACTTTGCCCATACTCGCGAGTGAGAGGTGTTAGCGTGTTAGAATCTTCTCACAAAAAACACATTGATAACCCTGAATACTCTGCCTTGCAGGGACATCATGAACAACAAGGTATTCTACCAGCACCCCAACCTCATGAGAGCGCTGGGCATGCACGAGACGGTCATGGAGGTCATGGTGAACGTGCTGGGTGGGGGAAAGTCCAAGGTGCGTTCTTCCCCTTCTTCATCATTGCCCCGGCTCCCATCCACTCTCTGTCACTCTCGGCAATAGGCCGCATTCTTGGTGTAGCCGGTCTGTCACGTTAGTCTGCCGCCCGTTGTCTGCAGATTTCTCTCTCTCTGTCGCACTCAGCAATGCGCCGTGTTTATTGTTCATTGCTGTCCGTGTGTGGATGCCTGTGCCCACAAATGTATGTTGAACTTCTTTCGCACCGTACGTAGCCAACCGTCCTAATCGTAGGTGCGGGGAAAGGATACCAAACAACGCAAAAGCAGTTCTAAACAAATTAGTTTTCAATCTACATTTTAAAATTAATAGCTCTGGTGGCTTCCTAATATTGTAACGAAGAGCGTTTCAGACGGCCGAAGAAGTGCATCTGAAAGCGTGCGATGCAGTGACCACCTTTGTTCGATGGTTAGCCAAAAGCCGCTGCGAGAAAGACCAAAGTTGGCGTGATGGTTTATACTTCTTGACGAGATCAGCCAGGTATCGTGGTTCATTTGTGGCAAGCTCTTTTAAGTCCGTAATGAATGTGTGGAACCCAGTCGACTTCTTATTTGCGTGCGGCGTCCACCAAAATAACATTTCTTCTGCGGTCGCACAGACGCATGGTCGCTCTTCTCCAGCGAGATTTGACTCGTGACCGTGCTCCTCCCCCCACAGGAGATCGCGTTCCCCAAGATGGTGGCCAACTGCTGCCGCTTCTTGTGCTACTTCTGCCGCATCAGCCGGCAGAACCAGCGAGCCATGTTCGAGCACCTCGGCTACCTCCTGGAGAACAGCAGCGTCGGCCTCGGTGTGTGGCTCACACGTTCGGTAGCCCCGCACTCTAAACTTAAACCATTTTTATTATTTTACCAGGTAAGGCCCACTGAGCCATATATATTCTTAGGTTTTTTCCGGTAAAGTCACGTAGGTAAAAACATTAAAAAGTAAAATAAAATAAAAATCACGACGTTTCGGAGGCAACACAAGCTTCCGTCTTCAGGTGGTACCGTCACAGCCACGACAGCTGTATCAAGTAAATGAGAGATTGCAGAAGCTACCACTCCGTTTATATAATGGTTGGAGAAGGTGAGCCATATATCTCTTTTTCAGAAGCAACCTGGCCGGAAATGATAGCTCAACGAAGTAAGGTGGACATTTATAGCAGCCAAAAACTCGCATGTTGATTCTAAATGTAGAGGGGGAAACCGGAGGACTTGGAGAAAGTTTCACACGACCACAGAGAACACACACAAACTCCATATATATAGGTGTCAGGTTCAGTATCGAACCCATGACCTCTTGTATACCAGACGAGCGAGCTAACATCTCGTCACCGTGGCGCCCCACTATTGTTCGGAACGGGCTAGGTTAGCTGAGGGTTGGGTTTGGATCTGATTTGAGTTGGCAAACTTGGGTTTGGGGTGAGCTCTCTAGGCGAGGTTAGGTGAAGACTTGGTTTGGATTAAGCAAATTACTCAATTGGGATGATACATTGCAATCATTGCTCCCTCCTGGCATACATGCCCAATTGCAGGCCTGGAGTCGACTTGTGCCCATAAGGGGACAGCTGCAACTGGGAGTGCCATTTCACATGTTTGAGATTAGATGTGATCAGATGTCATGTAAAGTGCTACCGGGACACCCTGGGTTATAGGGCACTATATCAAAAACAAATATTTGTAATTCGAGCGTCTAGCCTGGCGCAAGCGCTGTGGTAACATCACCACCACTCAGTGGTGATGGACAGCTGCTGCTGCTGTTGTTGTTGTCGGTGTGCTTGTGTGTTTTTGTTTTGGGGGTACGTGCAGTGCTTGAAATTAAAAAAACATGAACAAATATGCAAACACATTTTACCTTAACAGCTAGGGCATCGGCTTCCATCCCGCCAACGCAGACTTCAGACGCACGCTACAAAGACTCACGGAATCCGCAACGTATGCGTGATTTGTCGTCCGTGTCTTTTTTGTGGACGTCGCCCGCAGCCTCCCCGTCGATGCGCGGCTCCACGCCGCTGGACGTGGCCGCCGCCTCCGTCATGGACAACAACGAGCTGGCGCTGGCGCTCCGCGAGCCCGAGCTGGAGAAGGTGCGCACCCCATGGGCCGGCAAATCGCCCCGCACGGCTCGCTTCACGAGGGGGGGGAAGTCCTCGCCGAGATCCAGAGTCTCGAGGCTTCTTTTACTGCGAGCGGGCCTTGCAGTGGATGGGCATGCATTGTAAAGTGACGGGGAAAATCTATGAGCCTCCGTAGAGGTTTTTTCTTTTCTCGTGTCATTTTACAACTGTCCACATGAAAGTCCTTTAAACTGCAGGACTCAGAGATCAATTATTCGTGTGTTCTTCCTCCCAGCCCTTTGACAGCTCAGAACCTTTAGCCGTGCTTTGTGTTGTCAGGGATGTTTTGAGTTCCCTGGGTGGTAAAGTGGTGTTCATGTGGTCAGCTTCAATGGCAATGAGTTCCTGCTGTGATTCTCTTCACGTTTTTATAGCACTTTAGGCAGGCGCATGCCTTTAAGTTACAGCCTGTGGCCGCTTGCTCTGTTGGTCCAAGTCCGATAATTGTTGTTCTATTCTTTGGTTCTTTCGGTTAAGTCACGTCTAAAGATAAAATAATAAATTAAATAATAGCATATTACAACGTTTCGATTGCAACACAAGCAATCATCATCAGGCATAAAAGAAATAGCAACAAAAATCTAACTAGAAAACTATAGACAGACATACAAGCAGACAGACATCACAAGGACACACAGAGAGAGAACACATATCGGCACAAAGAGAGAGGTCGTTTCTGTGACGGGGCCTTAAATATAGAGAGGGGGGCGGGGGCGGAGAGAGGGAGGGGGCAGAGTAAAAATTAGCATATCAATGAGTGGACGACAACGTGATGCTGCAAGTAAGATGACGACGTGTCACGGCACGCAAGCTTGAAAATCAGGAGAAAGACACACTAAAATTGTCGTCCACTCATTGATATGCTAATTTTTTCTCTGCCCCCTCCCTCTCTCCGCCCCCGCCCCCCTCTCTATATTTAAGGCCCCGTCACAGAAACGACCTCTCTCTTTGTGCCGATATGTGTTTTCTCTCTGTGTGTCCTTGTGATGTCTGTCTGCTTGTATGTCTGTCTATAGTTTTCTAGTTAGATTTTTGTTGCTTTTTATTTTATGCCTGATGATGATTGCTTGTGTTGCAATCGAAACGTCGTAATATGCTATTATTTAATTTATTATTTTATCTTTAGACGTGACTTAACCGAAAGAACCAAAGAATAATTCCTGCAGTCACGAAAGCTCCAAAATTTAAATTGTTGTTCTATTTAGGAAAGGCTTTTCCTAGAAGATCCTACACGGCATGTTTGAGTATTTTTGTTTTCAAATGTTGTTCCCGGTGTGCTATCAGCATCAAGTTATGAGACGAATAATCCATTTGTGCGTGACCTCATTCTTCTGAGAATGGTTGTGCAATAGGCTTTGACAGAACATATTTCTGAAAAACTCTCCAATTGGCTCCCTCATCTTTACACAACAGGGGCGTGCTTTACAATGTACTTGCTGTGACATTGGTCTTAGTGGCACGATAGTCAAACCGCGATTTTACATTTTTCAGCCAAAGTGGAGAACCATTTTTAATGTAAAAGCTTCCTTGTGCAACCATTATGTGTCCGGGAAGGAGACCATTAACTCACTAATCTGAGGATCGTATTTAATTATGGGGTGGCTACCCGCATTCAAATCTAGAATCTCAGGGATGCTGGCTCATTACCGTGACCTCTGAACCTATTGGCCACCTTGGCCCAATTCTGATTGAGTGATTTTGCATGTGATGATACTGGAGTACCAGAGAATAAATCCACACGTACAGTTTAGTATGAGGGAATAACTTTAAAGTAATAATATTTTTTACTCGTAAGGCGCATTTCATCCGTAGATCCCAATGCGCGGTATATGTATGGTCTTCCTGATTGGTGTGTCCCGGACATATTCATTTTAAACAAGGAAAATTCAGAATAAATTAGTAATTTTCTACAAAGTACCTTTCATAAAAGAGTTTTGACATGCTTTATAATGTCTTTCTTGGCGATTTATAAATTGTCGTTATTAATTACTGAAATTATTATTCTTATCTGCTCAGGCAGCCACCTGTATTAGAGCACATACTCAAGACTTGGAAAGCTGCGAGTTCAAATCCCGGTCAGAGATTGACTTGGCCTATCATCTCTGCACAGTTCATAAAATAACTACCAATCTGTGAGAATTCTCTGGTGATTGTTCTATGGAGGGATTGGCCCCTGCCTTATGGAATTTACAACTCTGGCTCAGTGCCACCAGCAAAGACGAACATCGGTCGACGCGTGTTTGAGCAGACCCTTTGTTGCGTCTCTCTGATGTGTTTTCGGGTCTTGCCGCGTGTCGTACGGCAAGACATCCTTCGTCCGACTTTTCGCTCCACGTGCTGGGAGCTTCTTGAGCAAGTGAAATGCAACGCTTATGCTTAAATCCATGCAGGCCGAAAAACACGTGAGACAACCTGAAAACGCATCGGAGAGAGCTATTGAGCACAACCACGAAGAACTGCGCGGAAGTACGTGTTTATCGTTACGTGATGCGTTCTGCTCTTATGAACCACAATACCTTGTTGATTTCGTCAAGGAGCATAACCCATCACGCGAACTCCGGTCATCCTCGCAGCTGCTTTTGGCTAACCATCAAACAAAAGACGGTCACCTCATTGCGCGCCTTCAGATGCGCTTCTGCGGCCGTCGGGAACGGTTATCAAATACTGGGAAGCTACTGGAGATATGAACTTTTAAATCATCTAGATTGAAAACTCATTTCTTTAGACATGTTTTTTTGTGTTTTGTTTGTTGTCCTTCCCCACACCTCCAATTAGCATGGTTGGCTACGTATGGTGCGAAAGAAGTTCAAGACACATACATATACGTGATGTTGTGTTGTTTGCCGCAGGTGGGCCGCTACCTGGCACGCTGTGGCTTGCAGAGCTGCCCAATGCTCCTGACCCGTGGCTACCCCGACATCGGTTGGAATCCCGTGGAGGGGGAGCGGTACCTCGACTTCCTCCGATTCACCGTCTTTGTCAACGGTGCTGATTCTACGGCCGCTCTGAAGGCTTTGTTATACACGCTGCTTGTAGCAAAATTAAAAGCCATCATTCTACAGCACATTCTTTTGTATATTATCATGACTATTGCCACCACCACCATTATCATAATCATCGTCATATCGCTCCCCCCCCCCTTACTGGCTACTGGCAGACTCTTGGACGTTTGCGGGCCAGGTGCTGCCAGTTACCTTGTGCCCCACAGGGACAGCTGCCACTGGGGGTGCCCTTTGAAACGAGTTGAAATGAGATGTGATGATGTAAAGTGCTCTGAATCTCCCTGGCACTTAGGGCACAATATAAAAAACAAATATTTCTGATGATCATTAACCAACAACGCAATCGTCACCATTTGTACGTTTTAACTATATACGTAATGTTTCATCTGTCACTAACAATATCAATGGGTGACATAGACATATTATTGGATGTTTCTTTAACATTTTCTGTAGTAGTAGTAGCATATTCCGGTATGTACATGGGTTTCACGTATTTATACAATAATGCATTGTATACAGTGTTCAACACAGGCTATATCATAATTATTGAGCGGTGTTCCGTACATTTGGCGAAAGTATAATGAGGTTGTACCACAATATCATCTTATGTGATGCACTAGATAGTGCCCATGATGATAATAATTGAGGTTTTATATCGTGGCGTCATTTTTGTAACTGCATCGCACAGTGCTGTGCAAATCGAATAAAGGGAGCGTAGGAGATTCAGATGTTTTCAGCTACCACAGTGCTGGATTACAGGCATGCATAGCCACAATCACCGTCTGGCTTGTGATTTGATGACCTTATCCCAGAATGTGTCTGTGACTCTTCTGTTGTGAAACCCCGCTGGTTGAATCAAAGATTCACAGCTCTCTGATGTGACTTAGCGTTGTATACTGCGTATCATTTCACCCGATGCCCAATGTTCCACTCGTGGTGCGGTTGGGAGCTTTTTCAGAAACTGAATTTTCATGCCGAAACAATGCACGCATCCGAGAGCTACACAGCACAAACTAAGAATTGTATTAGGAATCCACTGGAGCTATGGCACTTTTATATCTATATCGAAAACTAATTTCTTGAGAACTAATTTTTGTGTTTAGTTTTTTGTCCTTCCCCCGCACTTATGATTAGCATGGTCGGCTACGTGTGGTGCTAAATAAGTTCAGCATGCATACATACATACGTACGTAAAACCAAAAAAAAAATACTTTTTATGATAGAGTACAGTATTCTGTTGACATCAACGATTTCAATTTGTGTGTGGCTCATGGAGAGAGCAGGCGAGAGCGTGGAGGAAAACGCCAACGTGGTGGTGCGGCTGCTTATCCGGCGGCCCGAGTGCTTTGGGCCGGCGCTGCGCGGAGAGGGTGGCCAGGGCTTGCTGGGCGCAATGAAGGAGGCCATCACCATCTCCGAGGACCCTGACCGGGACGGCCCATCTGCCTGCACCGACACGGCGCGACGACCCATGTACGTCCCGCGTGCCGCAGCCTCGTAAGGCACCAGCCCCCGGGGGGTGGAGACAAATTGCCTCCGTCCTCAAGCGAGCTTGGGGCTCCGTTCTACGTTTTAACAAAAAAATGTTTGGAAATGTGCAGTGATGCAGTGCATTGAAACAACTGGGTTCGCGTGATATGCAATTTGATGCACTCAGCCTTGTTCACCAGTGGCATCACTACAAAGCGTTGTAACATTATTTTTAGCAATGGAGTGGATTTGGTAAAGCTCAACTGTGCAGTTCGAGTGATGGAACATACAAAGGAAAACTCATCTGCGCAGCCTGATGAAGTACCACTAGCTACTAGGATTACGCCTCTGGCCTATTTGGAAAAGTTATTTGACGAGATGCCCTGCTTTCTGTTTTGGAAAACAAAAATTGTATTTCTCTGCTTCTTTTAACGAAGGCATAATTCCTGATTTTTGCTGTGCAGGGCGAAGAGCTTAACCGACAAACCTCTATTAGGGAAAGTTATATTCAGACCTTTTGAGTATTGTTACCTGTGGAGGACGATAAGACTGCCATGCTCTCGGAGACAGCTAGCAATGTGGAAATTCAGAATGCGTTTGTTGTAGGAATGTATTACAGGTGAAATAAAAAAAAAGCGAGAGGCTTAAATGGGCCAGGCACAAGCGTGTGGATGGTGGATGGCAGGTTACTGAGACGGGGGGAGGCATTGAAGGTCGGATGGCGAGACACTGTAAGGGCATCGCTTGGAGGTCGAGCGATGAAGTTGCTGCAAGAACTCGTGAGATGTCGGGGCGGAAAGGAGGAGGAGAGAAAGCAGTCGCCAGATCTTGTTGTGAAAACAACAACGTTGAGTTCACAATATTGACCGTGATGACCACATGACTTTAGTCTTGCGTTGGAAACGCAATTGAGATGTCATTTATAACGGGGGGGGGGGGCAGTGGAAGTGCATCTAAAATGGTATCTCTTCAATCACTTACCCTGCTTTATTATTGCATTATTTGACTTTCGTTGTGTTTGATATTTTGGTTATTTCGGCAGAATTTCGAATTATCTGCTTCAAAATGTTGATATCCGCATTCTTGTTATTACTCGTAACATTCGTGTTGTTATCTTCCTGGTAATACCTGTAATCTACCACAAGGCCACACTTCCCTCATAGGTGCCTACAAAGTTGGACGAAGGACTTGATATCATAATGCACACACATTTCTCCCGCTATAATCCCACCGTCCCCAAAGTTAAGGACATGTTGCGTTTTATTGCTCAAATTACCATCTTGTGTTGCCTGTCTTAGTTTGTGTCCCTGAGCCAATGGTAAAAAAATGTTTTTCTTTCCTATAGCAGGTCTGGTCTTACCTGATGACGCAACCACTCTTGATCCCAACTAACCATAGCCGACTGTGCGTGCACGTGAGAACACCGTCTCTCTCCCATGCCCGGGTCTCCCGCCCCACAGGGCTGTTTGCCACCGCTGGGTTCACGACACTAACCTTCTCTTCTGCTCTTGTGCATTCTTCTTTGTTTACAGGTTCCGTGTGCGTGTGTGTGTATGCGTGTTTGTATTATATCTATATATATGTGGAGCGGTAGTGTAGCGGTTAGCGCTACGCTGCACTACGAACCCAGAGACCCGAGTTCGATTCCCGCTCACGGCCAACACCAGTGATGATTATATGAACTGGTCCTGGGCCTCCCCTAGGTCGACTCAGCCTCAATTGAGAACCTAATTATACGTGTAAAATCATTGCTACTAGGGAAACAAAGGCGGCTGGGCATGGTGTTGGCCACCCACTCCCTCCTGTGCCATGCCGGCCTTCATAGGTGCTCGCTAACAGCACTTTCCCAAACAGTATTTTAAGACTATACAGGGAATCTTTGTCTTTGTACCTATATATAACCAAACACTTGTGTGATGTTTGTTGTATAGTATATGAAGTAAGTTATCCGCATACGCTATACATATAAACCGATAACCAAATCACAGATCGCTAACCGTGCGGAATCAGACAGATTTAACTGCCGCTTATTTATCATCGTACACGTGTGAGAGCCATGCTCACTTATTGCTGTTCGATCCGGGACTCAAGAATGGTCCTCAGGAGTGAGCTATAGCTCATCTCAGTCGAGGGACAGCTTGCATCCATGTGCAGGCTTTTATGCGGTTCGGCCGCGTGGCTCTCCGAAGTTTTTTTTATAATTGTACCGCGCGTAGTTCGGCATGATGTTGGACGTTTTCGCTGCACACGCTGAGAGTTTCAAGAACTTAAGGTACTTAAGCTTTCGAGCACGTGGAGCAGAGACATCGGACGGCGATCTATTCAGCCCTCCGACGTGCTTTTGGGTTGCCCCAAAGTGCTGTTCGCCACAACGTCCGCTAACATTTTGCTCCACGCGCTGGGAGGTAACTTGAGGAGCAGCATTCAAGGGCTGATTCCAGCGACTGAACGGACCTCCCATCGTGTGCTGCGAGCCGAAAACAAATCGGAGAGTCACGAACGCTCGGAGAACCATGCAACGCTCTGTCATTTGTTAAAGCGTGACACCTGCAAGGGCCACACACGATTGCCATGTGCAGTCGCAAGTGATTCAACGAGCGTAAACATTAACCTATTCATTTTTTGGCGCGTTAATTTTCTTTGAACGTCTCTTCTCGGTGTGCTGTGCAATGTGCTGAACCTGTTTGAATCATTCCAGATTACTCCAGGACTGGAATGATGAATCGCAAATAAACAGCTTTACGTGGGGGTAAAGTAAAGTATATGTTTATTTTATCACCCCATGGCTGCCATTACTTTTCCTACTCCTCCTCCTTTACTCACCCTTCCAGATTAGTGGCATCAGTAGGGACAAGGTACCCACCCTACTCCCACCCCCATTTTAAACAACTAACTGAACTGGCCTTTTACCCTCCTGATTGCTGACCATTGGTTAATCCCGTGGTAATTTTTTGTTTTAACAATTTTTCCATCCGGTTTCTCATCTGCTGCTTGGTCTGTGCTTCAATGGATGGGGGCCGTCCAGCTTGCTTTCCATCCCATGACAAATGTGTTTTCACTGTGGGTGCAGTGCCTTTTGTTTCTTATAAAGCATACCAATACCTCCCCTTGTGTCTGTCTCCCTTTAATGTTTGTTATCGGGAGGGTCGGGGGGGAGTAATACGGATGAGGCGGGCTGGGGAAACGGGTAGAGGACGGAGGGATTATGGAAGACGGAGGACACGGTACAAGCGTCGGCTAACGACCTCCATGTGCATTTTATATTTCCAGGGAAGACGAGGAAGAGGATGAAGAGGCCGTCCACATGGGCAATGCCATCATGACGTTCTACGCAGCGCTCATCGACCTGCTGGGCCGATGTGCGCCCGAGACGCACGTAGGTTTTTTTTCCTCCTGTGCTCGAGTATTCAGGCGGTCAGCACACGTGTGTCACTGAGCCGGAGTCAACGGTTGCGTCCCTTGCGGCCGTTTGGAAATATCTACGGCAAATTGCTCATGCGTTTTTTCGCGTGTACACGTCCTGGCATTTTTCCCGTTCACTACTGGATGATGGTCTGCCCACGCCTTCACCACCGGTTCCCCACGATACCTCGCCTCACTACCCTCGTCTTGAACCCTACGTAGCGACACTCAAAATCTACTTCGTACACCAAGGTCTTGAACTGTTACAGCCCCACGTCGGTTCTCTGCTGTCGCCCCCTCGCTGTGGAACTCCCTTTGCACATCCGCAACATCAAATACTTTCTGACTTTTAAGAAACATCGATAAAGGCCTCTATCTATTTGGTCAGGGTTTTCGAGCAGCCCTGAGCTTGGCTCCACGCCTCTGAGTTGTTGACTTGTCTGTAAAATCTGGCGCATTTTAAACGTCATTATTATTTGACCGCACTTTACCGTACCGGACAGTGTGGGTTGGTGAATGCGGGGAGCAATGACGCAGGAGCATAGACATTCAGCGCTGCACAGATATTGCCGGGCTGGCCCTCTGCTGACCACCGCATAGCCCCGCAAGGCCCGCGGCAACCAGTTGGTGCACGGTGCTCACCTACCCATCCTGACACTGGCCAGTGTGCTCAACTCTGCTTAGCTTCTGAGATCTGACTAGATCGGGCGCATTCCCAAATTATTTTGTAATCGGCACTAGGGGACATCCGCAACATCAAATGTTAATCAGACGCCCTGTGTGAAATTTAATGGAGCTAAATAAATAAATGTAATTGAAAATTGTGTACGGCACAGTTATAGTAGATCATGGGACCTCCTTTGCCAGTACCAAAATATGAGAATAGGTTTTCCGCTTTTTTCTGGCAACAAAACAGGTGTTAAGATGTTAAAACACCAAACTGAAACCTTGTTCAAGGAATCATGTCTGCATTAACCACAATACTTGTGGTCAGATTGCAAACAAAAAACATACTCTGACAGCTTTCTTTCAATGGTGTTAGACCAGAGGACGCCTGTTTTGTAGCCAGAAAAAAGGGGAAAACCTGTTCTCAAGATGGATTGCGTGGACACTTGTTACTGCCAGTCCGAAGGCAAGCTGTGCCGTGCTGACATATCACTAAGGACTCGGAAGGACACAGAAATATATCTTGTGCGGCACAGGAGAGTGAATGGTCCAAAACGTTTTCAACATTACCAACATCACTTTTTTCAAATTTTCTTGCTGTGGTTTTCACACCTGATGATGATTGCTTGTGTTGCAATCGAAACGTCGTGAGAATTTTATTGTTTTATTTTTATTACTTTATTATTTCCCTTCTACGCAACCTTATCGAAAGAACCAAGAATATAAACCAACATCACGTTAAGTAACGAGACGCTTCCGTTATGATGCGTTGTCAAATTGTCAAACAGCATTTGTCACCGTAACACTTTATTACGAATGTTGAGAGAAGATCATTAAATAATGTTCCCAGTCGAGATTGGAACTGTGGCGATCGATGTTAATGTGACTTTTGTGGATAAAAAGTGAAGTTATCCCGAAGACAATCTCTGAGGCTATTGCGCTGATGGCGTTGGTGATAATAATGCGAAGCCATGAGGGAATCAATAGGCCATCAACAAAATATCTATGACGACAGACGATTTGTGCCGTTGGTGTGTGGCCGTGAATGCGCGATGAACTTGTGACCGCTTAGTATGTAGATCAAGAAGTACGGTTTTGTCTGATGTATGTGTTTCGTAAAAAATAGCGTGGAAATTGTTCTGCAACATTCCTGATAAGTCTGGCTCAACATATTGTGCATTCTTCATATGCATTGTGCATTCTTCAAATGCACAATATGTTGCGTTATCGATACATTCAAGTCAGGTCAAGTGTGCTCCTGCTTGAACGTGGGGCAGTGCTCATTTACGTTTATGTCCCTGACAATCGGTTTACATTCCACATTTTTATTCAGATCAGTCTCAGGATAATCACAGGATCATCATTGTTGAATCTCCCAAAAATGGTGGCGTCAGTTTTACTGAACCTGGAGAGTTGATCCATCCCCTGACCAGAACTCGTAACCCGAGTTGAACGCTCTGCCAACAGACCACAGCCCAAGTAGTTTCACTGCACAAAGGAACAGATCCTGCGCAGGTCATTTGACGCCCGCTTTAAGGTGGCGGTGGCGAGCGACGTCAATTCTTGAATGCGCCCTCGTGTCTCCGTAGCTCATCCTCACCGGCAAGGGTGAGGCAATCCGCATCCGCTCCATCCTGCGCTCGCTCGTCCCTGTCGGGGACCTGGAAGGGGTCATCAGCATCCCCTTCAAGATGCCAACCATTGACAAAGGTGCGGTGGGCGTTGCATCCGTCTCCTCTTGACCGACTGTGTTCATGTGGAACGTCTGAAATTCCATCTCCAGTGTTGCGCTGTATCTGTCTCTGGTACAAACACTCGTGTAGGGAGAAACATGGGCTATTTATTTATTTAAGCCCACCGCAACGGCGGCAGTCCTTCGCCGCTCAGTGCTAGTGGCGTGGCCACGGCGCTTGGGACACTTTTTACGTACGTACACTGTATTTGAACAATTCCGTGCATGGGTGTTCGGCCAGCGTGAGAAACCTGGAGTCTTCGAAGGAAAGCCATGTGCATGAGAGAGGATAGAGCAATGAAATATTCGCAAAGTCAGAATAACTCTACTGCTCTGGCCACCTCGCACTTATTACCAGTGACAGCTCCCTGCGTAGCGCTTCTAATCTGCACAAATGATCAATCTTCACAGGTGAGGGGGGTCGGCGATGGTCGTGGTGGGGAGCGGTTGGTAAAACGGACGAGAGGGAGGGTGATTGGTTTGCATGTTGAACTTCTTTCGCACCGTACGTAGCCAACCGCGCTAATCGGAGGCGCTTACCGTGCGTGTTCCGCTGGCGCCTGTTTGCTTGCTCGGCAGATGGAATGGTGATGGAGCCGGACATGTCGGCGGGATTCTGCCCAGACCACAAGGCGGCCATGGTGCTCTTCCTGGAGCGCGTGTACGGCATCGAGACGCAGGACTTCCTGCTGCACATGCTGGAGGTCGGCTTCCTGCCCGACCTGCGCGCGGCTGCCGCTCTCGACACCGTGAGTTCCTTCTCCTCGCCTGCCTGATGGCCAGGGCCGTTGCGCTAACTCCGGTTCAGCCAGGCAGCGGGCTCCAATCTCGGCTTTTGCAATTACGGGTGACAAGTGAAAGCCTAAAGGTAAAAGTGCAGGCTGAAATTGCTTGCTCATGCCACTGGTCTCTACTAGAGATCTAGAGAGCCCCTCTAATGGTTATTTTGGCCTACTATTCCAAGCTGGCTGAGTGCACTTGTGTGAACATCAGCACCTAGTTTGGCAATGCGGCTGGGGGAGGTGGTGGCGACACCCCACCCCTCGTGCGTATTGTGCAGCCCTTAAGAGGTGCTCACTAAGAGCACTTGTCTCAACAGACCACACGGGCTCTGTTACGGGACGCTCTTTGTCTTGTGCGTGCACGTGTTTCCTCTACGTGTGCTCGCTCAACGGCACCTGCGTCCACAGGTTCACAAGGCGCTAAGCGGGGACCCGTGTGTTTGTCATTTGTCTTTGGTCGGGGGGGGGCGTGGTGGTGCAGCTGGCTCTCTCCGCCACCGACATGGCCCTGGCGCTCAACCGGTACCTGTGCTCCGCCGTGCTGCCCGTGCTGACGCGATGCGCGTCGCTGTTTGCCGGCACGGAGCACCACTCCTCGCTCATCGACTCCATGCTGCACACCATCTACCGCATCTCCAAGGGCCGCTCGCTCACCAAGGCGCAGCGCGACGCCATCGAGGAGTGCCTCATCGCCGTTTGCGGGTGCGGGAGGGGGCGGTCGGGGACGGGTGGTGGTGGTGGGGGGGGGTGATCGCATTGGGGTCGCTGCACCCAGCATTCACTCGGTCGGCACTCTATATTTCAGGCCCAGTCTTGGTCCAGTCAGCAACAACCCTGTTGAATTTTTGTCGAGCTGTAAGTCTGGATTTTTCCAGTCAACTCAAGCCGTCAAATTTAGTACACTCGTAGTTATAAAGCGTTTGTGTGAGGACCGTGCAATTTTTCCTCCTCCTTGCCTAATAATGGCAGGTCAACCAATCTGTGAACTCGGAAATATTTATTTATATACATATATGGGCAGTTATCGTGTTGGCCTTCCTCATTGCACTGCTGTCGCAAATAAATGTACTTCATTGTCTTAGTCTGAATCTTCGTTCAGATTCGTTTAATTTAATCACAGTCACACTTTGATTTGTTGGTGGATAGCCATAGACATTATCACCCTTGATAACTCTCATCCACTCATCGATTGGCACCAATGTTACTAACCCCAGATGGATGAGATGCTGAGCTTGACCCGTGACCAGGATTAGAACTCACAACTATTCTCGTTTGTGAGGCAAGCACTTTCCCGACAGCGCCAGTCAAACGGCGGTTATTCCAGTGGAGAGAAATGGCCGTCTCTAGGAATTTGAAATGTCAACTACTGGCTCATGGCTACCAATCGAGATGGGCGCCTACGGATTGCTCTCTTGAGCAAGGGGAATTCCGCTACCTTTTCCTGCTCACGAGACAACATATAAATCTCTTGTTTGGATAAAAACGAGTCCAAAAACCACCGTGAACAGCAAGTTTGGGAATTTTTCCAGACGGCACGAATGGCAGAGTTAAAGGTGAGAGACCTCCCCTCTGTGTGGGCAAATTTTGCCAGCATAACGGTGCCCTCTATGTGTGTGCGCGCGTGCCACGGTGCTGCAGGCAACTACGCCCATCCATGATGCAGCACCTGCTGCGCCGCTTTGTGTTCGACGTGCCGCTGCTCAACCAAAACTCCAAGATGCCACTGAAGGTGACGAGGCGTGCTGCTGTGTGTCCTCGTGCCTCGCTCCGTGCAGAAGAAATCGCATTATGGCCAAGTGGTGTTCACCACCGTCCGTGACCGAACTGGCCAACAAACGATGCCATTGAAATAATAATAATAAGGAAGCATAGGTTATGCTGTTTGCCTTTTAGCATTCTCTGGCCTAACACTGATGAGACAAGGCCATAAAGCCTCCTTTATTAACAACACATGCTTGTTTTACCACCAGCATGTTGGGTTAATTCAGACGTTATGCCTTGCGGTAGGTGTGTCTATTTGGTGTTTGCCGGAAACGGTAAAGCCTATTCTTTTTTGCATTATTTCGATACCGATAACAAGGGTCTCGTACATATAGGCGCGAGTTAACGTGGTTCAGCCATGTGCAGTGTTTGAATTGTGACCGGCTGCCTGGTCCATACGTGGAGTGGGTGCCATCTGCAAAGGGAAGGCATGGAATAGAGCACGTGAACTGCCAGCAATCAATAACAGCCCTTTGAAAGCAGATTCGTTGCATTTAACGTTGTTGTTTTAACTCCGTGGAAGTGTTAAATACAGCATCAAGCTATTGGCTAAAACTTTTCAGGGAAAATAACTTGGTCTGAGATTAAATATTTCTGAACGCACAATATGTTTGTACATTTACTCGGTTGCCAAATGCATTGGGAAAACCTTATAAACAATGCATCTGAACCTCAAAACTAATATCCTATGCAATATCCCTTTATAAATGTTATAATTTAAGTAAACGCTTCCAAATAAATCTACATGGGCCCTCACAACACTGATTGGCCATTGTTCAGCCCAACTCTGATTTTACCGTCCAATGATAACTTCCATTGCTGAACATGGTCGCGCCGTCCGCTGTCTGCAGGTGCTGACCAATCACTTCGAGCGTTGCTGGAAGTACTATTGCCTGGCGAGTGGCTGGGGCAGCTACGGGGCAGCGTCGGAGGAGGAGCTGCATCTCACACGCAAGCTCTTCTGGGGCGTGTTCAACGCGCTGTCCAAGAAGGTGACCACGGCCACCCTCCGCTGCTAACCCAGTAGTCATCACCATCACCAAAATCATCGGAGCCTAATTGTGCTTCGACACGAGCCGAGTGAAGAGACAAAGCTGTGTCCGTGTGGACTTGTCACATCCAGAACGGAATTACGGCATGTTGGAGAAGCAGCCTCTTCAATGCGAGTCAATTGAGTGGGCCGGTTTTACCCAACACTGCTTGAGAACTGTCGCTGATGTTCCACGTTCTGTTCAGCAGGGTGACGGCTTAAAACGTTTAGATCCAACACTGGACAGGTCAAGTCAAAGTATCTACTTGGTCTTAGCGTGGGGCAGTGCTCATCTCCATTAGCAGGCCTGAACCAGTGCTAGACAATCCCCATAGAATATACATCAAACAGTATTCTTAACCGTTTTATTTAGAGGTTCTCGATTTCAAATCCAATAGGTCGCCTTGCTTAATACTCCAGATGTATGCAGTACGCTGTATCTGCTTCACAGTGGAAGTTAAAGATCCCATGACATTGAATAGGCCATTGCTTGCCAGAGTCCTAGTCCAATTTTTGGATTACACTGAGCAATCATCGTCACTTGCTGGCAGACATGCCTGATTGCAGGCCTTAACTGAGTCCCCTTGTGCTGCACAAAGAGAGCTGCCACTGTGGGGGGGGGGGGTACCCTTTGAATGTTGTTTGAGATGAGATGTGACGTGATATGAGGTGCTTTGAGTCGCTGAGACATACAAGCATCGCCGCCTTATAAATTATTATTATTACTATGATTACAGCCTTACGAGCAGGAGCTGTTCAAGCTGGCGCTGCCAGTGCCTGGGCGCCATCTCCGGCGCCTTGCCCCCCGACTACATGGAGTCGAGCCGCATGGTCGCGATGGACAGCCAGTCCTCGCTGGACGCCGAGGGCAACTTCAAGCCGCAGCCCATCGACACGTCTAGGTGCGGGAGCGCTGAGCCATTGAGCCAGCGGCAGGACGACACCCCCATGCCTTCAGTTCTAACTGCCTGTTTCTTCTTTCCCGTGACGGGGCACTGTTGACGATCTACAATGTGGTACTCGTTTTAGTTTGTGAAATCGTGGATAGATGATCGGCTAAATGGATGGGGTAAATTGGACTACCATTGGAATTTAAAATCACGTCTGCTCATGTTTACTGTTAAAATGATAAATAAAGGTTTATAGTGTCATATCAATCGAGTTTGCAGGTAATGGCTTTTACGTCACAGTACAGGACTTTCTTCTAAAAGCTTTGGAACTCGCTGGAAATATTCTGGATATTTTGCTTATTGAAGACCTATATTCTTGTTTTTTTCGGTAAAGTCGACTGCAACACAAGCAATCATCATCAGGTGTGAAATCACACCTGATGATGATTGCTTGTGAAATCACACCTGATGATTGCTTGTGTCGCAGTCGAAACGTCGTGAGAATTTTTATTGTTTTAGATTTTTATTATGTTATTATTTCCCTTCTACATGACTTTACCGAAAGAACCAAGAATATGAATCCCTGCAATCATGAAAGCTTTAAATAAAAATTGAAGACCTGTTTGATAATTTTGGCATTGTTTTGAAACTACTACATTAATAGCTCACAGGCTAAAGAGCCTGACTAAAAACCTCCAAAACATCGTTGTGATAAAAGAAATAACATGACATTTCTTAAAATTCATATTTGTGAGAAAAAAATCACTTCTGTTGCACCACTCATGCTTGTTTTGTCTGCATGCATCTTTGCAGCATCACCATCCCGGAGAAATTGGATTTTTTCATCAACAAGTATGCAGAGCACGTCCATGACCGCTGGTCGATGGAAAAGGTGGGGTTCACACAGCAGCCAGGCCTGGCACACACAAATACCTCGCGGCTAATCTTGATTCCTCCCCCTCGGTGGGCTTGCGGTACGGCTCGGCTTTGGAACGTCCGTCCTCATTGTGTGTGTACAGCAGAAGCGATGGAAGAAGGGCACCAACTCCTGTATGTATCCTTACACCAGCTCCTTCTTTCTGTTGGATGGCCAATTCGTGTTGGAGATCCCATGGTATCTGCTTTGCAAACGTAATTGTACATTTCAAAAAAAAAAACTGTATACAGAATCTAAACGAGGCAAAGTGTGTGTTTGCCGACAAGTCACAGAGCTGGAATATTCAGAGGTAGTCCTTCTAGCTAATAGAGGCACGCACTAGCACACACGAGAAGCGGTACAATCATTTTCATGATAAGACAATATTAAATGTGCAGACTCAGTCTGCGGTTGTCACAAATACGAGACTCATCAATAGGCCGAACAGTAGCATCAATAGCGAATGGTACACACAGCCCTGGATAGAAGGCAGACCTAACAGAGAGCTAACGAAAGCGCCAGTCAGGATTAGACCCCAGATTGGCACGAGTGTGCGCCTGGCCAGCGAGAGGCCATTGATCACCAGGCTGAGACCATCATCTCACCACGCTTGGTAATGTGGTTTGAGCGCGGGCGGCCGCGTGGAGCGTCATCCAGAGTCTCCGCAGTGCTGGCGTGGCACTCTCACTCCTCAGCCACCTGGCCCAACTCCGCTGGATGCTTTCTTAACCCTTTCCCGTTCCGAGACGCCTCTACAAGTCGCGAGGGTGGGTGTCCCGTTCGTACGCTGAATCTAGGAACGCGCAAGCAGTGAGCATCAATTTTATTTAGAGAGGCGAAGTAGCGCCGTTGTTTTTCAAAAGATTGCACTGACCACAGGGAACTGCAGCGATACGACCACACTCTATGATAGCTGACGCCAAACTGCGCCATGTGCACTTCCGCGTGGCCTTGTGGGAGCCTCCGTACGTCTTTCTGACCCGAAGATGTACCGGTAAAGTTATTTTTGTTTTTATTCCGATTCCGATCCGATGATGTACGCGTGCATCATAGGAACGGAATTGCAACATATTGTGTGACCATTGAGATTAATTATTGGGTTTCTGGCATGTCGAATGCCAATTGAAAAGTCCTCTCTCCATACCGTGTCAACCCATACGGTTTACCCGTATGCTTGTACAGGGAAATTGAGTTGTCAGGTCCATACGGCGTACATCCGTTTCAATACGGGAAAAAAAAAATCGTCTATTTGTGTTTCTCTCTTGTGATGATGGGACTTTGTAGGATGAACGTTGAGATGTATAAGAGCACGGGGTGACCAATAAGGTCTGAATTGTTTTGCAATAAGGTAGGCACTGATAAGGGGTTGACAGGTATGTCTCTCTCTCTCTGTTTGACAGTATGCAGAAGGGTGGTCATATGGCGAGGTCCTCAATGGAGAAAGCAAAAGTCACCCCCTCCTCAAGCCATTCAAACTCTTTTCTGACAAGGTAATCAAGTCGGGTTGGCGTTGTAGTCGTTGTATTCACCTGCGACGTTCATTTTATTGCGAGGCTTCGAGAATAGCTTACGTAATCATAATAAGCTAGAGATAATGCTGAGCAAAGTCCTACATTAGAATGTTTGCCCAATACCATGAATGCATATTTGGGATGTAGAATGGAATTGGAAAACCCGTAGAAAATCCATGAACATGAGGGGTTCACACTTAGCACTGCCACCTTCTAGCCACCTAGTAGCCCCTAATGCCATTTGGAATGCCTTTCGGAAAGCCAGGATAGTAGTGCCTTTTGCGAGAGTGAACCGGGATAGGATGGTGCAGGGTGTGATGCAGGGTGGCGTAGGGCATGTCTGTAAACCGAGCTGAGTGTGAGACGCCGTGCGTTGTGGCCGCAGGAGAAGGAGGTCTACCAGCTGCCGGTGAAGGAGTCCCTGAAGACCATGCTGATGCTGGGCTGGGCGATCGAGAGGACACGAGACGGAGGGGCGGCCGCCATGCATGCAAAGCCGCAGCGCCTCCCGCACTCCAGCAGCGTGAGCAACGCGCAGGGGGACACCTACGTTTAGCAGGGCAGGGCAGGGGGGGGGGGGCATTGCAGTTGCATATGTCCACGTGTGCTTTTTGTACCAGTGTATCTAATCGGAGATGCGGAGGAAGCACAACGAACTAAACACGAAAAGCATTTCTAAAGAAATGAGTTGCCAATTTGAATGAATGCGTGAGTGTGTGTCTCTCACAGAATGTACTACGTGTGTGCTTGTGTGCTTGGGTGTTTGTGGGGAGCAATGTCTAAGTGGTTCGGAGCACTGCGCCATGATCACAACGCGAGTTTGATTCCTGGCCAAACACAACATCAAAGGCGCTGGTGGTGGACGAACCTGGCCTGGATCTCTCCTCAGACTATAATTAATCCTAAAGCGAGGAGAACCTTGTGTAGTATGTGAACTTAGGCCATGGAGAAGTAAAGGCAGGGCGGGCAAGCATGGTGCTTGTTATGACATCCTACTGTGTGCCCTGCCGTATATAAACTCTGGTGTAGTTTCAAAGTTAATTTCGTTAACCAGGTGAGAACTCAAGAGACCGGAATATTTTAATTTTCAAAATTTCCTTGGGCCACCAAAATGACAAATGCAAAAAAGTAAAGCAATGAAGCGAAAGAGAAACCGGCACAAGAACAAGTGCCAGGAACAAGTGTGGTGACCAGTGCGCTATGAATCCTATTCACCTGCGATAAATTCCTGGCCACGCACACTTGTGCCACTTGGTGTCTAATCCTGACTGGCGTTTTCCCTTACATCTGTTAGGTCTACGTTCTACCCAGGGCTGTGTGTACCATACAATATTGATACACCGTTAGGCTTATTGTTGAGTCGCGTTTTTGTGATAATCACAGGTTGAGTCTGCACATTAAATTTGTTTTATTCTTAAAATGTTTTTACTGCTTCTCGCGTGCGCTAGTGCGTGCTTGTGTTAGTAGGAAAGACTGCACGTGCTTTTTACATTTAAGCGCACGAGTGCTGAGCTGGACGTGCCCTTACATCGGTGTTTCCCTATGACACCATTGAAACCCCATGGTGTGTGGAAAACCTGAGGACACACCCTGCGACATGCCATTCAGCAAACAGATGAGCGAATGGCTATGACAACCCTGTACATGCTTTGCGTTTAAGTTGCACTCGTGAATTGGTTGGCAGTCGTTTGAACATAGTGTACTAACTCGGGCTCAAGCACTTTGTTTAACAGTTGTCTTAATTGTTTGCTTTCACTGCTTGGGCTAGTTGAGACCTCTAAGGGAGGTGAGTAACTTGTAATAACCAAGCATTCAAATTTTTTCGTCTTGTGTATAGTTTAAGCCCTTGGGGGGGAAACTACCCACACGTCATCCGCCGTAATGTGAAAGCGAAGCTGTTGGCAGGCGCATGCGTTCCGACGAGCCGTAGTGCACAGTCGCGTGCCATCGAGCGCCATCTAACTCCACTTTCTTTTGCAGCGACGCGTGCGCATCTGTATTCTCATTCGCTTGCGTCTATTGTACAACCACATCGCGCAAGAGCGGCGGCGCCCGATATAAATTCGCCGACATCACCCGGCACGTGAACGTAATGCATGCTGAATTCTACACGCGGGTCGCCGAGCGTGAACGTGTTTGTTGTGACGGGTGCTTTGTGGTGGTGGGATTGTAACAGTGGGCGGGATTGTGGCCTCGCCTTTCGTCGCACTGCGTTGTGACCCGATGCCGGGCATCTTCTCACCTCAACATCGTCGAGTGCCATTTCCTGTCAAATTAGTCCCTTTTCAATCGAAGCACTAAATCGAAGTTTAATCCCAACTTCATAACGACCAGGAACAATGTAGACCCCAGGGTATTTTTTTCCCCAAGGGGTTGAAACGGCATGTACGGGTAATTCCTGGGTTATTTGATCGTGTCGTGTTGATGAAGGTTAATCTGAAAATTGTGCTCAAGCGTATTATTATGTTTTTTTTCCGGGGAACTCTTGGTGCATAGTTGTTAGAAGAATGGAAATTGTCGGAGGTTGAGCCACAGATGGTTTCTTAGGATTGCAAGATGAATGTGCTTTAATTTCTTGCAGTCGAATATTTATAATGGAGATTTAAAGCTTTTTTGCGTCAAATGAATTCTGGCTAAAAGTATTCAACACACTGAGTTTCAATTTTATTTTCGGCAGGAGGCTCGATCGGTATTTCACAATGTCTCTTTTAGAATTTGCTGAAGCCCACGTAATCATTTTTACAGTCTGGATGCGGCGATCACTTATGCTTCACAATGAAATCCTGCCACTGACAAAAAAAAGATTCGCTTTTTATTCCATGGTCTTGTCCTCCTGAGTAGAATTCAATTGTGTTATTTTCTTTTGCGCTTCTTCTCAGATTTAATCCAGATGCAAATTACAATTGTTTGTTCAGCCATACAAGATTTGTTTTGTAGTCCAACATTTAAACTCCTCACAATCTGGAATGGAAAGTCTGTATTGCAACTTAAATTCTGAAGTATGTTAGCATAGTTTTTAAGGCATCACCTCTGTGTTTTTGTATCAATATCCTATGCATATCCTATCTAGCATCGTAAATAAGCCCAGCTATGATGGTAAGCCATTAAATCAAATGCAGAACTTAATATTCCAGCCAACACCCTGTCCTTTCACATGTGGAGCTTTTGTGAGCTAACCTCTCAAGAGATTTTGCCGCATGCTCGTTAAAATTCCTCACCCTGTTCCTCTCTGCAGCAAAGCTCATTTGAATCTCCCCACGGCTTCACGCCACGACCCCTGGACATGACCAACGTAACACTCCCTCGGGATCTGCAGGTCAGTCTTTGCTTTCAGCCGATGATTCTTCTTGGATGTTGTTGCAATCTGAGGTTTGTTTTCAAAACGTGGAGATGACCAGGTGGCTGAGATGTCAAACACTTTGTGAGAACACTGAGAAGCTACCACGAATGAGTTCCTGGGTTCGAATCCGGACAATATCCACCGATGATTACGTCGATTTCTCAAGTGTGGTGAGTCTGTTGGTCTCAGCCTAGTCACAAAAAGACTCAACACACATTGATAGAGCCTAGAAAAGGTAGGCCCCTTGTATGGACAAAGAGGCCTAGGGAATGGAGTTAATAAGTACGTGTGATATTGAATTCCAGGGCTATGGTTTGACACAAAGTGATAAAAAAAATCTTAATGCATGACTACGATCACACATTTGAGGTATAACTGTAAAAAAAAAAAATGATGTGCGATTTGATTAAATATCATTTTTTACAAGTGAGGTTTTTTTACATTCTTACTTCTGTCACCAGAACATGTCAGAGACTCTGGCTGAAAATTACCACAACACTTGGGCAAGTAAGAAGAAGATAGAAATTGAAGCCAAAGGTGAGGCCCTGACCCTGGTTCAAATAAATTACAACAATAACATCTCACTTATTCAGCAATGGTCATTCGTTTAGTTTCGTTAAGTTTGTTACATTTTTGAGCCAGCTGGGCCAGGATTGGGGGAAAAACTTAGCCCACTTTTCTCCCAGGCAACTGGCGAGCACAGGCAAGGTGTTACTAACCTAACATTAAAACTAGCAATTACATACTCTACACTCTTTGGTTCTTTCGGTAAAGTCACGTAGGTAGAAATAAAATAAAATAAAACGTTTCGATCGCAACACAAGCGATCTTCATCAGGTGGGACAACCACAGCAAAAAAAATGCTGAAGGTGGCGGGAGAGCTGCCGTGGCAAGAGGTTATATAGGTAAGAGAGGGGGGAGGAGGCAAGGGGGGAGAGAGGGGGGGTAGGGGGAGGGGCCGCGTGAGCGCTAGGGGAAGAGGGCGTGAGGCTGGGGGGGGGGGCGTGGGCAGGGCTAGCAGTAAACCGGCAGGTAACGATAGAAACAACAACAACCAGTTAAGGCATTACCTGGTTGATAACATCCTTTCAATTATTGTTAAATTTGTATCCATCTTCTCGGTTGAAGTTTTGTCTATGTTTAAATATCTGGACGGCTTCATGAACAAACCTTTGATAGTAGCCCGAAGGTTTGCAGAGTACCTTGGTCTCAGAAAAAACTATCATGTGAGCCCACAGCATTATAACAATGGTCAGCTACGGCAGAGGTATTGGTTCTGCCGTGTTTTAGATCTGCCTTGTGTTCGCGGAAAAGGTCCGAGACATGTCGTTTCGTTTCCCCAATGTAACTGCTGCCACAGGTACAACTCAGTTTGTAGACTCCAGGGTATTGCATGTCAGGAATGACCTCCTTCACAGATGGGATTAGATCACGGATTTTGTGTAATGTATTGAATCCGACCTGAATCTTGTGTTTGTTTCCTATCAATTACATATTTAAAAATCACAGTTAAGAGACAAATTACATAAATTTTATTAAAAATAAGATTTTTTTTTTTATATAATCTCATCAACAGGTCCACATGTTTTGTTCACGTGACAAATTTATTAATTGGCTGTGTCGGGTGGATGGGGGGGGGGGGTATGACACACATTGTACTTACGCGATCTGACCTAAAGATCAGTTTATGAATCATAACTTTGGTCACGACAGCCAACGCATTAAAGCGAGAGAAGCGCTCATCAGTGTCTGTGTCTTCAAGTCGGAAATCAGATCTCCACCTCCGAGACTGTGGTGCAGCCAGAATATGGCAGTACAGTCTTGATAAAAAGTTGTAGGGGTTTCCTATTAAAACCATGGAATAATTAGAAATACTTAAGACGCACGATTGTATACATCGGTGCACATTGCTAAACTTCATAATTGCAAGTAATTAAACTTCTAACTGAACCAAATTAAGCTAAGAAGGTACAAAGAAAAATCGTATAATATTTGTTTAATTTAATGATTCAGATGCTTTTCTGAGAAAACAAGGTATTGGAATACATTTGAACGCAAATAAAATTGCCGCTTAAATCGGGACGGTAATAATCTCACATTCTGAAGAAAAAAACCACAATGGACTCATTGTCATATTATTCTACGTATGTGTGCGTGTGTGCATGCTTGTGTCTGTGTATACGTGCGTGTGGGTGTGTGCGCCAAAGCAGGGGGTGGCACCCATCCCCTGCTGGTTCCCTACGACACACTGACTGCCAAGGAGAAATCCAAGGACCTGGAGAAAGCTGAGGAACTTCTCAAGTTCTTGCAGATCAACGGATACGCTGTCTCCAGGCACGCTACGCCCCACGATCCCATTGTGTTACTAAGCTGAAGTGTCTCTCGACTCAAACTAGCACAGGTAGTTGATTATTTTCATTGGTGGATCTGAATTGTGGTTGGTAAAATCCACATTCCGATGGTAAGGCTAGACTCTCCTCGTCATGGCGACTGTTAACGTCTCACAATGGAGCCGTGCAATGGGATAAGAAATGGCTGATTTAGAAATTTTATGGAAATGCAGCAACAATGGGCTAAAAATAGGGCACCCCTACGTGTGTGCATCCGTGTGTGCACGTCGAGCTTTGAACACGTTCCTGTGTTTGTGTCCTGCACGTGAATCCAAATTTGAATGTGCAGGCACAGAGGCGTGTTACGCATTTGGGTTCACGCATGCGTGCGCGTGCTGTACAAGTTGCCACGAAAATGCAGTCAGTTGGCAAAGTGTTGCCTCTACCAGTCACCACAGTCAATTAACCCATAATAGCTGGATCCATCCCGTGACCTCCTGCCAGCGAGCCTTCCACGCACTGCACGGTGCCTCAAATCGGATCGATTTTGGCTGAACCGTTGCAGTGGCGTCACTCCCACTTAGTGGCGAATTGGGGTTATTGTTGTCACAAAAGCAATTGAGGCTATACCGGGAATCTCTGTCCTGTCCTGTGGTACGTGGAGAGTGGTACTCCATCGGTAGACGCGCTACACTACGAACTAGATTCGCTTCCTGCTCACAGCCAGCAACCGTGGCAAATATTATAAACCGGTCCTGGGCCTCCTCTAGGTCGACTCAGCCGTAAATGAGTACAGGAGTGCTGTGTGTAAACATCAACATTAGAGAGACAAATGCCGCCCCTCGTGCGCCGTGCCGGCCTTCATAGGTGCTCGCCAACAGCGTTTACCCCAACAGCCTGTTAAAGGCTGTTGGGGGTGGGGAGGGGTTGAGGGGGAATCTTCATCTTTACTATTTACGGTACGTGGGACAGAGGTGCCAAGGACATGGAGATGGACGCCTCGTCCATCGAGAAGCGCTTTGCGTATGGACTGCTACAGCAGCTCATCAGCTACGTGGAGAGCGCCCACGGCTACATCACGCAGCTCGGTGAGCTCTCGCCTCGCTCCGACAGGCGGGGTCTCTGTTTTATACGGGGCCTTTTTTGGCAGCATCAAAATGATGAAAAATAAGAAGAGGTTTTACTGGTAGGAACCTCCTGATTACACCAGCCCACAGGGGATTATTGTGTCCGTCGTGCAGGGAGGGGCTGGGTGGGGAGGGTGGGGCTGGGTGGGGAGGGTAGGGTGGGGAGGATGGGGAGGGGCTGGGTGGGAGGGATGGGGCTGGGTGGGGAGGGGCTGGTCACCCCGTGGTGCCCTTATAAAACTCAATGTTTAACCGTCTCACGCCGGCTTGTGCCCACCCTCACAGTCGGGCATATTTGCGGAATACACTACGCCGCCGTTGACCCTGGCCATTGACCGAGCAACCCAACGTTCCTACTAGCTTTTTCTGGCAATAAAACTAGATACCTTTTGCAACGCATCAAGTCTGCATTAACCACACAAACTTGTGGCAAAACATGTAAACATGCTCTGATAATTAATATATACATTGTCCTTGAAACTGATTGGCCTACACCAGAGACGTGCCAGACCAAATTTGTCTTGTAGTTGTTACTGTGAGCGTGTAATTTAAGATCGCGGATTCTTGCAGATTTCGCCATGACCAAGAGGAAGGAAGAGAGATCATCGAACAAGTATCCCCACGAGCAGGAAATTAAATTCTTTGCCAAGGTAATGAAAGCACGCGCGCGTGCATTCATAACGCAACCCTCCTCCGATTGCTCGTCCCTTGCGGCGAGACTCAGCGGACGCACTTGAAGCGCCGTTTGGGATTGTGTCGCTGACAGTCGAAACGGTGTAAATGTAAACGCACACCTCGCTCACAGCGGGCAGTGTTATACTCAGAGTGCCCGTAAAAGTTTACGGTCGCCGTGCCTGTATCAGTGTCAGTCAAAGTGCCTCCCTGTGCAAGCATTGTCCGTTGCCATTGGCAGCTCTGAGGCAGTGATGAAACTACTCCTTGGTAGGAATGGTGAAGCGGTATCACAGTGGTTAGCAGAGTTCTTTTACCATGTTAACAAAACACAGCCAATCTCCCAATCCTCACAGTGACACCGTAACGATGTCTCCCCTATGTCTTTGCGCAGGTGGTGCTGCCCCTGATAGATCAGTACTTCCAGAACCACAGGCAGTACTTCCTGTCGACGCCCAGCAGCCTGCTGAGCAGCGGAGGCCACGCCTCCAACAAGGAGAAGGAGATGGTCACCAGGTTTGCTGCATCCCCCCCCCAGTCCTCGTCACGCCACCGTCACGCCTCGTCACGCCACCGTCAAGCCTCGCTCCAATTTAGCGTGGAAGAGTAGGCCAAAAATGAAGGACCGTTAACGAATCAGATGACACGTTGTTTCACATATTCAACTATCGATCTCACGGTTATTGTAAATTTCTCCAAACCCCATCGCTCCTTGCGGATGTCCGCACGAGGCTTTTGCTTCAGCACGAACGAGACCAGGACAAAGTTCCCCACGAATAGACTTATCTACATGGCTTTACCGAAAGACCCAAAGAATATTAATTCCTGCAGTCACGAAAGCTTTAAATCAAGATTTAGACTTAACAGAGTTTTGAGGCAAGTGCTGTGAGCGGGCAGCACCTGTGAAGGCCTGCAAGGTACACAAGGGGGGGGGGTGGCCGGCACCACGCCCTGTGACCGCCTTTGTCACCGTGGCGATGTTTACACACCGCACCAGGTACTCATTTCAGGCTTGCGCGCACACACACACTCACACACGTAGATGTGTGGTGTAGATTTATTCATATTTTCTGCCGTATTCTTTATTGCCTATGGTAAAAATCACCTGCAGTACACCCATTTCAATAATTTCCTTGAAGCTAAGCCGATTTGAGCCTGGCCAGGATAGTGCTTGGATGGGCGAATGCCTTGCATAACTGGTGTTTAGGGCTCTTGAATCATTGCCTCACTTGATGCAGCTAATCTCGCTGTGACGGTCCCACCTGATGACGGAGACTTGTGTTGCCTCCGAAACGTCGTGATCTTTATTTTATTTTATTTTTATTAATTTTGATGTTTTACCTACGTGACTTTACCGGAAAAACCTAAGAATATGAATCCTTGCAGTCACGAAAGCTTCAAATCTAGAATTAGGGCTACAGTGTTGCACTGTACTGACATGATCCCATGTCTATCTATACTCCTCCGCCCACACCAACTTGCACTGAACAGAGTGTAGTAAAATCAACTCCACAACCAGCATGCCCTGCGGGGGATGCTTCTCTTCCAGTAGGGGATTGATGACAGGGCTGAACACGTGCACAGCATTCGTAAGCAATCACCGCAGTCATAATTTTTCCTCATGTATAGCTGCCTGACCTGACCGTTGTTTCGCAGCTCGTTCGATGACAACTAACGCGTGCAAGAAAAATATCAAAATGTTATTCCATTTCTTCCTCTTCTCTCTCGCTTCCTCGTTTCCTCTGTAGCCTCTTCTGCAAATTGGCCGTTCTTGTCCGGCATAGGATTTCTCTCTTTGGTAAGAGTGGTCTTTGGAATCCTGGTTTGTATTCTGTGTTGTGGCTGCCCGGGAGTGTTGTTGTTGTTGTTGAGGGTTTTTTTTTTTTTTTCAAATGCATGTTGTGGTGCCAGATGTTTGCATGCTACACGATACTAACATCCATTGGCAGGATCTATTTCGCTCTCCCATTTAGTAACCCCCAACGACCTTTAATATTTAATCTTATTTGCGAATCCAGGGTTAATCTAAGAGTGTTATATATATATATGTATTTTTTTAAATGGACAGGATTTAGGACTGGAAGATATTTCACTTTTCCGATCATAAGTCTTCACTTTTCTCAGCAAGATAAAAGCACGTTAATTCATGTGTTCATGGTGGAGTGGGGGTGGGGGGCAGTGGCATACTGGTTAGCCCATTGCGCTATAATCCTAGAAAACCTGAGTTCAATTCCCAGCCGCGCTAAACACCCACGGCGAATGATAGTTGGACCTGTGTTCCCCTTCACTTCAACAACCCGCATTGACCTGCTTGGTGGTGAATTATAGTGTAAAAAACTCATAACTGACGTGTTGTGGGGAAGCCTTCATCCATCAGTGGATTGACAAAGCGTTGTACATTATCAACATACAGATGATTGCAGAGTAGCAGAGTGTTCACGTCACGTCAAACTGTCTCCCGGCTCTCCGTCTGGTTGGCGGTGGTATTCTTCATTGGTGTGCCAGAGCCGGTGGTGGGAATTACGTGTCCCTAAGCTGTTGATTGCTTAAATCTCTTCACGCATTAAAATTAGTCTGCACACACAGATGTCATATATATATTACTCCCGATATGATGCGACGGATAGACTGGCTCCTGGTTCGAGCCCGTCAACACAGATGAGCACTGCCCCCCTCACGCTCTTTCGGGTTTGGAGACAGTTTTAGTCTTGGCAGCCGAGTTGCATTCAAGTTCTTCGGCATTTTCGTTAGCTTCAAGATTTCATTTTGCATACAGAACTGGAGCAGCTGCTCCCATTATTATTATAATTCCCTATGCATTGTCCTTGAAACGGATTGGTCCACACTAGAGACAGCTTTCTTTTGAGCCTAGCCTCAAAACTGTTAGACCAGAGGACGCCACAAGGCATACAGCGAATATATTTATCAGAGTATGTTTTTTGTTTGCATTCTGACCACAAGCATTGTGGTGAATGCAAATATGATTCCTTGTAAAATATTTCAGTTTGGTGTTTTAACATCTTAACACCTGTTTTGTTGCCAGAAAAAAGGGGAAAACCTATTCTCACCATGGGTGTAGTTTTGGTGGAGAGCCTCTATACCCTGGGTGGCGTTTTCCCTAGTGTTGCTGTTTTTCACTTTGTGCTGTTTTTTTTTAAGGAATCCTTTGTGTATCTCGCTTGCTTTTGTATCCTGGTTGCCTTTTCTGCTATCTTGTGTTTCTGCATCTGGTATCACAGGCACATACATACTCACATACACACACACACTCATACACACACACGCACTCATACACACACACGCACTCATACACACACACGCACTCATACACACACACGCACTCATACACACACACGCACTCATACACACACACACTCTCTTACTGTGATGTGTGGCGAGCAGGGAGCGACGCCACTGCCATGGTGAACTGCCTACACATCTTGGCCGGATCGCTTGACTGCAGGTGCACAAGCTGGGTGCCCACCATGGTTTACATTAAACACGCACGCCTGTCGAATGACACACACACACATACACTAACACACATGCAGAACGCACTCCTGCCGAATGACACACACACCAACACACGAACAATGCACACGTCTGCAATTACACACCAACACACATGCAGAGCGCATGCCTGTCGAATTGCACACATACTAACACACATGCAGAACGCACACACGTACAATTACACACCAACACACATGCAGAACGCACACACGTACAATTACACACCAACACACATGCAGAACGCACGCCTGTCGAATTACACACACACACACACTAACACACATTCAGAATACACATACATACAATTAGACACCAACACACATGCAGGACACGCACGTACAATTACACACATGTAAACACACATGCAGAACGCACACATATGTACAATTACACACCAACACACATGCAGAACGCACACATATGTACAATTACACCCCAATGCACGTTGTCAGCACTGGAAGAAACAATGAGTAGGTGTGTAGCTATCACAAAGCTACATCTGAGATCCCCTCTGGTGATTGATGTTCCACAAAGTAGGGGCAGCACTTTCCCACCCATTCTGCCGCTGCTTAAAATGTTCAACGTGTGACAGTCAAACTGATATTGTAAAGCCTCACAGCTGGAATTTAGCCAGGGTAAGTGTAGAAACGAATTATCTGTGTTTCTTTGTATAGTCATTGATGACTGGGCTGAGATTATCAGCCGGCTACACTTGAAGAACATAATTTGTGTGAAACCAGCTGCCTGGATTCACACCCTTAGGAGTCTTTTTTTTAACGTACGGCTGATGTAGGTGCAGAGCAACAACTACAATTTCACATTCAGGTAGTCAAGCCCAGATAAACAGATTTTAGGAATAACACATCAGCATTCTGACCTCTGAGCCACCTGGTCGTGTCCAGCCGACTTGTTCCGAACACCCTTGCAGCTCCCAGCTACGCGAGCGAGCGAGTGCGCATCCTGCCCCGTAGGCCTTCCCGTTCGGTTGTTTTGAGTCCGATCCCAAATCCCTTGGTTTCCTTTGCTCGTGAGAAACGTCACAACCCAACGAGCCGGCCACCGACCTCGCCGACCCCACCCACCCCCCACCTCCCCCAGAACGGTGATGAAGGTGGGGCCCGACAGCGTGAAAGCAGCGCTGCGCGCGTTCTTCGAGAGCGCCGCCGAAGACCTGGAGAAGACGATGGAGAACCTGAAGCAGGGCCGCTTCACGCACTCGCGGAGCGCGCTCAAGGGCGTGGCGCAGACCATCAACTACACGTCCGTGGCCCTGCTGCCGCTGCTCTGCTCGCTCTTCGACCACATCGGGCAGCACCAGTTTGGCGTTGACCTCATACGTAGGTGACCCTCCACTCCGTTGCCAGCCTTTGCGGCCCTTGCCCCGGGCTCATTGGATGCTCACGGAAGGCACCGTGAAATTGTTTATTGTTGTTCTTTGTATTTGTGTGTATGTATGTTGAATTTTGTATGCACCATACGTAGCCAGCCGAGCCAATCAGTGGTGCGGGGAAGGACAACAAACTAAACATTAAAAGTAGTTATTATTGTTCTTAACTTTTTTATAATGCGCAGCAGACCCAGCAAAGGGCTTCAGAGCGCATTACAGTAAAATGTTTGCAAAAAAAAAGATCTTCAGTTTACCTAACATATCACAGGCAATAAGTAGGTTTTAAGAAATGTCAGACTCACTTCTGGTTTTACACTTATATCGGTTGTAAATAATAATGTAGAACGTCAGCCAAGTTGTTTCATACGACAGTTCCTTGATGATGCACAGCCAGCATTATCATTTTGATTCGAAAACTCGGTGGCTGGCTAAGTTGTTTTCATACGTGCATGAAAGTGATGTTTGGCGACTGGCCAGATGACACTGGTAGAATGCTCAACTCACAATTGGGAGATTGCGAATCAAAAATCCTAGCCAAGGGTGAATGCAGTCCATCCATCCCTCGGAGGTCAATTAATTGAGTAACAACTTTGCAGAAGGTTAATCAGTGGATTCCAATGCAGAAAAATGGCCACTGCCATCGAATTGTGGAATTCTCACCATTTGCCTAGGGTCACCAATATAATTTTAGCCATAAAGTGGATGAGTGACATGAGTAGCATTTCAATGTACCATGTGCTTGTCTTTATTGTCGTATTCTTGGATGTCTTAATGCTTTTAATTACTATATTCTTGTGTTCATTTAAAAATGTGTGTGAAGTCCCATTCATCATTGATTCGTCTCATTTGAATATACGTCAGTAAATCTAAAGGCGAATGTCTGCCTAAATAAGTTTGAGCCATACCGCGGGACCGAACGAAAATCACAAGGTGAAACACCCCAGAACAATAAAAAAACCTACACATGCAAACAGATAATACTCAAAATCTCGCTGGTATGCTGGGCCACCTCGCAACCCAAGCGTTTTGGGAGTTTCACAGCATTGCATGGTGTCCTCCGCTGCCATTTCACAAAGGTGCCTGACGGTACTCGGTGGGCTGCAACTCATCTTTACTACAGCTGTTACAGGTTTCATTTCAATCCAATTATTTGAGTTGTGAGCCACCTGGCCAGGATTGCACAAACACGTGGTCCGCTTTTCACCCTGGCAACCGGGAAGGACAGACATAGGTTGTTCTTAACGTATCACTAAGGCGACAGACATTTGCGTATGAAATTCCATATGTCATTGATTCTCGTGCTGTCTGGGACATTGTTCCATTGTACAACCGGTACCCTATTTAAAACACTGCAATTTAAATGTTCCCACGTGAATCCTCCTGGGCAGTGGATGACGTGCAGGTGTCCTGCTACCGGATCCTGTCCAGCCTTTTCGCACTTGGAACGGGAAAGAACATCTACGTGGAGAGGTGAGCGGTGCGGCACGTGGTCGCATCGAATCCGCCCTGCAGGGCACAGATCGAGAAGTAACCGCTGTGGCCTCTTTCATGCATGAAAGTGAGTAGAACAAAGCGATAACCCCTGCAGACAACTAAGGCGGTTGACGTTTGATTCCCTGGACCCGTCCGCGCAGTACATATGCCGATAAGGGGCCAGTGGAGTGCTTGTGTGCGTGTCATTGCGATTGCGTGTCCGTGTGTACATCAGAATCTTTATTTAGACGGGAGGAATCCAATGAGCTGTGAAGCCCTTTTTCACAGATGTCCAGTAGAGTCCCATTGATGGCATCGTGGTCAATACGCTGCGCTGCAAAAACCCGGTGACCTGATGTTAATTCCCAGCCATGGTTAACCACATCGGGGAGTGATTTTTGAACTGGTCCTGGGCCTTTACCAGTGTGATTTAACCTTAAAGGTTCGTATGTTGAACTTTTTTTCGCACCATATATAGCCAACCGTGCTAATCGGAGTATGTGGTGGTGTGTGTATACAATAATATTAACAAGGGATAAAAAAAAAAGTTAAGCATATGCATGGGCTGAACACGTCACTATAAAGAACGATGGCCGGTGGCCCAAGACGGATGAGCGAGTGGCAGCCAAGGGAGGGAATGTGCCCAAGAGGCGGTCCCCCCTGCAGAGATGTAACATGAAATGCGGCTGATGTGCAGGATCTAGATGGATTGTTGCATCGCGAGACCGTTGAGATGTGGCGACGGCCTGGGGAAGGCCTCCATCAGGCAGTGGATAGTACACGGCTGATGAGGATGACGTACATGTGCATGTGCGCAGGCAGCGGCCTGCTCTGGGCGAGTGCCTGTCGGCGCTGGCCACCGCCTTCCCGGTCGCCTTCCTGGAGCCGGAGCTCAACAAGTTCAATCCCCACTCCGTGTTCAACACCAAGACGGCACGCGAGCGCGCCAGTGAGTAGCGCGCACGGCTACGCGTGTGGCTGCGTGTCCGGACCGCTCCGTGTCGTCGACTGTTTCACTCCTGGTTTCTCAACGAGGGGTGTCCTGCAAAATCTCGTCAACCCACAAATAGAGATTCAGAATGTTTATTTATACTGGAAGAATCCGATGAGATATAAAGCTCTTTTTCACACATGTCCAGTCTGGGCGGGTAAGAACGTTTCAACAACACACAATACAAAAACACGATAGGAGTGCAAAGTTCAAGAAAGGTAGACAAATCACCCAAACACAAACAAACATGACACTAAACCATCCCCATCCTACCAGACAAAGCCCACTCAGGTGTTAACTTATATTTCCACAATACACACTGGCTTCATTGAAAGACATGAGAAATCAATTCACTTTTGATCGTTTTTCTTTTTTCAACTTGATCATTCCACCACCCACTCTCGACAAAACCCTATTTTCTGCACGATGAACTTTGTGGTTATCCACTTTGTTTGTAGGACGCCCCCTCTAATGTAAAATTATTGTAGAAGAATTAATTGTGTTCATGCTGGGGAAACCTCGTTTATTTGGTCTGCTAATTATTAACACATCTGACTTAATAATGATCGTCCTGTCTCATTTACATACATACATACGCACAATGCAACTTCACTCATGCTCACACACACACACATACAATCCCACAACCACACACACGTGCTCGCTCGCAGTGATGGGGCTGCCGGTGCACGTGGAGGACGTGTGCAAGGACATCCCGTCGCTGGACAAGCTGCTGCAGGAGATCGGCGATCTGGCTGAGTCGGGCGCCCGCTACACGGAGATGCCGCACGTCATCGAAGTGGTGCTGCCCATGCTGTGCAGCTACCTGTCGCGCTGGTGGGAGCACGGCGCCGAGGAGGACCCCCGGCGCGCCCTCGAGGAGCCCGTGTGCACGGCCACCACCTCGGAGCACATGAACGCCCTGCTCGGCAACATCCTCAAGATCATCGTCAACAACCTGGGCATCAGCGAGGCCGCCTGGATGAAGCGCATCGCCGGTGTGTTGCGCCACGCCGTCCGACAAGGGAGCCGGGCTGAGTGGCTCTTCGGACGTTTCTCCCGACGCCGGCTCTTGGGATTTTCAATACGTCGCTTTAGTTTGGCTGTCGGAGCCCTTGGCGTGTTTGCACTTAATCTTAAGAGAATCACTGAACGTGGTCTGGTGTGACTTGGGCAACTTGCAGCAATCCATATTTTTCACAAATACCGGTAGCTATTTTATTGAAGAAAAATAAGTGTGGTTACGTAGCGGTAATGGTAATCTCGTGCTCATGTCTTATATTTTGCATGCCATTGGCTCTTTGCTCAGTGCATCTCCCAGTAATCGCTTTCTGCACCGTCGTATGGAAAGTGTTTCCCTTTTGTTTTTCAGCATTTTTTAGTATCTTAGAAAGAGCACGTGTGCCAACGATTTGAACTTCTGCACAGCATAACTGCACCGTACTTCTTTGGATGCTGTGTGGACAAAGGAGATCAGCATATAGAACCTGTATTGGGGATGCCTGGCCTCAAACATGGGTATCTCCCTTTGGGAGAATTTAAAAACACATGAAAGTGCTGTTGGTGAGCACCTATGAAAGCCAACATGGCACTTGAGGGGTTGGTGCGGCCAGTACCACATCCGGCCGAATCCACTTTGGGCAGCCCCCGCACCAGTTCAGATAATCTTCACTGGTGGTGGCCATGAGCGGGAATCGATCTCAGGTCGCTGGGTTCGTAGTGCAGTGCGCTAACCGCTACACAGTGGCACACACACGTGCACACGTGCACACGTCCGTAAACTCGCACATCTCGAGTTTCCTACAGTCTCTTTGTGACCCTCCCTACCGTCTGCGTTGCTCTCACGGCCGCAGTCTTCGCTCAGCCCATCATTGGCAAGGCGAAGCCGGAGCTGCTGAGGAGCCACTTCCTGCCCACGATGGAGAAGCTGAAACGCAAGACGGGCAAAGTGGTGGCGGAGGAAGATCGGGTGCGCGCCGAGGCCAAGGGCGACATGTCCGAGGACGAGCTGCTTGTGCTGGACGAGTTCGCCATCCTGGCGCGAGACCTCTACGCCTTCTACCCGCTGCTCGTACGCTTCGTGGACTGCGGGAGGTATGGCGGTGCTGTGTGGTGCCCAGCAATGGCCTGGAGGCTATTGCCGTCACTGCCGCGACACCTTACTTCTCCACTTTGTTTTGCCCGATGCCACAGCTGTTGTGTGGTCGGCACCTGTGACCTCAAAAAATCTGCTTTTAGTCTCACCGCAGTCATCATGCTTTTGGCCTCCCCCCATGGCTGCCAACGCCCGGATGCCACTCTCAATTCCTGTGTCGGTAACTAGCGCTCGTAAATCCTGCGCACATGCCCCACGCAATCATCACAGCATTCTTTCTGTGCTTCCCTCAATAGAACATTCCCTCTCTATTGTTTTCCTACCATGATCTATTCTAAACTTTCAGGTTTGCTGCCATGTCACGCCAAGAGATTCTGAGCATAATCCACATGCACCTACACTAACAGGCCAGATGTTTTTTTCTAAGTGCCTTGTTAAAGTCATTGCACTGGACAAACATAATAATAACTGTGAGTGTTAAGATACAATTTTGAAGCAACATTTTTTTTAATAATAAAGGGAAGTAAATGTTTTCATCTCCCTTTAAATCTTTTTTCCCAGTTATATTTCAAACGTTGCTATCTGTATCGTGTCACGGGACAAAGACGTTTCCATACGGAACTCTCACAGTGAGCGTTGTAGCGTCCGTTCATGTAAGAACACAACCCCTGGAAGACATTCTCACGGAAATACATTTCAAGTCGCTTCCATGTACTCCACATAGGATTGTCGTGTGGCAATCATTCAAGCACGTTTGGTCCTTAGAGCTGAAATATGCCGAATGTAGTGAAAACCAAACTTTATATTAGTTTTTTTTCACACAATAATCGCTTGAATCCAAAAACTCATTGCGCTTGAGCACCTGATTTAATGATACATGGCTGGGACTTTGATTGAACCCAGACAATCACTGGTGCCAGCTCCTATTGTGCTCTGAATTTATCACAAGGAGCCCCCCCCTGAACCAGCCGACCATCCATCCTCTTAATCCTCAGAGACTTCCGAATCTCGAGTCTGCTTTGGACCTGAAATCCGCTTAGTCGCTACGTCAACGCCCCTGTGAGTTGCGTACGCTCTGTCCTGCAGGGCCAAGTGGCTGATGGAGCCCAATGCGGATGCGGAGGAGCTGTTCTTCATGGTGGCCGACGTGTTCGTGATGTGGGCCAAGTCGCCCGTGAGTGGCCATTGCCCTGCCTCCACGCTCGGTGGATTCACGCCACATTTCAAATGCATCATTCTTGCTTTTGTACTTTTCATTACTCCATTTAATGACTAATTTTTTTCCCCCTCGAGTGTGCGCGGCCGCATCGGCACGAAATTCTCAAGCAGAGTGTTAAGCATTATGAGTTTCAAATTCTGCTAGGGGATCAGCACATCCCCATCTCTACCGGGGGGTCAATAAAACGAGGACCACTTTTGTGAGATGCAGTTTCATTTTTGGACCCTCTATCAAAATGTGTTGTATTTGTGATGTCACCAGGGGTTGTGCTGTAGATACACTGACCCCTGTCGTATAGTTGTGGAATCGCAACCCATGGGTCATGGCCATCAAATTAGGCGAATGCCTCTGAGTCCACAGAGATTTTTCGAATGAATCTCTCGCAAAAAAAAAACGATTGTGAATGCAGCATTTGTCTTTTTGATCAATTAGGAAGGTGATGTTCAGCAAGTTTGTATGAGAAAGTTAGGACATTGTCATTCATCATTCAACATTCAATATTTCGCTTGCCATGTTTCCATCATATTTGATACTATTTTTTAAAGTTTCCCAACGAAATTGGAATTTTTTTACATGTAACTTTTAAGGGAAAAAACACAAGTCGCGCTGGATTCATGTTTCATCTTCATACCTGTCTCCTCGTGCGGTCGCATGAGCTACATTTAAGGAACAGAGATAAACTACGAGATGTTCGGCGTCAAGATGTAATCTTGTATAACCCCTTCTGTCCTTGCAGAACTTCAAACGGGAGGAGCAGAACTTTGTGGTTTCCAATGAAATCAACAACATGTCCTTCCTCATCTCTGACACCATGAGCAAAATGTCAAAGGTGAGCAGGTGCCCGCCAATACAAAATATAACCACTCATTGACCTCATTGATTTCCTTCACGTGACAAAGGCACCTCGTTTATTTATGTGCCTCAGTCCAGGGATCGGGTCGATCCATTACAATGCATGGCATCGTTGTTTTGGATAAATAGCTTTGAGCTTTGCTCCGGGAGAGATCTGAATTTAAAGGATGCATTAGGGATGGGAACAAGTCGAAGTGCTTGGCGCCCTGCGCTTCGAACCCACTGACCTGAGTTAAATTCCAAGTCGAAGCTAAAATCGGTTGTAAGTTATGTCTGAACTGGTCCCGGGTACCAATTGGACAAACTTGCACTATATGGTGAAGTATGGTCAAATAATCCCCATGACCGACAGCGTAAGGAGGCCTTAATCCAGTTATGGATTGACAAAGGACTCAAATCTACGGATCAAAACTAGTTTCTATTTTATTGATGCCACTGAACAATGTATTCACATGGTTATAAGATTGCATTGTCTGTCTCCAACAGAGTATGTACAAGACCATCTCTCTGACTTCAAACAGTTATCGAAATGATTATTACTTGAATAATACCGGTTACGTAAACATGTACAGGCAACAAGTTGTACAAGGCCAATGAACACCCTGTCAGCTTATGGCTATGCTTAACACACTGTGGTCCATGAGGATGACAATTATGAAATGAAATGTCTTACTCTTGACCCGTCGAATACTGCTCCCTCAATGCACCCTTCCTGTGCTGACAGAAACTCAGTCTTCCTGCGCCGAGTTTCACATGACTTGCGTAGATCCTCACGCTTGCAGCGTTAAAGCCGCTCACCCGAGACGCACCGTGCACAGTTTGTGCTTCACGTTCTGCCGCTGCCCGAGTGATCCACCTTGTTAGGGGGACGAAGACTTGAGAGGTCATGCTGGGCTACCGCTTGGTGCGCCCCCCCCCCCCCCCCCCCCCCCCGAGAATTGATGTTCCATTGTTCTCGGTGATGTGTCCAGGACATTATTACCTTTGTATTCATGTCACCGTAACACGGTTTGAACAGTCCCAGTGCGCGTGTGCCCCGTTGGGTTTATTATGAACTGTGCGTCGTTGCTCCGCACCAACATGCGTAGAGTGCATGGGGTAGCTCGATCAAAATGTGCACGCTTTATTGTTATCTTGTGAATAAAGTAATGGCGATAGATTAAATTGCAAGTAATTTTCGGGGACACGAACAATGTTTACAAAGACAAATATGATAAATAGTCACGGATCAAATAAATACAGGTAACCGTTATATTAAAATGTAATCGATATCACAATGCATCTTCAAACCTCGTAGTATTTTTGATTGCACGGTCGCAATGATTTACAAAATATGGTCGTGGCTGCTAATTTATCAAGCATTTCGCTGGGAATGCCAAGGACAAATTGATTTATTTTAAAAATGCATTGCCCGTAGGTGACCTGCCGTGTTAAATGAGGTGTGGAACTGGCCGACATTGCTGTAGAATTCAACTTCTGTTGGGCTTGGTGGCTCTTGGAGGTCAACGCTTTGCATGTGTCTGGGACCCCCGGGGGTTTGAGCCCTGGTCTCCTACCTGAGATAAAGTTTTCATGACGAGTGAGGCTGATGCTCTCAACCTTGTCACCATCGACTGCATGCAGTGCAATAAAGGTTAAGTCACGTGATAGATTAAAACATTGACCAGCGTGGTGGGGTCGGGTGAAACAACCCCCAATGACAGAGGCCTCCAAACAGGAGTGGCTTTTACAAAACTCCGTGCACTAATCTGTTATTATTGTTGCAGGACAGAAATGGACATTTTCACGAGTATTAAGTGAGGGCAAATGCATACGTAATTTTGAAGACGATGGGATTTTTTTTATTAGATTCTTTTTTCGTATCACCTAAGCACGTGCAATTTTGTTGTACGATCAGCATTTATTGTCCTGCTGTTATTATTATGCCATTTTCATGCCACGTAATAACACGGATGTTTTTGCTTTTTTACTGTTTTTTTGTGTTCGTGTTTTTATGCGATTCGGTTAAACAAAAAAAAACTGCATCCCCTCTAAGCGTGGAGGCTTCAGATGGACAAAGGTCAGCATCACCCCGGCCGCTGCGTTCTGAGCAGACGCTCGTTTTCACCGGAGCTCGACTCACTTCTCCGTTAACTCCACCTGTTTATAACGTAACAGCCCGCACCGCCGCATTCTGGCTTCAACCCCCGCAGGGGTTTTCACGATAACGCATGGGGAGGCAGTCTATAGCCCGGTTTGCGCACGTATTTTTTTACAGAGTAGAAATCGTTGCTCTGTCGGTAACGCTTGCCGCCGCCGGTTGTTTTTAAGGGGGGGACAACAACAGTGCCGTCAAGGACTGGCCTTGTCGATGCCTAACCAGCGATAGCTTTTACGTAATATCATCATGCCCTCAGGAAGTGACGGCGCAAGAAGTTGCGACAAGTCACTCTATCGTCCTGCGGTGTTTTCTCAAGAGATCACCAAGACACTTTTGGCGGCGATGAGAGCAACGCTTTGGACAAGTGTCATTCCGTGTTCCTCATTAAAAACCACAAAGTGTGGACTGGGCCACTTTGATGCAAATGTCTAACTGTCATTATCATCACAACCGTGTGCTCTTCAGAGCACTGGGCTTTATATTGAGTGAGTGATCAACTCAATAATCTAAACACACTTTTTTTTATTACAAAAAGGCATAATCACTGCAGCCAAATGGGACATTTGTTGTCTTGCAAATCGAGTGAGCTAAAATCTTAGTGGGTGTGGTGTTGGGTCCACGTGCATCGGGACCCAAGATGTAGCATGGTTGATGCCAGAATGGTTGGCTGTATAAGGGTTCACTTAACACCATTATCACTGTTGGAAAACCGTGTGTGGTCTGCGGTGATAATAATAGGCTTGACCTTGTCACGGCACAACTCATGAGCGCTGTTTTCCTTCAAACCTCTCTGAATATTACAGCCACCGAAATGTGTCTTTATTCGTTTTGCTATGTTGTTGTGAAGACTGTGTCTGTCCACTTGTCTGTAACCCGTGTGTGAATGCAGTTCACTTCGATTCTAAGGTGGTGGATCTAAGTCCCAACACATTTTTTTTTACATTCACTGGTGGACATTTTGATGCCATACAGACAAAATATCTTGTCTTAAACTGGACGTCAAACCTATTTCGTCCAGATGTGGGTGGCAGGGTGACCCAGTGGTAACTGTTGTGACTGGGTTTAAATTCCCGACTTGGGTACTTTTATCTGTCGATTTATGTTTTATTTTCTCCCCCTGTTCAGCATGGGGTTCCTCCGGGATTCTCCGATGTTTCTCCTATAGCTAAATACACGAACAACGTAACTGGTGTTGGCCAAACGTCTCGATGTTGAACAATTAACAGCAAATTGCTTAATTGGTCATAACACCGCAGCAACATCGCCCCCTAGTGCACAAATTCAGCCGGAGCTTCCCGAGAAAAGAGTTGAGACCCAGCGAGCAAAGTAAATAACAACAAGATTTGCCGTATTCTTGGTTCTTTCGGTAAAGTCACGTAGAAGGGAAACAATAAAATAATTAATATATATATATAAAGCAATAAAATTATCACGTCGTTTCGACTGCAAGAAAATTTGAAAAAAGTCTAAATTTTATTGCTGTAGATTTCACACCTGATGACGATTGCTTGTGTTGCAGGCGAAAAGTCGTGATAATTTTATTATTTTATATATATTTTTTAATTTTATTATTTCCCTTCCACGTGACTTTACTGAAAGAACCAAGAATATGAATCCCTGCAGTCACGAAAGCTTTAAATCAGAACTTAAGATTTACCGTGCCTCGGCTGCCGTAGCATTCGGACTGCCACCACCCAAGGACATTGTGGATTTTCTTTTTTTCTGACTTTTTCTGCACTCTGTCTGGTGCCCGTGTTGTTGTTGTTTTCGATAAAGGTTTGGCGGCTCACCCTAAGTTGGTGTGACGGGACAACACTGACATCGTGGCAGCTGCATGAACATAACATTTGGCGTCGTACTTACATATTCACGTAAAACTTTATTATTTTGTTGCGTTCAACCTAGTTGGCCTGTTTAACTCAAACCGTCACCCTATACGTGTGTGTATATGTGTGTGTAGATTTTCCAGTGCTTTCGGTAATGATGAATAATGTGATTATTAGGGGTGTCGGAATATATCATTGATTTCTGGCTGCGGTGCTGTAATACCCTCGAAGGGAGATGGATTTTCCAAGCATGCTTAGGCCCCGTGATACTGCATCGAGCGATTTGGAGAAATCTATTGAGCGTCGAGCACTCGTTAATCTTTGAGAACCTACTGGCTAACAAGCGCAATCTTGTGCAAAAGAAAAACCCTCACTTTCTGCACAACATTCATTTAATTTCTTCGATATTCATGTATCTCTGCACTACCACGTTTCCTTCAAAACTATTATTTTTAGCAAATACTGTGTGGGGGAAGTGGGGGGGATGCAAAGTAGTTTACGTTGATCTGAAAACGCCTAATCTCATATTGCAGAGCGCACGAACAGTAACAGATGCATTAATTTCCGCTGCACGCAGACCGTGTTAGGCAGATGCATAACCCTATCGCGATAAGTCTGTGTGCCACTCGGCCAATTTCCCCAGAGTCAGATGGTTCGATCCCTGCAGCAATCCATTAATTTCCGCTGGGAATTCCCGACATGCGGAATCTGCCATGAAGAGGGCATTAACTCTCTCCTGACAAAGTTTGCAGAGATGGACAAAGTGGGTGTGGATGTTATAAGTCCAAATCTAAATTGGTAAAATGACACAGACATTGAACAGAGAAACTAAATAAAATACTGATAGTCTGCAGATGCACAAGTCGCCTTGACGACAGATGCACTGAATGTTAATGAGCTCAGGATCTCCCCAGCCCATCATCCTTCTAGGACGATTAAAACTGATACCTGCAATATTGCGATAATGGCCCCCGCCATGGGAATGTGGAATTTCCGCCACTGCCTCGGCGCCACGCAACAGGCATGGGCCCTTCCCATGGCTCTCACTTCAGTATAAAAACGCATTTTTTTTAATGCGTTAACACCCTGGACAAATAACCGTCCATGGCGTGTTGCGCAACACCTGTGTGTGTTCACGTCTCCCGGCCCTGTCTCTTGAATACTAACAAGGCGAGGTGCTTGGTGCAGTCACAGCGCGTCTATCGCCAGCGTGTTACCACTCTTCTAACGGTCATGCGGTGTGCACCCCCCCCCCCCCGCTGTGCCCCCCCCCCACGCAATTCCCCACCCCTCCCTGTGCGTCCCCCCCCCCCCGCTGTGCCCCCCCCCACGCAATTCCCCACCCCACCCCGTTCTTCCCCCCCCCCCCCGCTGTGCCCCCCCCCCCACGCAATTCCCCACCCCTCCCTGTGCGTCCCCCCCCCGGCACACCCCCCCCATTCCCCGTGCAATTTCCCCCCCTCCCCGCGCACCCCCCTCCCTCCCCGCGTACCCCCCTCCCCATGCACCCCCTCCCCGCACACCCCCCTCCCTCCCGGCGCCCCCACCCCACACCCCCCCCTCCCTCCCCACGCACCCCCCCTCCCACCCCACGCCCCCCCCCTCCCACCCCACGCACCCCCCCCTCCCCACGCACTCCCCCTCCCCACGCCCCCCCCCCTCCCCACGCACTTCTCCCCTCCCTCCCCGCTCGGTGCGCGTGCCAGGCGGGCGGCGACCGCGAGAGGAAGAAATCCAAGAAGCGCGGCGAGCGCTACACGGTGCAGACGTCGCTCATCGTGGCCGCCCTCAAGCGCATGCTGCCCATCGGACTCAACATCTGCGCGCCCGGCGACCAGGAGCTCATCTCCCTTGCAAAAAACCGCTTCGCCATGGTCAGCCCCTCACGCCTCGTGCCAGCCACTAATGATGATGACGATGATGACATTTGGTATCGCCTCCAAGGTTATTGTGAATGCGCTATAGGGGCCGTCCAAAAGAACCAGAGTATGGATTCCTGCAGTCACGAAAGCTTCAAATCAAAATTGACTTAATTTGTTGATAAAACATGGAAGACAGTCTTCCGTCAACCTTGCAAAATACTGTATATGTGCTTGCATACAGATTGTGTGCGTCCATAATAGGGGTTTTTGGGTTAGATCGCGTAAATATATAAATGCGTCGTTAAAACCCGCCACCACCCGACACAGCCAGCTAGTAAGGTTGTCACGTAACCCTTACTAGTTGCCTACGTGTTAAACAGATTGTGTGCAGTCCAGTCTACATTGATAACTTATTGTATATGCAGTACTATATACTATAATACAATAACCGTTATATGAGGATCTAATACGTTTCATGTCAGAAAATGCACTCTTTATCATTTCATTACACAGCGAAGTTTATCAGTATTTTAAAATAATATTTGTTTCGTTAGCTCTTAGTCATCATCCGTGCTAAATCCACTGCTGGATGAAAGCTTCCCCATGTCAGTGCCATCTCTCACATTGCTCATAAACCAGAACAATTTTTACTTTTACCTTTCATGTCAAATCATTGCCTCTACGTTTCTCTAAAATACTTGAACAGTCAAAGTGTTATCTTTGTTCTCTCCTTTCCTTGACCTTTAGAAAGACACAGATGACGAAGTTCGCGATTTCATTCGCAACAATCTGCACCTTCAAGGAAAAGTAAGCATGTTACCCGCTGATGGCTTGTATATGTGTGCCTTGTGTGTGTGTGTGTGTTCGCGAGTGCACATTCACATTAACGTGGAGACACCTATGAGTGGCTTGTGTGAGTGGTGAAGTGAAAATAGAATCAATACTTGGCAAAGCATACTATTGGTAACGTAACAATGAATAAGCAGACGATGCCTCCTCCTTCATCTACTCGTCTCCACATGAAAAGAAAAAGTATTTCTGACACAACTCATCAGCCGCACAGCCTTCTGGGAGTGCGTAATTCCAGCTTCGTTGATTCAAGACGAGCAAACTCAGGAGCAGAGTCTGGCTTGCTTCAATCATTTCGGTGAACTGCAAAGTCTTACAGACAAGGAACCTCTTTATAAGATTTGGCTCCTAGTCCGCAAAAAGAAATTCCTTCGCCAACACTGCCATGGCGGTCCAATTGGAAATATACATCTGTGTTTGACCTAGAGCCCCACTAATTGGGCACAAGTAACATACCAGGTGACACTATATTTGGGGAGAGAAAGTCAACCGCTATTGGTAACTGGATGCACCAGGACAACAATGTAGTGCGTGTGCACCTTTGCGCGCGTGACACCGAGCCAAATGTCCACGCATCATGTTTAACAAGCTTGGCTTCTGTATATCCCCTTTTTGAAAATTGGTAATGCAATCAGATGTGGTCGAGAAAATATGAATTTTATTAACATTACCACCGGTCTTCATCACGCAATTGATGTATATATTAACACTAAAGTCATTATAGCTGTGTAATGTTTCCCCCCCCCCCCTATTCTAATGAGATCAAGCACTTTCAGCACCGTTGTATAAACGTCATAACCGTTCCATGTTACCTATCCAAAAATTTCATCTGCCAACAAACAATGTTACCCTTTCTCCGAATGTGAATTCAAAAGGGGTGAGTGTTGGAGGCCGTTGTTTTTTTGCTCCCTGGCGGCATGTGGCTCGCTGCCGTCGACGCGCACCTCACAGCCTAACCCCGTCGTCCGCTGTGTGCGTTGTCGTTAGCCTGCACGCTGCACGACGCCGCCGTCCCCACCTGCCACAACCGCCGCTCGCGTCTCTTCCCCCCCCCCCTACCCACCTCGCCAAAAGTACACGGGGTTTTACTTCGAAAGACTCGCCAAGAAGTTCCCTGTAGCGCTCAAATGGCTCAAGACCTGGCAGTTCCTGCACGGCGCCAAGTGCCACAGCACCGTCGCGGATCACGTGCCGGGCCACAAAAAAAATCCGGGCTTTCGCCAACAATGCCACGGTTTTGCCACCGTCGTCACCAGTGAGGCCCCTCTGACGCGCAGGGGCCCGAGGCAGCCCGCCCGCCCGCTCGGGAAGCCGGCCCCCGTGGGGTTTACGGTGATGGCGAGGCTTCCAAAACCGCCGCCTAGGACCCAGGAGCAACACCTCCTGGCGGTGGTGAAAAGGGCCGAGAGGGACGAGACCCTGCCGATGCCGCGCCGAGCGTTGACCTCGGTTAACGAGCCACCCAGACGAGCGTTGCCCGAGCGCGTGAGTGCGCGTGCCGGGAGCCCCGTGCCGCTGTGCCTAGGTTAGCGGGGTCCTGTCGCTGCTTGTGCCTAGATGCGTGGGGCCTCATCGCTGCTGCTTCTCCTCCTCCTCCTCGAGTGTGGAATTGTGTCCGCGCTCGCTCTGTCGACAGCTTTTAGATTATGTTTGCTTGAGATGGTTTTAGTTAGTATCATGTGTTTGTACGGTATGAGAAGTGGTCAAAGTTGTTTTTTGTATGAGAGCTTAGCAAACCAGATTATGTTTCCACTTGCAAAATAAACAATGGTCTCAGATGGCTGTCACCTGGTCAAGTTATCATACCAAGGGGACATTGAATGATACTAAAAAAATATGGTTAAGCTCGTGCTTAATATATTATTGCTCATTATACTGTGACTAGCCCGCACAAGTTTGCATTTGTGACAAAGTAAAATAAACCCTCCAAAAGCATTAATTACCATGTTCATTGCTTAATTAAATATGTAGAAAAATATGTAGAAAGACTGATGTTTCGAGCTAAAGCAATTCTTCATTGCTCCACCACCGCAAATGCATCACCTTCATTTTTATTAGTATTTTTGCGACAAATTGGTATTTTTTTATGACCAGGTAAGACCCCAGTGAGACTATGACTTAATTTTGCAAGGGAGACTTGTTCTATGGGGGCATTTTGGTCGTCATCCTATGTGAAGACTCGCCCCACCCTCACAATGTGGACTTTCTACAACTGGGAAAGAACTGTCAAGATATACGACCGCGGTGCATTTCTTCCTAAAACATTTAACGATACGTAAGCTTAGCTTATCGGGCCGCTGTAATACTTTTCAAAACCAATTTTTTTCCAAATTTTGGCCTCTCCTCGTGTGTGCGATCAGTGTGTATTTTCACGTATTATTTGTGTGCTTTACTGGCTGTAGTTTTTCGATAATGCTGCACACATCTTTAGTCATCAAGATGTAGAAATGCGATGGGTGCAGGAACCTCATTTCTTTATTGGTCTGAGTGTGGTTTGATGTTAACACAAAAATTCAAAGTAAAATCGAACGGATTTTTGGTTTAAAAGCTTACATAGTGCCTTTCACAATCGGTTGCCTTCAGGCACTTTTCAATATAAAATAACAAAAACCAACATACAAATAGCTCTCGTAGTTACACACCCAACATTATCCTATTCTGTCTGAAACAAGTTTAAGTTCTTGTTAATGAGGGAAAATAATTTAATATCGTGCACGATTAGGCACGCCTGCCATAGCTGCAGTGATATACTAAAATGTGCATGAGTAACTGCACTGGTGTGACATGACCATCACTTTAAATGCTTTTTTTCTCAATCGCTAAAACTTCAATCTCCTGTTGGACAGCCCAGGACACACTCGCGCTCTGTGTGCATATAGACAAGAGCCATTTTCTTTTGGGATGCGTCTTCCTCCAGCCCGGCCCATAACAGGCTTCTCCCGTGACCTCGTATCACGTCGGACGCAGCTTTCACCGCGGAGGTTTCGTAGAGCCGCGCGTCGTGCCATCTCCGCACCGGCGGTGCCGGTCGTGCTGACTCGCATCTCGGCGGCGGTGCGTGCTGTCCCCTCACCCACCCCACCCCCCGCACCGTCCAGGCCGACTCCCCGACGGTGCGCTGGCAGATGAGCCTCTACAAGGAGCTGCCGCACCGCAGGGAGGAGAACGGCGACCCCGAGCGCAGCGTGACGCGCCTGCTCGAGATCTCCTCCGTGCTCTACCACCTCGAGCAGGTGGAGCTGCCCTACAAGTCCAAGAAGGCCGTGTGGCACAAGATCCTGTCCAAGCAACGGCGGCGCGCGGTCGTCGCTTGCTTCCGCATGGCGCCGCTCTACAACTTGCCCAGGTGCTGCTGTGGCCCCCTTCCGCCGTCGTGCAGATATTTTCTTACCCTCGCCCCTCCTCCCAACTGCTGTGTAGCCCTATAGAGTATTAGGAAATATCAATGTTGATATAAACCCTCGCAGCTGTTGAACTGTGGAGGATAATGCATGGCCGTGTGAGATACTGGATTTGTGCAGGGTACTGATTCAGCAAGGCCAACATGCTGGGCTCCGGTGTTTGTAAATTAATGATTGTGAGACCGATAATCTCTCCCGCAGGCATCGAGCCATCAACCTCTTCCTCAGCGGCTATCAGCGGACGTGGATTGAGACGGAAGAGCACAGTTTCGAGGACCGGCTGATCGAGGATTTGGCTGTGAGTCGGTGCAGGCGGAGGGCAGTTGAGTTGTGAAGTCGGTAGCTGTATGATGTTGCATGATAAAACCAAAGACTCGGTACGTGACAAATGGTTCTCACGACTACCACGTTGGCAGCGGAGTGGACAAGTACAATTCACAAAAATTCTACCAAAACGTTTGTCAATAAACGCTGCCTTAAAATAAAAAAATATATAATCTGACATATCGGGCAATGGCCGTTCTACGAAGAACGGGTCACGTGCTAGGAAGATTTTATGTATTTTTTATTTTCAAGCAGTGTTATTGATGAATGTGTTGATGACTTATTTTGTTAGAGTGTTCTATGGATATACTGGCCCCTGCCATAGTAATGGTGACATTTCACCACTGGTTCCTGGGCTGCCAGTAGAAATGAGCACAGTGGCAATCATATCATCAATGGCTGGTCATAATTAGAACTGACAAGTAAGTGGGCATGGGCAGGACACTTCGCTTGAAGGGATGATTACCGATGGTCAAGGATAATGACGGAGTGGCTGCCAAGGGATGGAATGCATACGAGAGGACAAGCAACGGGGAGCTGGAACATATTTAATTAAAGCCCCCTTCTGCAATATTGATCTATAAATGTTTACTGCGCAGAGAGGATAATATAAAATATTCGTACGTAGGAGAAGCACGGTTGGCTACGTATGGTGTGAAAGAAGTTCAACATGCGCACGTGACAAGCAACTTCGTCGAGCTCTCATTTGTGGCCGGGTCGCTTCCCAAAAAGAAGCTGATTGCTCCGTGGGCTTCACCTGGCAAAATATATTTTTTATAGTTTTAGTCTTTTTTTGTAATTTGCTTACCTTTCCTAGACGTTGCACTTCTATCGTGTTTCTGTATTGTTTGTTGTAACGTTCTGACCCACCCCTACCGGACATCTGTGCAAAAGAGCTTCATGGCTCTTCGGATTCCTCCAGTGTAAATACATATTCTGATTCTGAATCTCAAGGCATTGGCTAACTGCAGAAAGCTCCTAAGATTGAGACGTTGGCCTGTGGATCTGAGGCCACGAATAGGGTGATTGACGGGGCAGAGCGGGTGGTCAAGGCGCCCGACGCCGCTCGCGCGGCATGCGCTGTGTGCGTGTGCGCAGCTGTCAGGCAGAGAGGAGGACGGAGAGAACGAGGACGGTGGGAAGCGGAGAGACCCGCTCCACCAGCTCATCCTGCACTTCAGTCATACGGCACTCACTGAGAAAAGGTGCCGCGGAAGAAACAGGTGTCGATTGGATTTGAGATTTGCAGTGCTTTGGTTTGAGTCTCATCTGCTGCTATCGGAAGGAATTCTCCCCCTCCCCACTCCAATGAATACGGGGCATTTCTCATTTTTGTTGATCGTCCAAAGCAAGTGATGGAACGTCCACATTCCTTAAGACTCAGTTCATTGTCCCCGCTGAACAATTGACGAACTGAGAACGAAGATGGGACGCGTCAACTCCTGACCGGGATTTAAATTTTTCAACCTTCCAGTTGCGAATTGTGCACTCTGCTATCCAACAGGACATTCAAGTAATGTATGAGAGTATATGTAACGGTAGAGTAGACTTTCGATTGGAAGGTTTTCAGTGCAAATCCCATTCAGGAATGGACACAGCCCACCGTCCGTCCAAAGTCGTCTGGAGTCAGTACCCGATAATCGCTTGAGCAGAGAGACGCTTTGGCCTGTTTTGAGGTACCAGCCTGCAGCTGTGTTTTTGTTGCAGTGACAGCTTGTGTTACGGGCGGTAGTGGTGGCGCAGTGATTGGTGCACTGAGTTATGAGTTCAGCGGCCTGAATTCAACTCCTGGCCTACACTAACATCATTAACAAGTTATATCTGGCCTTGTTCTGGGTCTCCCCATTCATCAACTTGCACTGAAGAGTACTGTGAAGTATATACAAACCACCCCCACAACCAACACAGCATAGGGATTCCTTCATCTAGTAGTAAAAGTGGTTGTAAGTTATTATTACAATTTTTTAAAATATTTATGACGTAAATAATACTTAGACTGAAATGAAATAAGTTACCTTTTAAACTGGGTTACTCATAAGAATTAAACTATCCGAATAATTTTTTCAGCCCACTTTGGCATGAATTGTCTCCTGCATATCATTCCAGTAATGGGGGTCCAAGCCATCGCTGGGAATCGAACTCATCTCGCTGGGTTTATAGCACAGTATGCTAAACGCAGCGCCGCCGCTCTTACTATTTTATGCATATATTTTTTTGATTATGTATCATCGACTTGAACATTTGAAAATCTGTCGTTTTTGATTCCGGGAAATGATGGTTATTGATCAATTGAGGCGTTTAAATGCGTGATTCGTACATTCAGTATGTGTGGTTCGTACATTGGGGTGCCACGGTGGTGAGATGTTAACTACCTCGCCTGGTATACAGGAGGTCGTGGGTTCGATCCTAGCCCTGATGCCTGAATATATTTGGAGTTTGCATGTTCTCCCTGTGGTCGTGTGGATTATTCTCCAGTTCTTCCTTCCAAATTTAGAATCAACATGTGTTTAGAGTATTTGGCTGCTACAAATTTCCACGTGATAAGCCACTTCGTTCAGCTATCATTTGTGGGCAGGTCCCTTCTGAAAAAGAGCTATACAGCTCCGTGGGCCTTACCTGGTAAAATAAAAAAATACTTAATTTAGTTTTTAGTTTGAGTAATGTACGCTGTTTTTAGCCCATTGCCTGCCCGCTTCAGTATTTGTGCACGCCGGAACACGCTTTATCTTTCCAGCAAACTCGAGGAGGATTTCCTGTACATCGCCTACGCATACATCATGGCCAAGGTGGGTGCCACCTCTGCCATTGTCACCATACGAGCCCGTCCGCATACATACATAAAAAACACATTTTCCTGCACACAAGTATACTTTGTCTTGGCCCTGCCTGTGAAAAAGTTCAGAGTTCGTCCGCTGCCCCACCAAGAATTTCTCTGCCCCTTCCTGGCAATATCAGCCCTAGACAACCCCAACAAACTGTTGCCTTCACACCTGGGATCAATTCCAACTGTGTTTGTGCAATTTGTAATTAATTGCGAGCACCATTGAATTATATCTCTGCGTTCGTAATTATATTTTCCAACGCTTTTTCCCACCATGCTCCCACCTCGTTGTATCCATTTATAACCTCACTGTCACGTAACCGTAATTATTCGGCAGATTGTAGAGGTGTGAATGAACGGACATATGAATAGATACGTGACGTAAAACTCTCAATTGTCCGTGGGTTGTGCGTTTATAAATTACATGCAAAAGTCGATGTGACGCACTAATGTAAGCGTTGCACTATTTGATACAGTGGTAGATCGATGCAGTAAAATCACGCTGACAAAATAAAAAATTACACGTCACGAACAATCACACACAAATCGTTTATTCAACTTAAAAACACCCGACGTTGCCTCTTGCCATTGCAGAGCTGCCATGCGCAGGAGGAGGATGAAGAGGGAGAGGAGGAAGTGAAGTCGTTTGAAGTGAGTCTCGCTGATACTTCTCAATGTGAGCCGCATTTACAATGAGGCTGAGAGGTTACTTGCCCCGCACCTCCGATTAGCACGGTTGGCTAAGTACGGTGCGAAAGAAGTTCAGCATCCATACATACATGCCTTCATTGTTTACTTCCCTGACTGTGGAATTTATTCTGCCGAAACCTGTATCACAGTGAAAAATTGGCTCGTCTTCATGATGCATGGAATTCCCAATTTGAATTGCCGCTATTGTAACCCATTTTGGAGGTGGTTAAACTATTCAGTGATTAACCAATGCATTGTTTAAACAATGCAGTGATTAAACAATGCAGTGATTAAACAATGTAAATCTGCAGAAGTAACGGTTTTGGCAATGACATTTTTTTTCACATATCCCATCCCAACGGAAGCGGTGGCAAACGAGCCAAACGCTGCACTGCTTGGCAAATTGGCTGTACGTCCACCTGCCCACCCTCACTTTGCCCCGCCTGTTGTCCCCGTGATCGCAGGAGAAAGAAATGGAGAAGCAGAAGCTGCTGTACCAGCAGGCACGGCTGCACGACCGCGGAGCGGCCGAAATGGTGCTGCAAATGATCAGCGCCAGCAAGGGTAGGAGTTGGCACAGTGGCACCCGAGGTGGCGTAGAAGCACAAATACAATAAATAAAAATGTCACACATTCATTTAATAACACTACCAAAAAGAGTAAACGCTATATAATGGGTGACATTTCGGGAAATGGCCGTACTTTACGGCGTTGAGATCGAGAGGCCAGAGATTTAGTGAATGAAAAGTTGGAGACTGCACTAATGCACCGTGGCGCCCTGCGAGAAATGTAGTTTTAATGATGTTTCTAGATGAACAGTCTTAAAATGGCATATGAACCCGTTACCCATGAGTAGATTGGGGTAACTGAGCTGACATTCACAAATAGTCCTTTTATTTGAGGCTGCCAGACCCTTTATAGAGCAGTGTCTCCACACTTGAATGAGCACTCGGCGGTGCTCAGCTCCATTGCCAGCGGTGAGATTCCTTATTCCTACGGCAGAGACTGGTCCCTCGTCAGCACAGCTGCTTATTCACTCGCTGCAAAGTGGTTTTCACTTTACACTCCCCTGGGAGGAATGATGGGCTAAGTCGCACCCTGACTAGGATATGAACTCGGAACCTTTCATCCGCACGGGTCAAGTGTTCTTCCACGGAACCACCGGAAAAATGTCTCGACATTTGCGTGTTACATCTGCTTAGAAATTTACATCTGGTGCCGACGGGTACAAAAATATTGTTAAAGTGCTGCAGTTTTGTGATTTCACACTCAATAAAACACAGCCGGGATGTAATCTACGGAATAAATCCAGCTTGCAATAATTTTAGTGACTGAAAATGTTTCATAACAGAAATGTTTTAAATTCTGATGAGTGTGTCTTTGCTGAGGACTCAAAACACTGACACTCTCTGTAGCTTCAAATGCAGATGGCACAGCTGGTCCTGGTGTGCATGTCCCCACCAACTATTATTTTTGCGGTCAGCCACACCAACTCTGATAGCACAACAGAAATCCTCACTTGGCACCCCACCAGTACCCACCACCACCAATTCCTCCACACTAACAGATCAGAATGTACAAAAAAACAAAAGGCTACAAAGAAGCATGGGGGGATGCATTCTTGTAATTACATAGAAATATAGTTAACATTTCGATTTAAAGCTTTCATGACTCCAGGGATTCATCTTCTTGGTTAACATTACACAGGCTCGAGACAAAACTCAATATGTTAAGAAGGAAAGTGGGCTTGTGCAGGACACATCGCGAGAAGTGATGATGGCCGATGGTCCAGAACAGGGATCGAGTGGCAGCCAAGGAATGGAATGCGACCAAGAGAACATCCAACGGGGAGATGGAGCGATAGGATCAGCTCGTGTGCAGGCGCTGCGTGGATTGTTACATCGCTGGATCGTGGGAGATGGCAGCAGCTTGTGGCTGATGACGATGGTGGTGGTGAATCTGATGAGTAAGGTGTGTGTGACTCCTGCAGGTAGTACTGGACCTATGGTGACTGCCACCCTGAAGTTGGGCATCGCCATACTCAATGGAGGCAACACCACAGTACAGCAGGTAAGGTGTCTAGGCCAGGGCCTGCCCATGCATATCAACCAGGGTTTCGGCTCGGAAAAAACTTTGCACGGTGATTCCGTTTTCTCTGGGCACTCTAGTTTCCTTGCTTTTGAAACAGAGATGTTCAAACAGTCATTGGACGATCCCAGAATGCTCCAACAACTAATTGAGGCTTCCCTGGACAACGGCCGTGGTTGTTACATTGGTCCTGTTTCGATATTAGAGTATCCGTGAGACCAAATACTCGGACGAGACTGTATAAGTTGACCTTTTGAGGTTCAGTGTCAGTTGAAGGAAGCATAGCCAGATGTTGGTGGCATCAGCGTCTTCAAAATATTTGCCCGCTCAAAACAATCACTCTTCTGTTCTAGATTTGAAGCTTTCGTGACTGCAAGGATTCATATTCTTAGGTTTTTTCGGTAAAGTCACGTAGGTTAAACATTTAAATTACAATTAATAAAAGTAAAATAAAATTAAAATAAAAATCACGACGTTTCGGAGGCAACACAAGCCTCCGTCTTTAGGTGGAACCGTCACAGCACGCTTGCTGTATCAAGTAATTTTATTTTATTTTACTTTTATTAATTTACATTTTTTACCTACGTGACTTTACCGAAAAAAACCTAAGAACACTCTTCTGTTGGCCGTCCTGTAGTGGAGTCTTCTTTTCCTTTTCTTTTCCTTGTCCATTCGGTTGTTTTTTGCTCTAATTTCTATTTTAATTCCTTGTGTCTGTTTTTAGGTTATGGCTTTTGTCATTGTGGGTAGCCCAAGCCACTCCTGCCAGTGAGACTCGCCTGGTCTTTTGAGTTGCCACCTGGTCTCACACTAAATCAGCTTGAACCTCCTAGCCCAATGCCCTGTTGCCCAACAGCTTCCCTTCAGAATTGAAGACCAAAGTGAAATGTCTCCTTTGCTCAAACGAGCAATAGGCCAGTGCTCGTGTTCTACTGGCGACCTTGAGAGAGTTAAAAAAAATTGCACATAATCCCCTCCGACAGAGGGGACTATCATCATCTCAGAATATTCATTTTTGAGATGCCACAAAATCATACTCGCTTCATCAACCCTGCTGTCGGGATGATTTTCCGAGTTAACCTCCAACCGGGATTTCAACTCACCACTATCTATCTGTGAGGTAAGCACTCGGCAGTGATTATTTTACCGAGGCCTGTGTTTTTCTCTTGGCATAAATTTGTTTGCAGAAAATGTTGGACTACCTGAAAGAGAAGAAGGACGTTGGGTTTTTCCAGAGCGTCGCAGGCCTCATGCAGTCCTGCAGGTGAGGTACAACCCAGGTTTACAGCTTCCCATTGGGGGCTTGGCGGGAAGGGATTCGGTGAAGGTGGAGTAGCCGTTCCCCTGGTTTCAAAATAATTCACGGTCCCATCAAGGTCTACCACCTCTCTTGGTTTTACCTGGACTGTATAACCTACTTTACATCTTTCGATTTAAAGCTTTCGTGACTGCAGGGATTCATATTCTTGGTTCTTTCGGTAAAGTCACGTAGAAGGGAAATAATAAAATATTTAAAATAATTGGACGCTGTCTTTCCGACAGCTCTGTTTCTTCACATGAGGACGGCTGCTTGCGTTGTGGCTGAAATGTCGTGAGAATTTTATTTTATTATGTTTAATTTGTATTATTTTATTATTTCCCTTCTACGTGACTTTACCGAAAGAACGTTACATCATACTTTCTCCTGCCGTATCCGAACGAATGGAAGCACATCCACCCAGTGGTGATATCGTTACACTTTGATGAAAAATAAGAATAAGTTTGTACCCTTTTGGGCAATAAAACAGGTGTTAAGATGTTCGCCTTTTGGCATTCTGTGGCCTAACAATGGTGAGACAAGGCCATACAGAAGGTTGTCTCTGGTGTGGGCCATCAGTTTCAAAGACAACACATATATTATCAGAGCATGTTTCTTTGCGTGTTTTGCCACAAGTACGTGTGGTTGATGCAGACTCGTTGCCTTGCAAAAGATATCTATTTGGTGTTTGAACATCTTAACACCTGTTTTATTGCCAGAAAAGGGTAAAACCTATTCTTGTTTTTCATTATTTTTGATACTGGCAAAAAGGTCCCATACTCATTACTCTTTGCTTGTCTGGTTTCATGCTGACATTTTACCTTTTCTCTTTGTGCAGTGTGCTGGACTTGAATGCGTTTGAGAGGCAGAACAAAGCAGAGGGCCTTGGCATGGTGACCGAGGAGGGATCCGGTAAGGTCTTATTCTTTCATCGCAATGCACACGTACACACACGCCGTCTCTTAATATGAACACATGTTTTTCTTGTGGGCTCTCTCGCGTGTTCTTAATCAGTGTATTAGTTATTAACTGTGCCATTTGTTCACTGTAATATGTATTTGTTCAGTGGGAAACCTTTTCGGAAAAGCCGAAGTGTTGTTAATTCGCTCGTCGGAGAAAGAATTCGTGAAGTGGTTTTAAATCCGTGAAAATTTGAGCATGTCCATTGGTTGCCCTTTGCTGTTAAGTTTAGGTTTCTTCCTGCTTCTCCAGTGCAATCGTAAACTTCGGTTTTATTTTATTACTTCTTTGACCTTTTATATAAAAAATACTTGAAATAAACCAAGTTCAGAAGTGCTTCCACTTGCAAAAAAAAAATTCAAGCTGATATGTGGACAAAAAAACCGTCAAACTCTTGGCGCACTTTGGGAATGTAATATTGTAATTCCATATTCTCATTGACTACTGGTACCAGTGAATGCACAAACACACACACACATACAGACGTACATGAGCTCGGCCACACACAGACACGTGGGAGCACGCACACGCTCGTGCAGCTGTCGCCGAAGTCGTTATAGCCCGACTACAACTGGCGAATGGCAAAGTGCTGCAGAGTGAATATTAATGTCTTGAACGAGTAGGCAGGGTTCTCCAACCGGTCAGGGGCATTACCACAGACAGACATGGCCATTATGTAACCCGACATGGGTGTACGTTCTGCCGTGTGCTAGGAATTATGAACATAGAACGGTCGAGGTCGTGGTAGCCTAATCATACCAGTGTTAGCAGGAGTGCTAATGGATGGTAAGATAATGTTAAGTATCAATTTCTTGACGTTGAGAACCAGTTGCTAAGAGTAACACTTGAGGGGACAATGGTGGCACTAGGCTAGAATAACAAAATCGCTTGGTTTGCCTACAGGGTCTCTGACAAATACTCCCTCATCATTCAGACTCCGTAATGTTTCTCGTTGCGCTGTTTGATGAATGGACAGCAGCGGTCGAAGGCAGAAGATTGTGACTTCTCAGTTGGCAACAGAGAGTTTTACACTGGCGGTGCCTTGGAAACAATAACGTTTGGGAAGAAAAACACGATCGGCTAATCAAATCTTTCGATAACATCTGGGTGCACAAGCACGAGCTGAATGCACATTTAGCTCGTAATAAATGTATGCGGAGAGGATTCTGTGTTTTTATGATTAAATTTGTAATTTTTAGTGCTGTCACGTGCTCTCCCCTTTCCCTTGCCCCCCACCCTCTTCCCACTTTACCTTATTTTCAAATGTTGGCCCTCACTTAAGTAAAGTGCATTCAGAGGCAGTTGCATTTAAATAAAAATGTCATATTGTTGTTGTACCTACCGAGGTTTTTTCATTAACAAATATCTAGAAATGAAAACTAAAACCATCAAAGAAAGAACCGTTTCAAGACACTGTATTGTGAAATGCTCTTTCCAACTATGAGTCACAATCTCCTGAATTCCATATAAGCTATTTCTTAGAGGGGGTTTAAATGCAAAAGGGGTGAGCCTTTGTTGAGCATCTTTTAGAAGGTTACGCTTGGAAATAAATAAGACAAAGTAAAAGTGATTTCCAGATAGAATGAGCAGGGAGCAAGTGCTGTCCTGCAGTGTGTACATCCCTGAATCGATGGTGGAAAGTCGACATTGTATGTATGTTGAACTTCTTTCGCACCGCACGTAGCCAACCGCGCTAATCAGAGGTGCGGGTGGGGGGAGACCAACAAACTAAACACAAAAAGTGGTTCTAAAGACGTGAGATTTCAATCTAGATTCCTTTGATGGGGGCAAATACTATCATCGGACAACAAAAATTGATTTTATCAGAGGACATCGACAAACAGGTGAGTTTACCGACCCCCAACCAAGATTTTAACTCTCTCCACCTTCCCGATTGTGAGCTGCTAATTTTGACTACCTCTGTGCCACCCAGCGAGAATGCCCACCGTTTAGAGCATGTGTGTTTTAAAAGGATGCAAGATGGCAATTTTGTAAGAATAAAATCACAACGACGTCTTCTTAAACCTCGCGGTGGACACACGAAGTGAGAATTGTGTCGGCTTCCTAAGGGGAGGGATGTGTTTTCGACTGGCTGGAAGGGGTGAGTTTTTTTTTACTTGAAAAAGTACGCAAAAATAACAATTTATTCCCAACGTTATCCTTCTGTCTGCAAAATATATGTATCCGAGGTATAACACAAATAAATTAACCTCCAGAATATTTAGAGCTGTCATAATCTCAGAATATTTATCAATAGAAGGAACATACCTTTTGCGAATATTTAATCTCCCGAGGCAAAGCAAAACAAACAAACGGTCGAGGCTGAACACTACACCGCTCCATCCCGTGCTGCAGAATTTGCTCATTATTCACTTCCAGCGAGAGAGCCCATGGTTGCGATTCACTTGAAGTATCACGAATGTGATTCACTCTTTCGCTCGAAAAAAAAGAGGTTGACATCACGACTCAAGTGACGCAGTGGCGCATACAGCTCACCGTGTTTCCCGCAGCTCGTGTCTAAATGTTTGCTTGCGAATTGCGGGACATTGGGCCCTGTCCCTTCCCTTACCTTTACGTGTCGTTGATGTTTTACATTGCTGTGACGTTTGTGTCCATCATACTAATATGGCACCAAATTTAAAACAAAGCTGTGTTTTTCTTTAACTTGTTTTTTTTTAACGATGAGAGAAGTAAACATATAAATGCCACCCATCAACGTGCTACATACCCTTTTAACAACAATGTCTGTGGAGGAACTCCCCTTCTCCTAGCATAGATTTTTTTACTAATCTAATACCTCAACTCAGCTGCTGTATTTGCATTTAATTTTCAAGCAAATTCTCACGTCTCTGTCTTTCCCTCTCCCGCCCCTCCTACCTGACCCCGGCACCCTTGCCCCCTCCAAACCTGCTCCGTTTGTGCTGATCCCCCTCACCCGTGTTCCTCCCCTGTCCTCACGCTCCAGTTCCCAGACATCAACGGGGTAACTACATGCTGCCATGCGTTTGTGCTCATCGTGTGCTTTTTGTGTAGCTTGTTAGCTCGTGCGTGCGTGCGCAACCGTGCTGCACCTTAACGAATTTGCCGTACGGGTGAAGGCAAGTGCGTTGGTGGGGGTGGGAGGGTGGTGCGGCTGGGTATGTGATCGGGCCCATCGGCCTCATTTTTGGCATTCGTGAAGCAGTCCGATTCATCACGTAGCTGCGGCCGAGTGGTGCCACCAGTGCCGAATGCTGTATAACTCTCAACCCTCGTGGCTAATCAATTATGAGATTATTATGACCCGCATGAACTAAGATAAATTGCCCTGCCACTGACTGTGAATGTGCATGGTTCTATAAATTGGCTGGAGAGCGCAAGCGATCAGCATGCTGTTCCCACTGAGAAAATGCTTTGGGGTGAACAGCTTAATTCGTGTAACCGCCTTAAATATTTTCTTGAGATGTTTACCCAAGTGTGCTCATTTTAAGGCCTGTGCATCACTCACGAGAATCGGCCTGCTGCCTCATTACATCCAGTAAACATGCCACGCTGGGCCAACTTTGGCATTCGTTGAAATACTCTTTGGTTCTTTCGGTAAAGTCACGTAGGTATAAAATAAAATAATTTTTTATAATAATAATTTAATTAAACATTTGAAAAAATGTCATTAAATCACGACGTTTCGGAAGCAACACAAGCTTCCGTCATCAGGTGGGAAAACCACAGCACGAAATAAAATGACTGTAGTGGACAAGAGTCGTTCGTAACAAGATATTATATACGGCAAGACGGGGGGGGAGGAGCCAGGGAGGAGAAGCAGGTGGGGGGTGATGAAAAGGTTTTTTCTTTTATTTTATACCTACGTGACTTTACCGAAAGAACCAAAGAGTATGGAACATTGCAGTCACGAAAACTTAAGATCTATTCGTTGAAATGTTGGTCCAAAGTTCAACTTTAACTGGGTTGTTGCTATTAAAACCCCTTCCACGTCAGAAAAAAACTATTTCCAACGAAAAGTTTCACCCCAATTGTTTTCAAATAAATGTCGCTTCAAATTATTGGATACAACAACATGTATCCCTTGTAAAAAGGAGCGAACAAATCTCAATGGACTTCATTCAAATACAGCATCTATAAACCAATGCATTCTTCCAAGTGTGCAAAAAAATGAACCTTGCCCTGCCTCCCCACACCATCTATTTGAACCAATCTCAGGTTGTGTTGGAATCCCAGTCTGGAGTTGTTTTCAGTGCTCAGGTCCATACTCCACTGTCCCCAGCCCCCACTGCCCCTGGGCAGTTGCCATTTCAGAATCGGAATATTTAAAATAAACTGGAGAAGGAATCCGAATATTTAGACTGGAGGAGGAATCTGATGAGCTATGAAGCTCTTTTTCACAGATATCCGGTATGGGCGGGTCAGCAAGTTACAACAGCAAACAGTGCAAAAACAATAAAGGAGTGCAAAATAGAGGAAATGTAAAAAAACAACTTCATTGTACATGTTAGATTGGACAAGGCGGCACAGACGGCAACAAAACAATCCCAGACCACACCAAGATAACACAACACAGCAGTAGTCCCTCATCAACACAATGGAACATTCACATTGAGCTATCGATACTACACCAGGTAATGATCAAATTTGACGCCCGTGAGAACGAGAGGCATGCGGTGGGCGACCGCTCGCTCCACACGCGTTGGCCTGTGGTGCCAGCTCCTTTTTGTGTTGATTTTCATATCGTAAATGTTTTTATTTTATTTCTTATTTCAATATCTCACTTATTTTCCCTTGCTAGAGGATCTACGTCTCAGTGAGCTCTCATCCTGTTAGAAATAACATTTTCTCAGGTGTAAGCGTTGTTCTTCACATCATGTGACTTTTGCAGAAAATGAACGGACTGATTTGTGTTCTCTGGAAGAAAAATAAACACGGACTGGTATTTTGGGCAAATGGAGGTGGGGATTTTGGTCAGTCCTCTCATTGGTATGAGTTGTAGCAACTAGTTGTCTTCATATTTTTTCAGATGTGTCTTTATTCTAATGGGATTAGGGTTACGTTTATGCTTGTTCCTTAATGCTCGTGATTTTGTCACGTTGTAAATTACAAGGGTGAGAAGCTCACAAAACAAAAGAACATCAAAATAGAACGGAACAAGACTTTAAATTGGTGCACTTAGTTTATGACCAGTGGTGTAGCGTGGTTCGCACGGTTCCTGATGCAAGGATTGACATTGGGCCCTCTGTACAATTTCCTCCAAATCTTCATAGCCTAGTGCCTTGGGCCGCTCTGGCTTGTGGGGCCTGGTTGCAGGCCTGCACACGCTATAGCCACACCACAGTTGAACATACCATGCAAGTACGTCGTGGTTAAATCGTTTAAACGGTCGGCGAAACGAGCTCCGTTAAAACACAGTGGTCTCTTGGCACCGATGCAAAGCACTTTGGTTGCAGTGCCGCTTGTTGGACTGCCCCAAGCTTTTGCAGTTTGGCCGATCGTCTCAATAGTCGTGCGTGCGCCACGACACCACGACGTGCGCTGCGTTTGCTGTGTTTCACTTGTGTGGTTGTGCGTGTGTATGTGTGGTGGTGTGTTTTTTGTCGTTTTTTTGTTCCTGTTCTTGTTTCATCGGGGGTGGTCTCGGCTATTGATGGTGAACGCGGCAGCCAAAACTTTTCCAGCCTCCTGAACGATGAGCTGGAATGACCGACGGGCACACACTTATCCCATGCACGTTTAACTAAGCATGTCCTGAGGCTTTGATGGAGAAGAAAGGCATTGATTGGAAGGTCATGAAGCCCGATGAGATTCTCTGTCTCAAAAAAATCCCATAAAGCGCTCGACCGGCCTCTAAATTGTCCTCCACAACACAAACGTCTTGTGTGCATTTAAGTTCCAGGCAAGAAACGTGAACCCAGTACACCAACCGCTTCCCTTCTGAAAACATCACGGCCAGCTACTCTGCGTTATGAGCCCGGTCATCTGAGTTTGATTCCTGGGAATTCAGAATCAGAATATTTATTGTATCCGATCAGCTACGAAGCACTCTTTTTTGTTCACAGATGTACGGTAGGGGCGGGTCAGCATGGCACAACAGCAGGCAGTACAAGCAAAAAAAACACAATAGGAGTGCAAAATAGAGAAACGGTAAACGAGTCACGAGTTGGGGTCCCGGACTGGTTCAGGTGTCACTTTCCACTGACGTTAGCCACGGCCGGGAGTCACACTTGGACGCGCAGGTGTATAGTGCAGTGCACCACCCACAGCGCCACCAATTACCCCTTCAGAGCACAATTCATAGGTCAATACCGGCTTCATCATTGGTTTCAAGAGTCCGCCCAACAAAGCTCAAGACCACCCCTGATGCTTAAGTGCCCCGCTTGCCTCGACGATCTCTTGCTCCGTGTGGTCGTGCCGTTTGTGTCGCCGTGTGTCGCGCGCGTGCCGTGGCCTTCCGCCGTAGCCGTGTCGCCTTCCTGTGCCGTCCCGTGCGCTGCTGTAGGTGTCATGAGTTTGCCGTGGGCGTCAGGATATACCGCCGTTGCCCTCCCCCCCCCCCCCCCCCGGTGTCGTGCCTCGCTTGCCGTCACGTGCTGCTGTTTGCGGGGCATCGCGCTGTCGCGTCGTCGTGTGTGTTGTCCGCGCCGTGGCGTTCCGTCGAGGGTGCGGGCGGGACTTGTGGGGCCCACTCGGAATGCGGCCACCGGCCGCCCTGCGCCCTTGATCAAGTCGGTTGTGCTGCTTCAAAGGACACCGTTAATGACTCCCCATCAGGAAACGTCAGCTGCCGCCCTGTGCAAAAAAGCGTTGGACTTGAGCTCCTCGCCCGTTATCGAACGTAAACCGGGCGCACTCGTGGATCTGTGTGTGCAATACCTTGCTGAGTGGGATTTCTTAGGTGGGTAAGACAGAGTTACCACCCATTTCTCCTTTGACGGAACTTTTCCTTATGTTTTGTCTTTTTTGTAAGTTCTGTCAGGCACGTGCATTTCAGTGAATATCTGCATCGCAGGTTTAATACGGTTTTAGTTTGAGTCTCTCACTGCTCTCTTCCCCAATAATGAAATTATTCCCTCAACCCAAACACTTTTTTTTTTTAACAAATTATTCTTATTTTACCAGGTTAGGCTCACTGAGCCATATAGCTCTTCTTTTTCAGAAGCAACAAATGATAACTCAACGAAGTGGTGTGTATCCCGTTGACGTTGATAGCAGCCAAATACTCTAAACGCACGTTTCTATGACCAGCAAAGGAGCTTGGGTCGCCGGGTTCATCGCGCAGTGTGCTATCCATTGAGCCACCGTTCCCCAAATCCCATTTTGGATGCAATATGGAGCCAAATCTCATGTTTTATTCCTATCTTGGGATGCTATGATTTATAAAGTGTTGCTTATTTTATGTTGACAGTTGGCAAGCATTAACTAATTACATTCTTGCACATTTGGTTGACATTGTTTCTTCTACATTGTTTAAACGAAAGATTTGATGAATTGGAGCAAATAAAAGTGCATGAACATTGAGGAAAACTTCCGTAAAAGTGCACAGAGCAGGTGGCAGCGTGAAGACGATCAACACCAATAAAACATCGGTGGGGAGTTTGCTACAACCACCAGAATGTAATGTTAAACCACCTTTTTTCCTACAGGTTAACCATACTTGCCACTATAAAAAAACAGCCAGTAAATATGTTTTAGTGATGGATGTCAGTGACCACTTGTTCTAGTCGGGTTTATTCCAGAATATGGACGCTACTCAATTTGCCTGTAGGTTGTATTTGGATGGAATTTATAATTTTCAGAATTTGTAAATAAATCAATGAAGCCAGTAATTATATTTTAAAAAATTCGATGAAAATTAAAGTTGTATATTTGTCTCCATATTTATGATTTTTCTTGTTGCCAATATATTAGTTTAGTGGTATAATGAATGTTTGTATAACGGGACTGTTTGAAATGTTTTATACTTGGCAAATCATTTAAAATTGTAAACTATAAAGAAAGGAAGACAGTCTGTCCTACGAGATTTTATATGACTTTCTACCCTACAAGATTATATTATTGTGAATTTAACCTTGAATAACCGTGGCATAAATACTGAAGAAATATAACTTGCCATGAACAAAAACCACAGAACAACAGTTTTATTTTATTTTAATTAATATTAACGACCATTAAACCATCAGAGTTTACCTCTCTATGAAATATTAACTTCGGATTTTATATCTTAAGGCAGAACCATTTATAGCCCAGATTACGCATTTGAACAGTGTGGTTTATTGATAATTAAGTGGAACTCTTCTGTCCATTGCATCTACTGTTAATGCAGCAGCACCTTGTTGGTATCCGTTAGACCTTAGAGGTGTTTCGCACGGCGGACGACGAAGCTGGGGCTCGCCTCGAAGCAGAACACGTGCTCAGGTTCGAACCGGACGGCCGCGCTTTGCGCGATCACCCCCTCCCGCGCGAGTGACACCGGACCGCGGCCGTGCCGTTGCCCCCTTGTGTGTCCGTGCAGCCGACAAGGCGATGCAGGACGTGGAGTTCACCTGCGACCTCTTCCGCTTCCTGCAGCTGCTGTGCGAAGGCCACAATTCAGGTGACGCTGTCGGGGGTTGCGCTCTCGCTGCGGAGTTCACCCGCAGTCGACGCGCTGTTTTTGACGCCGCGCTTAGGCATCCCTATATTTTTTTTAACACAAACACATTCCTGCGGAGGGAGCTGGTAGGAACGTTGAGTTGCTCGGTCAATGGCCAGGGTCAACGGCGGTGTGGTGTATTCCGCAAATATGCCCGACTGTGAGGGCGGGCACAAGCCGGCGTGAGTAGGTTAAACGTTGAGTTTTATAAGGGCACCACGGGGTGACCAGCCCCTTCCCACCCAGCCCCAGGTGGTTCCTACCAGTAAAACCCACCTCTTCGGTGCATCTGTGGTAGATTTGAATTGCCTGATTTTAATTACCATTTGAAAAATAATGTGAGTTTTTATTGGTTAGGATTTGTGTATACATATTAAGTTGCCTTGGGCAGTGGTTGGCAAACTGTGATGCGTGGACCACTGGTGGTTCACAAGGCCCAAGGAGGTGGCCCCTGGAACTGTTGAAAAACACTTTTTTTTCTAAAACCAGATATTTGTGTTATTGTGCCTTCTCATTATGCGAGTCGATAAAAAGCAAGTGAATGGTTTTTATTAAAAATATGTCGGCACCTTTCGAATAGTTTTGATGCTCTGCATAGGTTATTGGTGCGTGGTGGTCCGCCAAAATGCGTTGAGGTTTGAGTGGTCCATGAGCCCAGAACTGGAATTTAATCTCGTAACTTGTATGATTGGATTCGGATAAGTTTGTCACACTTCATTGGCAAGATTATTTTAATAATCTGGGGGGGGGAGGGGAGTGTTGGTTGAGTGGTGCACACGCACACACTGCACTGTGAACTTGACCAACTAAGTTGGATTCCGAGCCATGGCTAAAATCAATGGGTAGGAGTGCTAGCCGAACTGGTTTTACGCCTCGCTCCTTTAGCAACCCACACTGACCAGCGTGGTTACATATATAATGGTGAACACCTTAGACACAGACATTTGTAAGTGGAGTTGGTAGTTGACGTATATATTTTTTATCGCACAAGACTTCCAGCTTGTTCAGCTGTGGCCAGTAGGTGGCAGTGCACTGAATTCTTCCCTGTAATTGCATACATTTAGTATTTTCATCCTTTGTGTACTGCTCGTGGACATGTGTTGCAGGGACGTGCGGTCAGGGGAGGCAGGGGAGGCAGAGCCTCACCTGTTATACTCCAATGAAAATAGCTGTTACGAAAAGTAAAAAAAGGAATAATCAAATAAAATAAATATTACGATTTTTCCACTGATCTGTGTTATAAATGTCATTTCCGTACGATTCCAATAATTTTTATAGTCAAAATCGCCAAATTTGCGGAGCTCCGCTGTAAATACGGGAAGAGACGAGAGGTGAGGCAGTGATGAGCTCAGCCTCCCCTCTGATTGCGCAACCCTTTAGTAACTGGATGGAGCGCGGGCAATAAGCGCGTGCCTGTTACTATCTCAGTATGTCACCAATGTAATGTTTGTAGACCCCTTCATTTCATGTCCTCGCCTTCCATACTCCAAAGTAACTTATTTCACGTATGTGTATAAAGATATTTAGGCTCGCTGGTCTCGTCATGAAACTGCAATGAAAAAGCACCATGGGAGGCAGCTATCGCATCTGCCTCACTGAGGGGGACGTATCTAACACGCCCCCCTCGGCGAGGCCACGCCCCCTCCGTGAGACCACGCCCCCCTCAGTGTGTGAATCTGGCTCTGACACGAGCCAGTGCCTCTCCAGCCATTGACCTCACCGCACGTTACTGATGTGTTGATGTACTCAATGTACTCATCCTGCCATATACAAAATACTCATGACGGTAAGGGAAAATCATTGACCCACATTAAAATGTCTTCATACTCTGAGAGAATTTCCTGGATAATTATTACAAATTACAACCGTTTGTCAATCCACTGTTGGGTCAAGGCCTCCCCACGCCTTTTGATTTATGGGGATTATTGTGCACTGGTCAGTGAAAATTGGTAAAGAGGGGACCCGGGGCCTGTTCAGATATCAATTGCCACTGCTGTTAGCCCTGGCTATCAATTAAGAGTCAGGTTACTGGGTCCATAGTGTAGTTTGCCAACCACCGTGACACCAACAACATTATACACGTATGTATAATAGAGTTATACACAAAACTACAACCCAGCTGTTGGTAGCTTACTAGAAAAAGCAGATTAATTTTGTTTTTAACTTTTCAACCGTAGATTTCCAGAATTACCTCCGGACACAGACTGGGAATAACACCACGGTGAACATCATCATCTCCACAGTGGACTACCTGCTGAGGTTACAGGTGTGGACCCACGCAGGCTACCTCTTTGAGCCATACAAGCACAACACCACATTCACTCAGTAGCGTTGTGAACCTCTAGGTGTCGAATAAGTTCACTCACATTTTTATGAAACGACCGAAACGCATCACCTGGAGTATGTGCCCCAATCACGCACTTTGTTTTCCATAAAGCGGATAAAATTATCTTCTTGGTTCTTTCGGTAAAGTCACGTAGAATGGAAATAATAAAATAATAAAGATAAAACATAATAAAATTATTCTCACGACGTTTCGGCCACAACGCAAGCAGCCTTTCCCCCCTCCATCCCAGCTTAAATAGTCGCTCCAAGCCTGGGGTGTGTCATTCAGACTCTGTCTTCTCGACAGACCTGTTCTCCTCCTGAGGACGGCTGCTTGCGTTGTGGCCGAAACGTAGTGAGAATTATTTTATAATGTTTTATTTTTATTATTTTATTATTTCCATTCTACATGACTTTACCGAAAGAACCAAGAAGATGAATCCCTGCAGTCACGAAAGCTTTAAATCGGATAAAATTAATCAAGCCAAATGTGTCTCCACTCTCAGCCATCTCGGTTGGCTACTCGAGCCCCCCGCTCTACGTCCGTGTACCAGTTGGTGTGTGCCTATGTTGCGGTGTGTAAACAACGCCACTGGGGAGATGAAGGAGGTCGGGTGTTGTGCTCGTCAACGTGTGCCGTGCCGGCCTTCATAGGTGCTCGCTAACAGCACTTGCCCCAACGGTCTGTTAAGGCTATACGAGGGATCTTTGTTGTTGTTTACCGATGTGATATTGAGTAAACTCCATGACGACAAACCTGAAATTGGCCGCCCTCTTTAATACAGTGCATCGAGTCAACAAAGCACGTGTTTTTGGTCACCACATCTCACATAAATACACACTACTTTCACACGCATCGCACAGATGCATTAACACGTGTGTTTTTTTTACCAGGTTATACTGCACTGCTTGTGGCGACTACTGTTAGGGCCTACTGAGGCCAGAATTATTGTTGGCTGACTTTACATCTCCCCTGCTTTGGTGTTGAGAGTTCATGCACTATAATTTGTAGGCCAACTCAACTTTAGGGAGGCCTGTATCCTATACATACACCATTTTCCACTGACTTAGAAGTTCCGGGATACATTATAGGCTAACCACTCTGCATATACACCGTCTTCCACACACAAACACACACTAATTGCATTACATTGTGTCATCATTGCTCCCAATCTTGCTCGGTGGGTTGGTCTTGGTGTCCCCAGGAGTCGATAAGCGACTTCTACTGGTACTACTCTGGCAAGGATATCATCGATGAGCAGGGCCAGCGCAACTTCTCCAAGGCGATCAAGGTGGCCAAGCAGGTGTTCAACTCGCTCACCGAGTACATCCAGGTGAGTTTGCTCTCTCCGTGCCTCTCACCTCTCCTGCCCTACCCCTCACTATCACTTCCTGTCCACGACTACTTGGAGCCCTCACTCTGCTGGCCTGCGAATAGCCTTGGGCCCAACACCACGCCTGGGTGAGATTTTCACTCTTCCTGGTTTTTGCCAAGATAGGACTCCTTTTTGAGGCGTTAAATCTCTCGTTTTGTTTTCTTTGTCAGTCGTATCATAATACACCCCCCCGAGTCGTTGCATTTATGTGCAGTTCTACGCTCTGTTGGTATTGTGCGATATTCATCTTCCCATGACAGGTCCCATTTTTGTACCTCAGAGGTGGAAACCCTATGCCCAGGCTATCAGTTCCTCCACTTTCTGTCGAGATGAGGCCTTTGTAGGCTACCCTGCCCCTCTTCCACCATCTCGACATGCCCACCCTTAGCTGACATTACCTCCTGGGGCCTAGTGACCAAGCCTTGTAAAATTACCTGTTGTTTGGAAACAGTCTTTAAAAAAATCATTTTATACAAAATTGAATGGATACATAGTTTATGTAGTGTTTATTTTTTATCCAATTTTCTTTTTACTAACAAGGCCAGACGATTGAGTGAAACAAGTAACATTTTGGCCCAATTTTCTATTCTCATTTTTGACTCCATAACGTATTTGCTGGTTCCAGTTTGCAGCCTGGTTGCAGATGGATATCGCTCTTCTCCATCAGCGCCTGCAGTCACCCGATCATGACTGATTCTGTCAAAGCAGGTTGCCATGGGAACAGATGGCTCTTCGGCCCGGCCTGGGGCAAGCTTGGTTCCAAGTGACCATGAGAACAGTCCAAACACAAGAGGAGCCTCTGTCCATTCCTTTATAATTTTTTCGCCTCCTTAGTTTGTTTTTATTTTGTGCCCAAAGTGTGTGTTTTAACATACCAATCTCATCCATGAAATGTCAATATGAATGTTTTGGCCTGCTCAAAAGAGTGATGGGCTATGTTTACCTCCATCGGTAGCCTTCCGCCAATGGGGTTGAAATTCTAAAACCCTCCGGTAAAAGACTCGGCTCCATAATCCCGGACCCTCTGCACTTCCACTTAACATTGTACAAATGGCCTTGATTGCTACCTGTGCCTTCACGAAGGCCCTCAGCCCTCCAATGGGGGACTGCCGGTGCAATGCATCGCACGCGAGCGCTTGCGTGTGTTCTCCCACACAGGGCCCGTGCACGGGGAACCAGCAGAGTCTGGCGCACAGCCGCCTGTGGGACGCCGTCGTGGGCTTCCTGCACGTCTTCGCGCACATGCAGATGAAGCTGTCGCAGGTGCGACGCACGCACCGCACATACTCACACGCGCACCCCCCACACAGACATCGCCCACACGCACGCGCACACACGCGCACGCACACATGCGCGCGCGCACACACATTCTCACACATGACCGGACACCAGAGTTACCATCACATGCATGACACAAAGACACAGATCCCCCCGTATAGCCTGTAACAGAGAGAGAGTCACACTCTTATGTATTGAACCGCCATCTCAGCAGAATATTCTTAATGGCAATGCCTCTTGCTATTCCACTCGCTTTCCTCCCAAACCTCTGGATCTCTACAGGATGCCAGCCAGATCGAGCTCCTCAAGGAGCTCCTGGACTTGCAGAAGGACATGGTGGTGATGCTGCTCTCTCTCCTTGAAGGTAAGGCCACCACTTCTCACGTGGGTTATAATTTCCACCGTGTGTTTGTCTTGTTACTGTCATTCAAACCTTTCGAACATTCATTTCTTTTTCCAGGCAATGTTGTAAACGGCACCATCGGCAAGCAGATGGTGGACATGTTGGTGGAGTCATCGAGCAACGTGGAAATGATCCTCAAGTTCTTCGACATGTTCCTCAAGCTCAAGGACCTCACGTCATCGGACACCTTCAAGGAGCACGACCCGGACAGCAAGGGCGTCATCTCCAAGCGGGACTTCCAGAAGGCCATGGAGAGCCAGAAGACCTACAGCCCGTCCGAGATCGAATTCCTGCTGTCGTGCGCTGAGACGGACGAGAGCGAGCAGCTGGACTACGAGGAGTTCACGGAGCGCTTCCACGAGCCCGCCAAGGACATCGGCTTCAACGTGGCCGTGCTGTTGACCAACCTGTCGGAGCACATGCCACACGACACGCGCCTGCAGACCTTCCTGGAGCTCGCCGACAGCGTCCTCAACTACTTCCAGCCCTTCCTGGGGCGCATCGAGATCATGGGCAGCGCCAAGCGCATCGAGCGCATCTACTTCGAGATCACCGAGTCGAGCCGCACGCAGTGGGAGAAGCCGCAGGTGAAGGAGTCGAAGCGGCAGTTTATCTTCGACGTCGTCAACGAGGGTGGCGAGAAGGAGAAGATGGAGCTGTTCGTGAACTTCTGCGAGGACACCATCTTCGAGATGCAGCTGGCCGCCAAGATCTCCGAGTCAGACCTGGCTGAGCGCGCGGGGGCGCGGGGAGAGGAGGAGGAGGAGAACATGGAGGAGGAGGAGCTAGAGTCGAGCTTCTTCTCGGTGACGACGGTGAAAATGGCCGTGGGCTCCCTGAAGAACAACAGCACGTCGGTTGCCAAGCTGTTCACTGTGAAGAACCTGAAGAAGCAGCTGAAGAAGGCGAAGAAGATGACGGCCAAGGAGATGGTGGTGGCGCTCTTCTCCGGCATGTGGAGCCTCGCGGTGGGGCTGCTCGTCATGGGCTTCACTGTCGGCCGTGGCTTTTGGAGGATCACCTTCGGCGGGGGTGGCAGCATGGTGGAGAACGCCAAGAAGATGACGGTGACCGACCTGCTGGGCGGCATGCCGGACCCGACGCAGGACGGCGTGCACGCGGACGGCACCAGCGACATGCACGACCGCAAGGAGTTCGACGGCAGTGACGACGACCTGCAGAACTCGGCGCTGGCGCTCGTCAACCGCGAGGACGCTGAGAAGGAGTTCTTCACGGGCGTGCTCGGCCTCGACCTGAAGCGCGAGGGCGGCCAGTTCAAGCTGCTCACGCACGACCTCGGCGACCTCGTGCACACGGCCCACGGAGACGACGCGGCGCACGATCCGGCCGGCGCGGACGTACGTGCGCCAGGGCCTCGCCGGGCCGGGGCGTGGTGGCGACGTCTAGGACGTTCGTAATCGACGAGTTCAGATCCTTCACGGAATCGGAGTCTTGTTTAGACTGGAGGAATCCGATGGGCTTAGTGGTCACGTGGATTTTTTCTCCGGCTCTCCTCCAGTTTTTCCCTCCACATTTAGAAACACGCGTTTAGAGTGTTTGCCTGCTATACATTTCCACATGATTAAGCCACTTTGTTTTGTTGAGCTATCATTTGTGGCCAAGTTGCTTCTGAAAAAGAGCTATATAGCTCAGTGGACCTTACCTGGTAAAATAAAATAAATAGTCTGAATCTCATTGTTCACAGATGTCCAGTTTTGGCAGGTCAGCAAGTTACAATAGCGAACAATACAAAATACAATTCTGGTCAGGGCTCGAGTCCAATGGTGAGTTGGCACTCCGCAGAAAGCCTGAGGGTGATCTTCCCGCCTTATGGACTCGACACCCTGGTGGGGATGGTGGCAGAGCGGCAGCATAGCCTACGAAGGCCTCATCTCCATATAAAGTTTGAGGACTGTTGCCATAAGTGGAAGGTTGGCACGTCTGAGGTACAAATTTCATGGGGATATGAAATGTCAACCGTTGGGCTCAGGGCCACGAACGGGACATGAGTGCCATCTCGTTGCTTGTGTGAGCAGGGAGAAACTTCTGACATTTCATTGTACAGTTTGATCCATGTATAGACACCCCACAAAAAATGACGATAAAATACTGACAAGATGACCAAACGTTGACTCAGCCCATAATCCGTCCGGGGGGTCGATAAAATACTTGACAGCTTGTGGGGAAGTCAAGAGTGGTTGTCCTTTGGATAGACTTGCCCCTGACACCCCACCCCATTGCTCTTTTGAGCAGGAAATCACTCCGACTGTTACATAATTAACGTTTTGCATGTTGGGCTGCTGCAGGCAAAGAAAGGTGAAGATGGACATACGGAAGTGAAAACGGAGGTGGAGAAAGCCGAGTAAGCAATTTGTCTAACCCGGAAGAGTTTTACCGTTCGTCTCTGATTTGTCCCAAAGCAAATCGCTTGCGACGCCACGCTCTTGAGTTGCTCCCTCACCCCCGGGGTCATCGCTAAAAGGGGGGCCGCTCTCTCCCCCGACAGTGGAGAATATGGAGAGAAGGAGGACAAGGAGTCCCAGGAGGCTCCGCAGAAGAAGAAAAAGAAAAAGAGGCACTTTGGATACAGGCACGATGACCTGGAAGGCGCCGAGTCGGACTTCTGGAAGAAGATAACGGCGTACCAGCAGAAGCTGCTGGTGAGGGAACTTGTTGTGACCGCGATGACAATCGCCGGTCACGGTGGTCCGTTCCCCCCGCCCCCGCACCTCCGGTTTAGCGCTCTGTTGGCTACGTACGGTGCAGAAGACGTTCACCGTACATACGTGTGATCGGTTGCCTCTTGTCCGCAATTGCAACGTGCTGTCACACAGTCGCGTTTGATTATTTGCGCGGCCCGGTGTGGTACGGGGAGAGAATGTTGGTGCCTTGGTGGGGGGGCTGATCTGAGATGTGAAGTAAAAAGAGTGAAACTGAAGACAATTCATGTTGATTGGATGTGCCGACGTAATGAATGGATTGAGAGATTGTGTGCACACACGCCCCTTGATTAACCATGGAGCATAAACAATGTGTGCACCTTCCAGCTCTCCGATGTTTTTTTCGGGCTACACCGCGTTGTTGTTGTTGTTTCGATGTCCATACTATTGCTGCACATGCTAGGAGCTGAAGAAGCCTCCAGCAACATGGCGTGAAACCTGGACCAGAGAGGAAACGTACAAGAACCTGGCTGGCGATAGTCATATTTGACAAAAGCACGCTCCATTGTTTTAACATTGAATAATATTTCTATTGTAATGTTTGGTATTTGAATGCAACTGGGTCACCACGGAGGCGAGATGTAATCTCCCTTTCCTGGCATATAGAAGGTCGCGGGTTCGATCCCGACCTTGACGCCTGTGTAGTGTTGTACAGACGAACTCTTCGACGTCTTTTAGTAGCACACACTTTTATTTGTGAATACAGTCCCTATGCACTGAGGGGTATACGGTCCCCTCACCCGTTACACTCCGAACGTACAAGCCTACAGGCTACTCATACCCTGCTCCTTCAGTGTCCTCTGACTGGATCTAGGGAGATGTCTCCCTGACCACTGGTTACTCTGAGCCCTAGCCCTTATAAGGGCTGGAGGGCTTGGTCTAGGGTCCTATGCTTCTTCCGCCGTCTTGGGTCTTCGTGTCGTCGAACTCCCCGAGAGCTCTGAGCGTTCTGGCTTTATACTCGTTCGTGGCCGGGTTGTCCAATCCCCGGCCACCTTGTGGAACCCTGTGATTGGTCGTTCCCAATCTGCTTTTCGATCCCAATTTACCCTATCTGACCCTGACCGTTAGGTCGCGCGGGAAAACCTTGTTTACGGTCAGCTCTCACAACTTGTGAGACCCTGACCGTTAGTTTGAGCGGGAAACCCTTGTCAACGATTAGCTCTCCCTGTTTGTGAATATCGAGTGGGTAACTCTACTACACCTGTATATTTAGAGTTTACATGCCTCTCCCCACATTTAGAATTAACATCACACCTTTAGAGTATTTGGCTGCAAAAAATGTCCACGTGATAAGCCACTTCATTGGGTGATCATTTGTGGCCACGTCACTTCTGAAAATGAGCCTCCGTGGACCTTACCTGGTAAAATAAAAATTAGTTTTACATAGTTTTAACTGAGATGAAAATGTATCAAACTTTAACATGTATTACAGTTATGTTTAATTCAGGAGAGGCTTACTCTGTCTCAAAACTCGTTCGGGAATGATACCGCCTCGCACACAAATTTCTAACTTGCTGGTTACTCCGTCATGATGTTTCACTACTTGACTCCATCTAATATTTAATGAGCCAATTTTAAGTGCACTTTAATAACCATTTTTAAAATATTCTTTTTTTTATCCTGTTATACAACACTGCGGTTTGTTTTTGTCATGGCACCCGTCGATTTACCGTACTCATGTGCAATGCGTTGTTACTGCACTTTGGAGTATGTTTAGGAGCTTAATATTTTCCACATAATTAAATTTCCAATTGATTCTCTCATCACGTGGAACACTCAATAACCCTGCTGTGCAAAGCTATTAGGGAGACTTAATAAGTCATCTTCATTAATATCCAATTTAATTGTGTTTACACTCTTTCAGAACTCTTTCGCAAGGAATTTTTACAACATGAGGATGTTGGCACTGGTGATGGCATTTGCAATTAATTTCATCCTTCTCTTCTACAAGGTAACCGTGTGATGTGTGCATTGTGCGTCCTTGGACATATTAATAATTTACGTGACTCGTCGTCTGAAATCATAGCTTTACATTTCTCAGCCAAAGTAAGAACAGAGCCGCAATCCATTTAAACTTTTTTTTACAGCCCTTTGTAAATCCACTTACTGCATGAAGGTTACCCCCATGCAATGTTGGTCTTGGGGAGGGGGTTACCAAGCATACTTTACCTGGCTGGCCAGGGGGTCCCCCCCCCCCCCCCCCACCTGGTTTAAGTTCAGATGTCACTCGCCAAAGATCATTGCCGTGGCCTGAAATCAAATTCAGGTGACTGTGCTACTGCTCCAATACACCATCTTAACAATGCACTCAAGTACACAACAGATTGATACGTATATGTTACATACACAGCGAACCCATTGTCTGTATGTAGCAATGCTTGTGAATAATGATTTCCAGCATCTGGCACTTTTTTAAAGGGAATTTTCAGACACATAGTCTGCTGTAGGGTGGTAACAATCGACCTTTTGACACTATCTACAGCAGTAGACAATTGTGTGGCAGCAGTGAGTCCAATTATTGTGTGGAACTGATGGTTAAATATGAAATAATCCTTTTAAAACAAACAATGGAATGACATCTGTCCTTTCCTAAGCTGGCCACTGTTGGTCTGTGATTACGGAATGGCAGTTAATAGTCAACGTTGGTCATTATATGGACAAACTGGCCCATGCCAGAAGAATGTGAAATCTTCACCACTGGATTGTGTCACCGGAAGTGATGATCGTTGCCCCATATTTACTTGCGAAGGAGATGCTGTGGCTTTTTGATTTACCAGTGGTAAAGAACAAATAAAATAAGCTCCTGCCTCTTTTGTCAATAAACTGGTATATTAAGGACCCCACTCCTCCCAGGCCGTGTTGGTCATGGGAGTTGTTTGACCGTACTTCACCATACCGCTCGGTGCTGCTTAGTCAAGGGACAGGGGTGCCCAGGACCAATCGCTGGGTTCATCGCGTGGTGCGCTAACCGCTGCGCCACTGCTCGTCTTCACCGCTGGTATCCATTGCAAGAGGCTCAATGGGCCCTCTCCTGGTATAAACATGGTTTCGTCGGCTTATCCGGACGTCCGAATGTAATAACGGGCAAATGTGCACACGCAGGTGTCGTCGATGGACGGAGGCGACGAGGGGGGGGGCGACGTGGTGGCTGGGGAGGTGGAGGAGGTGGTGGTGGTGGAGGAGGAGGATGAGGATGCCCTGGTACACTTTGTGCTGGAGGAGAGTACGGGCTACATGGAGCCGGCGCTCCGGATGCTCGCCATCGTGCACACGCTCATCTCCTTCCTGTGCATCATCGGATACTACTGCCTCAAGGTGTGACAATGTCGCCCGTGACTTCTTTACTCAACTCAGAAATGTTACAGCATTGTGATGGTGAGGCTAGTGTGTGTACATATGTTTAACTGATTTCGCACCGTACGTAGCCAACCGTGCTAATCGGAGGTGCGAGTGTGCTTGACTCGCAACCGTAGAGTTGCGAGGAGGTTCACATTCCAATGCAGGCGCTTGGCCAATGCCGTCATTCTGCTGTGCTTTTTCACGAACCACATGGACCTGAAGCTGACCTCTGCCAGTGACACCGTTAACAGTGCTCGCCTCTCCCACGTTGACCTCCTGACGTAAGGATTTCGAGAAAGGCCCAGCTGAAAGCGGGGCCAGCTCCCTTCGTAAAGCGCGATGTCCGAGCGGGGTTACAGCTTGCTGTGGCTGGGTCACGTTGCCATGGGAGGCCAAGCTGAGCCCACTTCCCCAGTTCGCAAACCAGACCTGTTTGTTGAAACGTGGCATTGGGCATCCTTTGAGGAAGGATCCTGCTTGGGGTGTTTGGCCAATTATTATTTTGTATCCATGTGTGTTGACAGAGAGTGCCTCGAACAAAAACTGGTGCATACAAGGAGTCCACCAACTCGCCTCCAAATTACCGACTCGATTACGTGCACCGCCATCACACTTGACAAACGCCTCCATTCACGCTTCCCCCCCCACCAAACCAAAGACAAAGATCCCCCGTATAGCCTGTAACAGACTGTTTGGACAAGTGCTGTTAGCGAGCACCTATGAAGGCCAGAAGGGCACACAAGGGGGTGGGTGGCCAGCACCACGCCCGGCCGCATTTGTCTCCCCAGTGGCAATGTTTTTACGCACCGCACTAGGTCCTCAATTGAGGCTGAGTCGACCTAGGGGAGGCCCAGGACCGGTTCAGATAATCGTCACTGGTGTTGGCCATGAGCGGGAATCGAACTCGGGTCGCCAGGTTCGTAGCGCAGCGCGCTCACCGCAATCCTACACCCACACAGCTCGTTCAATTACAGTGACAAAAATGTGATTTGCGCGCATGTGGCACACACTCTGCTCATTCCCCCGAAGAAATTACCCGGTGGGCGCAGGAATCGAACCATCGATTGCGCGCGAAGTGAGTCCGGTGGCAAGCGCGCGGGCCGCTGTGTAATCCAGCCACGTAAACGCACCCTCGAGGGAATGCGTGGAAGCTCACACTCGTCTTCCTTTACCCGACCGAGATGTCTGGAATCATCCTGTGCCAAATCTCCGCAGACTCCAGGCTCCCTTTACCGCTCTACAGGGGGGCCCCTGTTCATTCCTTTGTTGGTCACCCGCAAAAGTGATCGAGGTGGGGGCAGTTGCACAGTTGAAAAATCAATGAAAGAACTCATTTAAACGACAGCATGAAGCCACGGAAGTCTTGAGGATGTCTTCACCCGGAGTTGTCTTGATTTTCTGAAAGAAAGAAAAAACGTGTCCCTTATAGAATTTTAACAGAGTAAATATAAAATCTACAACTCCTTGTCTAGTCACGTGTTGAAAGTTGAACTGCAAACTCGCACTCTTTTTTGCATCAATGTGTCAAACCGAGTTGTCGTCAACTCACAAACCCACTTGAGTGCGAGTACGGCATTCACGACATCATCATCGTCGTTGTCAAGCCATGTTGTTCATTCTTTTGCAGATGCAATCTCAAATTCACCTCCCTTTGTGCCCTCCCTCCCCCAATGTCTCCATTGTTTCTCTTCTTTGATCGCCCTGTCTTGTTCCCGGTGGTGCCTTTCAATCTATCAAAATTTGATTTACACATACGTGTGTGTTGATTTATGGAATACAAATTGGATGGTGGAAACATTTCTGGCCATGATTCTATCGTGGCAGTGAGCGTTTTTCTTCCGATGCAAAATTTATTTGCAAACCGGCTGAGTGTCCCTTGAGAAAACGAGATTGCATTGGTTTTGAAGAATTACCGTGAGTGGATAGGACACAACTGTCATGCCTATCTTACGGCAGATGAGCATCTTATCAAAACCCTTTTCCTTGGAATGGCATTGGCACGGTCTCTGACTTCACATTTGCTCGTAGTTTAGCTGAGATGCGATCCGCAGGGGCACGGAGTGCCACTCGCGGGAGTGCTCGTGTACTCACGTGCAAACTTTTTAGTTTTTTGTCATTTGTAATTCCATGATTATCAGTTACAGGCGGTCTCCAGTTGACGACGGTCCGATTCGCAGTGATCCACATTTACGACGTTCATATAACGCCACCATGGATAGGTTTACGACTCAGAAACTTGATTTAAGACGCATCTTCCGATACATTTGAACAGGGTCAGTCTGGTTTCCGATGTGATTTGGCATGGAGCTTTTGTTATTTCTCAAGTGCTTTTGTGAATTTGTACCCGTTAAACCCTGTTAAATATGGCTGATATTTAACAGGATTTGACTTGCCATTGGATTTCAGAGTGTACCCCATGTTATTTTAGCTCCTATTCTCTTCAGGAATTGAACTCCGTTCCTGAAAGAAGCTTTCGGCACGTGGAGTGAAACGTCGAACATCAAGCCAAACTAACGCGCGCGGTACAACCCGAAAACACGTAGGAGATTTGTTGCAGCACAACCCCGACAACCTGCGCAGCGGTGTCATTTTATTGACCCTGGTTGTGATGATGGACCGAGTGGGCCTCCTGAACAGGATTTGAATGCGTGCCCCCTCTGGATTGTGAGCCGAGCTGCTTGCCTCCGAGCTCAGAGGCTGTGACTTGTCTCCTACCCCGCCAGGTCCCGCTCGTGATATTCAAGCGGGAGAAGGAGGTGGCACGCAAACTGGAGTTTGATGGCCTTTACATCACAGAGCAGCCATCTGAGGACGACATCAAGGGGCAGTGGGACCGCCTCGTCATCAACACGCCGTGAGGGCCACTCCCATCCCTGTGATTGCGCACGTGCGCCGCCCACCCCAGTATGATCATCGGCAGAAATTGCGGCGGGGGTGTTCAACGAAACGACGGGGGTGCCTCGGTGGCGAGATGTTAACTACCTCGCCTGGTATACAGGAGGTCAGGGGTTCGAACTTGACCCTGACGCCTGCTGTATATTTGGAGTTTGCGTGTCTCTCTCCCCGTGGTCATGTGGATTTTTCTCTGGGTCCTCTGGTTTTTCCCTGCACATTTAGAATTAACATCACGAGTTTAGAGTATTTGGCTGCTATACATTCCCACGTGATTAGCCACTTTGTTGAGCTATCGGTTGTGGCCAGGTCACTTCTGAAAAGAGCTCTCAGTGGGCCTTACCTGATTAAAATAAAAAAAATAGTTTAGTAATCCACATGCAGTGTTGCATGCCTCATTTCTATGCAATAATTTACAACTTTTTGCCAATCCACTGCAAGATAAGGGCCTCTCCGTGGCTTTGCCGGTCACGGAAGTTGTTTGACCACACCACCGCGTTGACGTTTTGGTATAAGATGCCTTCAGGTGTTGTCCAGCCCTACCTGAACAAAGAAAGATTTTAAGACATCTAGAAAACATCTTCCAAAGCTGATGCAGTGCTTTGGAAGGTGTTTTCACTCGTTACCTTTGTGGGCGATTGAAACTAGCTCATAGGAAGGCATTCAGGAACACCCAATGTGTGTAGATTTTGACAAAGGAATTGGAATTAAATGTCAATGCCCACAGTATCAATCACTCCCATTGGTTGCTTATGGTGGCTGGCTGATAGGCTTGGCACTAGGCCACTTGCTGGCAAGCGAGGGTGGCAGTCTGTGAAAGCCCATCTGCCATTCTTTTCCCTCCCGCTGACAGACTTAGGGCTCGTCTCGTAGCTATTATCTCCCTTGCACAGCTGTTGCGCTTTTTGATTATTTGTGCGTGGAAATTACTTGGCGATTCTGCTATTGCGAGATGGTTTTACCGTGCGCTCGCTCTGCATTTCAGGTCCTTCCCAAATAACTACTGGGACAAGTTTGTGAAACGAAAGGTGAGCGCTGCTGCACTCGGTGCGTCAAAGCCCTGAGCACGATGTGACAAGTTGGAACTTTGCACAGAATACCTCACAATTAGACCACACCAGTTAGTAATTTCAGTGCAAGTCAACTTCTTGGTTCTTTCGGTAAAGTCACGTAGAAGGGAAATAATAAAATAATAAAAATAAACATAATAAAATAATTCTCACGACGTTTCGGCCACAACGCAAGCAGCCGTCCTCAGGTGAAGAATAGGTCTGTCGGAAATCCCATATCTGCATTTCCCATAAATATGCTAAATTCCTCTTGATATGCCAATTCCTTTGTCAAGGCGCTCTTCCCCCTCCAACCCAGCTTAAATATACGCTACCAAGCCTGGTAGTGTTCTTTCAGATGCTGTTTTTTCCGACAGGCCTGTTCTTCACCTGAGGATGGTTGCTTGCGTTGTGGCCGAAACGTCGTGAAAATTATTTTATTATGTTTCATTTTTATTATTTTATTATTTCCCTTCTACGTAACTTTACCGAAAGAACCAAGAAGATGAATCCCTGCAGTCACGAAAGCTTTCAATCGAAATGCAAGTCAAGTTAAACAAGCGATGGGACCGTGCTCGTCCAACCAACGTTGGCGGCCCCGAGTCAGTGGCGGGAAATTCCACTTTCCCATGGCGTGAGCCAGCCTCTTTGTGGGACGACCACTGTTGGTTGTCTTCTTTTGGCTTGGTGCTCATTTTATTGGCTCCGGGGGAGATGACGCGCCGATTTGAGCTTGAGCCATGACTGAGATTTGAACTCGCAACCTTGTACTTATGAAAAGTCCCGCTTTGATTACAGTGCCGCCCGGCCAGATATTTATTGTGATAAGGGAGATGTAGTGCTTTTTCTCAGAGTATTTTTTTTCTTCTAGGTTATGGACAAGTATGGTGAATTTTATGGCCGTGACCGCATCAGCGAACTGCTCGGGCTTGACATGGCCGCGCTGGACTTCAGCAGGAGAAATGAGAAGCCCAAGAAGGAAAGCTCCATCTTCGCACTGTAAGCAGCAGTTGGGATTTTCACCGTCAGCTTTTAATTGTACAAATGTTTGTTTACGTATGAAACATGTACGTATAAAACAAAGATCGCCCGTGTAGCCTTTAACAGACCGTTGGGGTAAGTGCTGTTAGCGAGCACCTGTGAAGGCCGGATCGACACATGAGGGGGTGGGGTGGCAAACACCACGCCCGGGCGCCTTTGTCTCCCTCGTGGCAATGTTTTTACACATTGCACTAGGTCCTCAATTGAGGCTGAGTCGACCTAGGGGAGGCCCAGGACCGGTTCAGATAATCGTCACTGGTGTTGGCCATGAGCGGGGTTCGTAACGCAGTGCGCAAACCGCTACACTACCGCTCCCCATATACACACGCATGCACACACACACAAGCAACTTGCACTCCGTTGGTGAATTAAACTGCAGACTGTAATTTTTCGCCAGTATTTCCGGTGGACGTCTGCTCTCGTTGATATAATTTAGCCAACACTGTTGAGATTCTAAGTTCCAATCCTGGACTTCCATCCAAGGATGGAATTTATATATTCTACGTAGTCACTTTTATGGTCTCAGTTCAGTCAAGTCATAAAAGTCCAAAAAGCATTTTCATGCACAAATAAGCACTGGGAAGACTCAACTTAATTATAATACGGATTTAAATAGTGTCTAAATATGCCTGCATCTCAAAATTATATACATAAACGGTCACCATAGGTGGTCTTCAGCTAGTTTAACACGTAGGCTTTCGCGACCAATATTATCCACAATAGAGGTTTTTTGGATTACATTGCGTAAATATAAATGTGTCGTTAAACCCGCCACAGCCAATTAGTAAGGTTTGTTACGTAAACAAAACATGCCAGTTCATTACCAGCTCAGCACACCGGTGTGTTGGTAATTACAACCAGCTTCAACTCTGGCTGTCGCCTGATGAGGCTGGTTGTAATTACCGGCGAAACATCGTACTTAGATTGTAAATATTGTGGGTTTACTCTCCAACACTCCGTGTGCTGAACTAGTAACGAATTGGGATGTTTTGTTTAAGTGACAAACGTTACTAATTGGCTGCGTCAGGTGGTGGCGAGTTTAACGACACATTTATATTTACGTGATCCAACCCAAATAAACCTACATTATGGTCTTCAGCTAGTGGTGAACAATTCCACATTACTACGGTTGGGGCCAAGGTCGCCAGATTACACTCCCTATTGACTTACCGTAAAGTGGTACTTAGTTTTGTGGACCACGGAGGGTCAATGCGCTGAGCCGACACACGGGCTTGCTAAGAATGATTGTGTATAAATAGCCCTGGTCACTATTTGCATGTATGTTGAACTTCCTTCGTACCGTACGTGGCCAACATTGCTAATCGGGAGGATTGCGCTCCTAAATCACTCGGGGCCATGTCCTTGAGGACTTTTTCGTGATCATTTAGCCAAACAGCGAAGGCGGTCACTCATTCACGCAGCTAAATGCGGCGCGAGTCTGTGTGCTTGTCTCGGATATAGCCCCCTTACACACCGAAAGGATGAACGCAGTGACTATCAGGTCATCCATAATGTGCGAGGGCATCACACCTATCGCGGAATGGTCTGAAAATGGCAAAATGAGTTGGGCCTGTACGAAGATGCACATTCTGTACAGTGAAACAGTCTGTGAATAATGCAAGAAAAATATAAACAGCAACCGCCGGTGTTTATTTGTAAATAATAATTTAGATAAGCTCAGTTTTATGCTTGTGGAGGACAGTAAAAATGCCTCTATAAATAATTGAAAAAAAAACTTCTACTGGCTAGGTAAGAGACAGGACGAGACATTGATTCATTGAGACATGAAGAGGAAGCCTTTGGGTGTCTTGTGTTAAAGGTTGCTCCGGTGAAGATAGGTGCTGTTCCTCTGTCCGGCTGTCAGTAGGGGGCTCCAATTGCAGAGCAGTTTTTGTTGTTTACCGTTCAGCTTCCAGATGTTGGGACCTGACGCCAAACAGCTCGCAGTACAACCTGAAAACACCCGAGAGAGAGAGAGGGACATCGCGGCCGCAAAAACCTCAGTGGTGGATTTGATGTTAGTCCACAAGAGCTGTTGACAGCCATTGAAAGAGCCAATGAATAGAGTGTACACATGAAAATATGTTGCGTAATAGCTGTCAGAAGTGTTCCACGCGGTATATTGGCAGTGTGCATTGAGGATAGTGGTGAGTTTTTTTTATATCGTTACTTAATAACACCATACACAAGCCTGTAAATTACCTTTTTACATCCCTCATTTGTGGTTAATAAAAAATGTACTTAGAAACTTCATTAAGATGAGATGAGAGGTGCTAATTTTGTAATTTACAACCTATAATCTTTGTGAGACCAATATTTTACCTCACCACAATTCAATTACAAATTGATGAGTAGGCAAAATGTTAAATTCATATTATTAACACCACTTTTCCTAAACGCCGGTGCTTCAAGCCGATTACCGTAGAGATTTACAGTTGTCTGCTTTCTAGCGTGGAGGAGTATAGGCCAACATTTATTTCAGAAACGCTCTCTTGAGAGCTCCCTGTAGTGGTGTGAGCAAGAAATTGCAGGGCTGCACCTTTATCTTTTACCTTTACGAATGCATTAACGGTGTAACTACGCCGTTTATATTTTAGCAAAAATGATTAGTAATTGTGCAAGGTCTATCCACTGTGTGAGGTAACACGGACTGGCATTTAAATCATCTCAGGGTGAAGGCTTCAGTTACCTCGGCTGAGAAGGAAACATGATTAAAAATGTATTTCATGGTTGGCTATGTATGGCACAAAAGAAGTTCAACATACATACATAAAGACGTTCAACATACATACATAAAGACATTCTTCATACATGCGCACATTTTCCAGTCGAACATGCCGGCCTCTTCAACACAGCCTGATATGATACACAGTGCACGTCGCGGAGAAGGTGCTGCAGAAATAACTCTGAAATTCATCACAATGGCATGGGTGCACTCGATGAGTGTAGGCTCTGTCAAGAAACATCAGGTTATGAAATGATAGCGCGGAAATTAAAATAATGAGCGTCCAGAAATCCCACAGCAATCATAGTGAGAACAGAGCCCTTTCTTTAGCAATATACTATTTTATGCAAAACATTATTGTACACCACGAATCGTTAGAAGACTACTAAAAACGAGTGGAGTCAGTCAGAATTCAAGATAAAGGTATTTCCCTGCTCAAGCGATCGTAGGACGGCATTCGTCTGGGTTAGGGTCAACTTTGGCGTGTGGTCGGAGCCGTTGGGCCAGCGTTCCATATTTAACGAGCACCTCCAATTCCACATTTCCTTGGCGAAGGCCGTTATGTCATCAGAACCGGGACTGAAGCAGAGCGCAGAATATCACAATCGCCAAATAGCGTGGCTCTGAAAAGCGAGGTTATGGACGCAGTGCAGGCTCGTCTTGTTAACGAGATGACGTGGATGGCACTTAGCAACGCGGGGAAATGGAGTGGCTGCTTTTTAGGCGGCTCCGTCGTGCGACTGGGCCCTTTCGCCACGGTGTGCGCGTCCAGGGTTGTCCAGGCGAAGCGACGCCAGCTCGCCCTGGCAGCGACGCTGTTTCCCCCCGCGCCGTGTTTACGGCGGACGATTTGACACCGGCCTTGTTAAGGAAAACCAAACCAACCGCGGGGGGGGGGCAAGAGGAGACGACCGGGCGGGCAAAAATGACGCCGTGAGGAGAGAGAGATAACCGAGGCACTCGCATCACTCGCGTCCAGAATCAGAATATTTATTTACACTGGAGGAATCCGATGAGCTATAAAGCTCTTGTTCACGGATGTCCAGCTTTGTCGTCGTCGTCGCCGCCGCTTCGAGTCGCCAGGGTTACACCTCCCCGGGCCAGTTGGTGACGACGGATTGGGAAGCCGCGTGGGTTCGTTTGTGATGAAGGTGTAAATCGCCGAGCAACAGCGGGGAATTGCCGCTGAGCTAAGGTGTACCTGGGCAAATTCGCATTCATGAGTGCGGGGGACATACCCTGTGTGACTTGTGAATGTAAAAAGTGAATGAAGGCCTACCCGGTCAAATTTAGTTTGATTAAAAACGAATAGTCATGCAAGGTTTGCTGTTATTGTCATTTTTATTCATCTTTACCCCTTATTACTCGAGGTGTATTTTGAATGACCTGTTGATTTGTAGTCTTGGGCTACGCAGTGGGTCATAGCTCTTGGACAAAACGCTGGGTTACTCCGTGGCATTAGTTTGAGAGGCGACAGTCTAATGATGAGACTCGGGGAAGTCAATAACCAGCCCGCGTTTTGCTGTGTTTCATAACACATGCCACTTGCAAAATATTTATCCACAAGAACTACTAGTCAGCTGCTGAAATGTGAATTTCATTAGTGAATTAAACAAACCCCCTTGCCTGTTTATTAAATGTCTCCCTCTCAAGACTGCACATTAAACATGTTCCTGCTGAAAAAGCAAATCGGTCTACTACAGAACCCTGCACACAGCAGAGCCGCATGTCAAGACGGGGGAAAGACACCAGAATAAACCTCACTTCGAGCTCCAAATCCATTACCGGACTAGCTTCAAGGTCTCTCTCTCATCCTTTTCAGGATCCTCCATGGACTCACTCCTGCTTCCCTCTCCGTGTTCATCTCACTCCACTCCCCTCCATGCACTCTCCTGCCTCTCCCCTCTCAACTTACTCCACTCCCCGCCACGCACTCTCCTGCCTCTCCCCTCTCAACTCACTCCACTTCCCTCCACGCACTCTCCTACCTCGCTCCTCTCATCTCACTCTACTCCTATCCACCCACTATCAACTCCAGCAACCAAGGCTTTCTGTCGAAGCCCCAAATCCGCCTTTGCGCAGTAGGAGGGGTCACCCTTTCGCCGCTGTTGCCCCCATTGTCTTGAACTCCCTTTCTCCGAACCACCTGTACTTTTGACTCCCTGCCTCTATCTTCTTGGTTCTTTCGGTCAAGTGACTTTACCGAAAGAACCAAGAAGATGAATCCCTGCAGTCACGAAAGCTTTAAATCGAAAAAAATCCCTGCCTCTATCCAAGTCCACACTCAAGATATTCTATTTTCCTCTCCCTCCGACGGTCCGTTTTGCTCTATGAAATAAGTGTGCCGCCTTTCCCCCAGTGACGCCCATCACCCACCGCCCTGGGGTACATTGAGGTGCGGTTTGCGTTGTGGACATTTTGTAAATCAATTGGCATAGCGTCCTTCTGAGGCCCCTTCAGGACCCCACCCCTCTGTTCCACAAGGACAATGCAGTCATCACCAAGCGGTGCAGACAGAGCATTTTGTCAGAATATAAGAATACGTTTTTTACCCTTCCTGGCAATAAAACAGGTGCTAAGGTGTTAAAACATAACACAGAAGCCTCTTTGCAAGGAATCATATCTGCATTAACCACACAAACTTGTAGTGAACACGCAAAGAAAAACATTCTCTGGTAATATATGCATTGTCTTTAAAACTGATTGGTCTACACCAGAGACAGCTTTCTTTAGGGACTAGTCTCAACCAGTGTTAGACCAGAGGATGCCAAAAGGCAAATAGCACAAAGACAATACACTATGATGACATTGGTCCCATGATGATAGAGCATTTTGCTTCTTGTACCGGCGTGACTTTGTGAAATGAAACTGTGAGTAAGCAGCGCGCCCGTTGTGCACTCTGCTGAAAGAGAACACCTGGCCCCGGCAACATTTTCTCATAAAAGTCTGCACGTAAATTAGGTTTTGGTTCCATTTTTCGAATTGAAGATTGAGGGCATGCGTGTGTGTGTCTGTGTGGGTGCGTCTGGGTGGGGTGTATGTGAGTGTGCGAGCGGGTGTGAGTGTGCGTGTGTGTGTGTCCATGTTAGTTGTTGAGTGTGTGTGAGTGCATGAGTGGTTGAGTGGGCCTAGTACCCTGTAGATGTCGATAAGAAATCCAGAGAAATGTTTTGCCAGAGTTCTTCCTCGTATTTATTTTCAAGAAATGTTACGGTCGCTTTTCAGGCGCCCTCTGATTTTAACGTGCGTGTTGTGTTTTTTTTTCACTATCCTCATCTCAAAGGCTCAACTCAATTGATGTCAAATACCAGATCTGGAAGCTGGGTGTCGTGTTCACGGACAACGTAAGTAACACATCGTGCGCCTCTTACGAGAACGCGTGCATGCCCATTGATTTATCGGATGCCTTTGTTAAATAAGCTTTCATCTTAAATGGCACCGTAAACTCTCTTAAGTAGTGGTTCCATATGCACAGCTTTCCTTTTAAAACAATAAACGCCCCCTTTTCACGTGCACGCACACACGCGCATGCGCGCGTGTGCGCATGCGCGCGTGTGCGTGCGTGTGTGTGCATCTGGAAGTGCTGCCGCGATGGTTAAGTGTACTCCGCACCACACCTTTATCGAACCAGGTTTGACTCCAAGCCACCGTTGTAGAACCCGTAAAAGTTATCGTTGCCTTTGTTTGATTATGCCCAAAATGAGTGGCAGCCAAAATGGGTGTATGACGGTGCTGGTCCCAACATTATCTTTGCTGACTTTAATAGGTGCTTATGCCCCTGCAGTCGGATGACTTGCACCTTGGCCGTATTGATTTGGAGGAAGTTGTGGTTCCCAGCACAATCCCATTGTAGGTAATTTACTGGTTGAACAGAGACAATGTCTAATAGAGTGACTTGGCTGAAGGTTGCAACCATCAAACTCAGTTACCTCTGGACTACGAGTCCAGCGTGCTGCTTCTACACCATGGCGTCCTTGACCTAAGAGTAACCGGGGTCAAATGAGATGTTTGTGCGTGCGTTCGTGTGTTCGTGTTGGGGGTGAGAGCAGTGACGCCGTGGTTAGAGCAACTGCGCCATAACCCAAGAGGCCTGGGTTCGATTCCTGCCCATGCGCAAAGTCAATTTCATCGTTTGTATCGGAACGAGTAGCCAGTGCGGCGGGCGGACGTGCCCGATGCCAGCGACACGTCTCCCCCCTAGTGTGCCTCGTCAGCCTCTCAGTAGGTGCCCTTCCAACAGCACTTGCGCCAACAGGGTCTGCGCGTCTGAGCGGAGGCGTGCGTGCGTCCGTCCGCGTCCGTTTCTCGCTGCAGTCATTCCTCTACCTGGCCTGGTACATGACCATGTCGGGGCTGGGACACTACAACAACTTTTTCTTCGCCGCCCATCTCCTGGACATCGCCATGGGCTTCAAGACCCTGCGCACGATCCTCTCGTCCGTCACACACAACGGCAAGCAGGTGAGACTCGTGACGCTGTCTGATGGCAGCTTGGGGTGAAATGAATTAAGCTAATTTAAACGAGGCAACACTTTCAGGTGTTCGCATCGGGTCATCGTGTCGCGTTCACAAAAGCGACACCGCGAAAATCTTACCCGAGATAATTGTTCACACGGGCGGGGGGGGGGGGGGGGGGATTAAGTGACACACGGCCATGTAATAAAAGCCTTCCGTGATTTAATAATTGAAGCCCTTTGTCAATCCACTTCAGGATTAAGGCCTCCCCATTGCTGGGCCACTTGGAGGTTTATTTGTTTTACCTTTGCCTCAAGCGAAAATGTGTAATGAGGCCCTCGGCATCGTACGCTCCCTGCAAGCTTTGTGCTCAGTTCTGTTGGCTCCCCTTCTTCAATTCAGTTACAAGGCCAACACGGATGGCAGATTAATGAATGAAGCAACGAACGAACGAACGAATGAACAAACGAATGTGTTTGTGTGTGGCCCTGTCGGGAGCAGCTGGTGCTCACGGTGGGGCTCCTGGCCGTGGTCGTGTACCTCTACACCGTCGTGGCTTTCAACTTCTTCCGCAAGTTCTACAACAAGAGCGAGGATGAGGACGCCCCCGACATGAAGTGTAACGACATGCTCACCGTGAGTCCCCGCCGCCACCGAGGATTGCGTCCCGCTCGGCTGAGCGAGGAGGGGGGGGGGGGGGGGCGACAGCGCATTAGGGGGTCAAGAAGATGGACATTGCACCGGATGTAAAACTACTTGGTGGCGGTGGGGAGGGGGGGTATCTGAGAAGGTAGGCGACTGAGCTCCGTAATTACTTGTGATCGTTGAGCCAGAACCTTTGGAGATCAAAAACTTGATGTTGGCGACCTCTGAGGATACCGTGTTCTCGAGGGCAGTTGAGTTATTTATCTCGGTGTGGCCACAAACGACTGCGTGCAAAAAAAACACAAAGAGCTACTTAAATTTTTTTTTACGTAATTTAGCCCAGCCCAGTTTATACGGATAAAATGTATAAATTATATCGCATAATAGCACACACCCATCCCCAAATGGCATATGCCTGTTGTACGGTTTTGAAATTGTGCATTTGTCCAGCTATTGTAAATGGCAGAGTGGATAAGCAGCTCCAGGGATGATAGACCAAATTATTTGCAGCTCCGCTGAGTTCAAGTCTGCTTGGAGAGAAAATGAACCGGGAGGAATAACAGTGGGTGGCATGACATTTAAAAGTAACGTCCACTCGGGGGCATTACACTTGCCACAATGAATAATTTTGCCTCGATGTATCTGTCTACCCTGCAACTGATTACGTCAACACTTTGTCTCCAATTTGTCTCTCATTGCCGGGGGTAACGAGAGTGGGTGGCAGCGAGAGGAGAGTGGTGGCTCGGGGTTGTTGGAGTGGAGTGGGGGGGGGTGCGTTTTGTGATAACGCGTTGACCACGATTTCAGCCGAGGGAACTCCCCAGGCAGGCTGAGCAAAAAGGAGAGTCGCGCGAAAGGGTGAAGGGGAAAAGAGCAAGCGGGTGTACGGGTGGAACGCTCGAGCTGAGAAGAGCAGTCGAGGAACGATTCATGTGGTGAAGCAAGATTTAACCTGCGTCCTTCACTACGGAGTAAATACAAGCGAAGGTGTATTAATTACGAGCTGGAGTTTGCACTCGCACAGCGTCGAACGAGACCTCGGAGGAATAGGAGATCTATGCCAAGATGTTGTGTGTAACAAAGCCTTCATTGACCGTTGCAATAATGATATTAATGGTGAACTGTGAGAATGTTAAGATATGTTCTCCGTTATAATAACAGTGTAAAGATGTTCGTTCAATGTCTTGCCAAGAGTTGCTGCAGGTAGAATGCTTGAATCGCTGTCGAAAAGCGATAAGTTCCTTGGCTGGTGTTAATGAAATAAGTTCCACCGCTGAGTGGTCAATTCCGTATGGCAGAGACTGGCCCATGCAATGGGAATGTGGAATTCCCATCATTATTTCAGGTCGGTCAGCAGATGATGAGACCTGCCACATTGCTCATTCGAGCATCGGCACAACACTGCCTTTGAGTATCGGTCTCTATAATAAGAGTGCATACACCTGAGTGACTGTGGCGTCAAGATGATGTACTGCTGTGATGAGATAAACACGCCTCTCCTACTTGCCGTGATAAGATAATGGCATCAAGATTGGCCGTTTAACTCAGCCATTTATTTAAGCTGCTAAGGGCTCACATTGAGCCATTCAGCTCTGTGTTGCGAGAATGTCCACAGATCTAGACCGTGGGCAGTTACAGAACATTGCAGGGAGGGAATGTGCAATCGAACTAACAAGAGCGGAAAGCAATTGTATTTACACGAAACCCACGCCAGAAATGACTGCCAACAGAATAGACAATAGTGCTGAAATACAAATCGGAAACGCTGTAAGAAAATCCATCGCAGATCTATGTAAATAAAAACTGTGTATGCAGCCTCCGGCATTATGGAGCTTGGTTATAGCAATCACAATTGTGGCAAAAGTGATCCTGCTTCATGGCCTTAACACGCATGGCTAAAGAAGGTATCTTTGGAATATTAAGTTTGGTTATGAGGACATTCCTACAAGTGGGTGCTGCGCAAGAGAAGGCCTTGGAACCAGTATAAGTTCTTGATCTAAACTCTTAAACTATTATAAAACTATAGATTTTACCAGGTAAGGCCCCTTGAGCTATATAGCTCTTTTTCAGAAGCGACCTGGCCACAAATGATAGCCCAATGAAGTGGCTTTTCGTGTGGAAATTGATAGCAGCCAAATACTCTGAACACATATTGACTCTAAATGTAGAGGGAAATTCCGGAGGACCCGGATAAAAATCCACATGACCACGGGGAGAGAGACATGCAAACTCCAAATATGCAGGTGTCAGGGGCAGGATCAAACCCACGACCTCCTGTATACCCGGCGAGGTTGTTAACATCTCGCCATCGTGGTCAACAGGCAATCAAGTTTGTCTCGGTTTCTTGGGATCTTTAATGTCAGTTAAATCCTGAGCCTATTTGGATTTAAGAACGTGCTCGAGGATGATCGCCCAGTGTTGATGTCTACATAACTCCGGCGAGGAGAGATTGGTGACTCACACTCGGAGATTTCTTCTTGGCCCCAGCGGCTTCTCACGCGGGCACTGCGCTTGCAATCATTACGGGACTTGGCATTTCAAGTCTCATTCTCCGTACAGCAATCATTATTTAAATGCGGGCTGCTCATAAAGGTATAATCCGTTATAAAATATTTAAATTGGACAGCATTGTTTGACCTGCGTCGTTGGAATGTCGACGACGTATTTCTTTCTTGTAGTATAGTTTTATAAGTGTATTGTTGTATAATCCAGCTTGAACTGCTGTCATAATAGTTCTTTTATTTTCTAATCGGTCATAACTTTTATGGGCACCATGCACTTGGTGCACTAACACATACGGTCTTTAAAAATAAGTGTATAAAAGAGATGAATCTCAGTTGAACACGTAGGCTTTCACGACCAATATTTTTCATAATAAAGGTTTTTGGGTTAGATCGCATAATTATAAATGTGTCGTAACCCTCCACCACCCGACACGGCCAATTAGGAAGGAATTTGTCACGTAAACAAAATGCCAAATAGTTACTACTTCAGCCAAATTGTTTTCATTCTGCCTATTGCCTTTCCTGTGCTTTAATTTTAAGTGTGTGCATATTCACGTAATTTACATTTTTATATTTGTAACACAAATATGCACAAGAGACTAAATGTATTTACAAGGACCATAAATAAACTGGCCGTGCATTTCTCGATAAAAATTATTCCACGAAACAACGTATTTCTAATGTTCACTTATGTAGCATTAAGCGTTTCCATATAATTGCTTTATTTATGTGTTCCCAAGGGAATTAAGATAGAGCAAAAGTGTTTTTTTTAAACGGCACAGTTGGTTTTTTACTATCAACCATCAAAATGCTTTATAAAATAGTAATTTTTTTTCTGGCATTGGCTTTTGTGTTTAACATTTGCAGGCTGGCAAACAATCAAATTTACCAGGGCCTAATCCCAGCAAATCCACCGCTTTTCCCGCTTTCCCAACTAATCCGTAGAAATCCCTGCTTTCTGCATGCACGCCTCCGACTGACAGGGCCCCTTGATTAGACCAAGTCGGCACGCTAATGTAATCAACCTGACCTTAAAGCCACTAATGTAGTCAAAATGATGGCACTCTTCTAACTGTCTTCTGAAAGGATGTCCTTCTGTGACTAAGGGCGCCACACTAAGGTGAGCGTAGATCGTGAGTTCGTGGAGGGCGATCCAATTTAATGGTTCCGCGCGAGTTGGTTCCTTGTGCTTATTGCTTCTCACTCCTGGACAGGCTCATTCAGGTCCACATATAGGGTGTCCACAAGTACTGGTTTTCCCACGATGTCCTTTTTTTTTAGGGAATTATTCTGCGAAATTTGTAAGTCTCCCCAGGAATTAAAAACTCCCGTCTTTTTGTCAGTTGCCATTGCAGTTCTCCCCTCTGCCGGTATTGTGAGATATTTTTTCCCGCGATATGTTTTTTTTTTGGTGACTCAGAGGTCACTACCCTACCCAATGGAGGTTTGCGTAGGCATGACACAATAGCCCGGTGTTGCACCTCCTCCTCCTTCTCACGTGTATTTCTAGCCCGTTTTTCACGACTTGCACAAATACACAAATAACTCCTTTGATCAAAGTTAGCAAGAATACTACCATATTTCACAAATTTTCTGTCAAAACAACAAAGAGTATTTCCAAGAATTACCTCAGGATCTTTAAACGTATTTTAATAAATGTACAAATAATTAGAACATTAATTTCGTGGCACGTACTTTTATCTTCTCTGTACGAGTCACATTGATTGTACGAGTCGAGTTGCTCTAACCGTGTTTGTGAAAATGACTTGACGGATGGCCTCTGACTTTATCAAGAATGCGTGATATGCATTCGGGTGTCTGTATTGCAAGGGCGGTCACGTCGAAACCCATGCCAATGTGAATCACCCACAGACTGATGAATTCAGCAATGTTTATTTTATCAATTTACAAAACCCCATTTTTTTTAACATGTTTTTTAAAATATATATAGAAAATATAAAAACTCTACTTTGATCTATAACAACAATTTTCCAGTTCGCTCGCGACCCTTTTGCTTCTTAAAATTGGTGGGAAACGGTTAAGTGGTCCAGAAAGAGCAGTGCCAGACATTGATGGAATTCCTTCTGGGTGACACGTGCGTGAGTTGGGCTCTCACTGGAGTTATTTTTATTGACTTTTCCTTTTTTTCATGTATATCTTTTTTTACAATGCAATACTTTTAATTCAGTTCACTTAGCTTGAGACATGCACGTGCGAGGTTAATTGTTACACCACAGGTCTGTGAGAGACACCCCGACGGCTTGGGGAGAGACCTTCAACCCCGCTGCAGATTTATAATGGCTGCTGCTGCTGATGATGACAACGACGACGACAACCACGACGACGACGATATAATGTATAATAACACTGCTCACGTCCTCCTGCTCCCACGTCCCACCGGCTGCAGTGCTACATCTTCCACATGTACGTGGGCGTGCGGGCGGGCGGCGGGATTGGCGATGAGATCGAGGACCCGGCGGGTGACCCTTACGAACTGTGGCGCATGGTCTTCGATATCACCTTCTTCTTTTTCGTCATCGTCATCCTCCTCGCCATCATCCAGGGTGAGCCGTCCACCACAGACACCAGGAAACCGGATGAGGGTGGGCAGGGGGGGCGGGGGGGGGGTGCTTCCACTTTTGTTTCAGATAATCATGTGCCCTTAGCCCCAAGTCAAATCAAAGTGGTGTCTCCTCCTTGCTCAGATGAGCAAATGAGTGACGTTTATCTCCACTTGGTGGCCCGCTGGTGGCCTTTAATGTCGCATTCCCACAGTGGACTCTGAGTCTCTGTATAGAACTAATCAAGGTGTGGTACTCACTTTGTTTACCCCAGAGGGATGATGAACCGAGTAGACCCCTGAACGAGATTTGAACTTGTGACCTTCCAATCGTGATTCAAGCATGTTAACCACAGTGCCATTATTCCTTAAATAATTAAAATCCATTTCGAACAGCCACGGATGAAAGTAGCCTCTAGCAATCCAGAGCCCTTACAGCTCGGTAATGAACAGGAGGAGTGGCGGTGCAAGTGGTGGTTGGCGCAATGTGCTATGAACCCGGCACAGTTTGATTCCCGGGCACAGCATTTCTCGGTCGATATGGGCATCCTACAACCAGTTCGTACCAGTTGGGAGCCGTAAAGGGACCGCCACACGCTTGTGCACCGTGTGGACCGAGAGGCCGAGAGTGACGCCTCTTGCGTGCAGGTTTCGAGTTGCAGTTTAAGAATAAAACGTGAACCGACCTGAACGTAGTCTCCGATTCCACCGTTGTGCGTGCGCGTGCCGACATCCGGCTCCGCTGGCATACACTGGATACAGGCCGTACAGTTGGGAAGTGCTCCACGCAGCAGGCAAAAAATTGCACTTGCCCAATTGGCCTTGTATGCGAGCGTCCATTCTTCCACCCAGGACCACACAATAACCCGAAGAGAATTTTTCAAACAATGCATATTTTTAGAAGATGCTAAACACGCAGTCGTGCGACTGAGCGTGATTTATCCTCGAGTGTTTTTGTGCGTGCTAATTAGGAGTCGTGTGCTTTGTGCTTAATGTATTGGGACGGTTTTCAAAAAAAAAAATTTGAGGGGTTTAATCCATTCATCAGAAACTTAAGTCTATGCAGACAATTACAGGAAGTGATTTGTGTGAGGGGCAATTTAAATTTTCTCACACTTTCCAATTTTTTGCGGCTTAATATAGCGCATACCAATGTTAACCCTTTAGCCTTAAAATGAAACATTCCATTTCAATGTAAGTACATACTCATACATTTGTAAATCCAGTCAATTTAACCATTTTTTAAAGAATATATAGAGGTTATTTTATTTGATTTAAACTAATCACAATCATTTTTATTATAATTCATGAACATGTTCGTCTGGTCAAGGCTTGTAAAAAAAACACATTTGCTGATGTGGATAGTGCACCATTGCAAGAGCACATGAAATACTGCAATACATCGAATTGGCAGTTGTACAATATAATTAATATAATTATTATACTCTTAAGCCAAAACGTGCGAAGACGCTGCATGCTCTCCCCGGTTGCTCTGCGTGTCTGGCGATCTTCGCTCGCCCCCAAGCCACTGAGATGTCAGCACACAAAAGCGCTTCGCCTGTGACTGACCGTGGCCTCGTCTAAAGACTCCCCGTGTCCACGCAGTGACTTGAACTTTAACCTCCCGGTGCCAAGTCAGGGTGGTGATGTGGCCCAGCGGTAGCGCGCGATTACCGTTTGCTGCAGTCGTTCACGGTCCGATCTCCAGTGGCCGCCCTGGCTATTACTGCGCGGTGTGTGTGTTCGCCGTGAAAAAAAATGTACGCGGCCACTCGCTTCGCAGTGGACGTTAAAAGACCCCGCGACGTGGTTTGCAAAAGTAAGCCTTTGTGCGCCTGTATGGAAGGTCCGAATGTGAAAAATGACACGCAAATTACTCGATTGGGATCATACATTACAATCATCATCAGCCCCGACTGTGAAAACTTGGAGGACCCCCCCCCCCCCAAAAAAAGCATAAAGCTCAGAGAGGCCTTCTTGGGCAAACAAGCGTCAGTTACACGACAAGTGGCTCCACGTTCCCACAGCTTGAGCCCGTGCCTTAGGAATACGATAACAAAAAACCAAAACAAACAACTCATAAAAGGAGACGCCGCTAAGATGCGGCGTGGGATCTTCAACCCCTTCAGAGATGGCAGCTCACTTTGTGCAGATCGCGCGCGTGACGTTCTGCGGTGAAACGCACGCTCGGGGAAATGTACCCCACTTGACGGGGGCCCGCCGCCGTGCGCGTGCACGCGCGCTCATCCCACGCGGGTTCATGTCGAGCGCTCGGCCGCGGCAAGCGACCTCCCCACTCTCGTCGAGCATCGGCGCGGCCCTCGAAACCGAGAAATACGATTAAATTCGAAAAATCCCACGCTGCTTGGGGAACGCAGCTTACAGATTTTTGCCTTCGTTCCCCCTACACCCCCCACCCTCCACCCCCCCTAGCATGAATATTCATCTGTGGTGGATGCATCCTTGAAATGAATGCTCATCACCAAGAACGGTTAATAGCCCTTCAACGTAAACAATGGTGACTCTTTTGTGAAACATGGAACAGAAGGTGAAGCTATTTTAGGTTCTCTCTCGTTCTCCCGCGCTGCTGTCATTTCCACTTCAATCCGGAGGCACTGGAGACACTTCCCCTCCCTTCAGGCGCGTGGGAACAATTTTGCAGTTGCGGGATGGGGAGCAGCCACTGGGGCCCGTGTCAATTAGCCACGGAGGCCCCTTGAAGACTGTTTATGGGGTACGGCGATGGCCTTGATGCACCTGATAACGGGGTGCGGGGTAGGAAAGTTTTCCCCCCTGCCCTAATTTCTGATCCCCTCGTGCCCGTTTCGTCATCGTTGTAGTTAGTCCGTGTGCAGTGGCCAACTCTTCCCAGTCGGGTAGAGCACGGGCGCAATAATATTCACTCGCGATTTATTGCAAACTATTTTTTTTTTTATGAACAGCAAAGGAGCCCTTTGATAATTCTACCCCGGAAATTGATCACATTGTCAACTCCTTGTGAACTGACTCCGTGCAACAGCGTAGGTTTTGGGGGGTCGTGCCGTGTCTCTCTCTCTCTCAAGTGTTTTTGGCTTATGTCGTGTGTTCCGCCTGGCGTCCAACGTTTCGCTCCACGTGCTGGGAGTTTATTCGTGAACTGAAAATATTTTTTTTAAAGATCGATGAGGTTCCTGAAGCAATTCCCAGCACATGGAGTTAAACATCAGGCATCTTGCCGAACAACATGCAGCGCAGTGCAACCTTGTGAAGACACATGGGAAAAGCTTGACCGCATGCAAAATTGCGATCGTGCTGACCACTAGCCTATCCAGCAGCCAGATCAAAATCTGAATCTTTATTTATCCTGGAGAAACCCAGTGAGCTATGAAGCTCTTTTTCACAGATGTCTGGTCGGGGTGGGTCAGAAAGTTACAACAACAAACAGTACAAAAAGTGATTGCAGTGTAGGAAAGGGAAGCAAATCACAAAAAATGTATCCGTAAAAATTGATAACGAATATAAGTACAAATTGTAAAAGTATATCGATCCCTGCCGATTGGAAGGGAGATGCCAATGTTTTTAAGCTGCGTGCCTGCTGTTCCTCCGTCACAGGTCTAATCATCGACGCTTTTGGGGAGCTGAGAGACCAACAGGAGCAAGTCAAGGAGGACATGGAGGTGGGAGTTCAAAGCACATGGCCCCGTACACCCAGCCCGCGCTCTGAGGAGCTCACGCATCGGTCATTCGCACTGCGGTTCAAAGAGTTGTTTATTCGTGCAGTAGCAAAGATCCTCCTCTTCGAAGTACTCACTTGCATATTATCTTTCATGTTCCATTTTCATAAGGGGATTTGGGTGAGTCGAGAGAGATTGTCGATGTTTTGAATGTGGTGGAAAACATTGCTAAATAAATTTGCCGCCAAAAGGAAGAGTTGTTTTCATTCATCATGAACAATTGCTCTCCGTTATTATTTGACTCTTACTTTTTAGCATTGCCATTGTTCACTCATCTTTCCCCATCAAAATACCACATCCCCTGCATAAACCTGTCTTAGCATGGAAGTGAATGAACGGCAAAGGCCACGCGGCTTACCCATCGCTTTAGTTTCCCGCGTCTCTAGCTGCGTCTGCACCCCGCGTTATCGGCATGCAAATTTACAAACGTGAGCTTTTGCACCGCAAAATACTGTACTCATTCGTGCAAATGCAAAATGACCACCACCCCCCCCCCCCCCCCCCCCCCTTTAACAAAAATGTCGCTATCCTTTTCAAGACCAAATGCTTCATCTGCGGGATGGGCAATGACTACTTCGACACGGTGCCGCACGGTTTCGAGACGCACACCCTGCAGGAACACAACCTCGCCAACTACATGTGAGTGGCCCCCTGGATATTAAAATTTCTTGTTTACCCGCTTTGGAGCGGCCGTTGGACAGATCTCTTGAAAATGTGTTTATCGTTTATTTTTTCCAACAACACATTTGGGCTGTGCATGAGGGCTGAGCGGTAGTGCGTTTGCCAAAAAACTGCTTCATTAGATTCGTGGTTCTAGCCCAGTTGGCTGCCCTGGTTAATACTGCGGGTGTATTAACCAACAAAATACACGGCGTGCACAAAGAATACGACGAGCATAGTTGTGCCAAATTTTAGTTTTGTCGCCTTTGTGGGACGTCATTATATTTGCATTCCCTCACTCAATCATTTTTGTAATGAAATGTGATGCAAGGGGGGCTTTTTGTATACGCGTTGTATACACTTACCGTTTATAGCACAGATCGATATACAGACTCGATACTTGGTTTTTTGCCAAACATTCTCCCCAGTTATTAAACACTTTGGCAAATAGCTAACTTAACCAACTGTCACCAAACCTTAGAATGGTAATGTTTGTTCCACTGAAGCCACAGGAACAAAAATGTACACACAGGCACGGACATATAAACAAGATACACACACACACGTGTTAAAATGCTTATGTATATTACATGATATTTTACATTCCACAACACAGAGGGGTTTGAAGGCCACAGTCGCAACAGCCCATCTTGCCTTAAGATGCTGACATTAATGGGACCTTTTTGGTTAACTAAGGCTCTGAAAGAGGTCACTTTAAAGCCCGCAGCCTATACACAGCACTGACCCCGCAAGGCTAATGCTGGAGACGGGCACGAATTGGTGCTACATTTAGATGGTATCGCAAACGCACGTTTTATGACCCCGTGATAAACCCACATATTGGCTCGACACAAGCACGAGGTTTATTGCTCGATAAACATAAAACAAATGAGAAATGCAATTATGTCTTTAACAAGGCAGCTGTAATAAAGTTGGCCACGTGTTACATCACTTTTAGGGGTGGTGGCCAGTGTCACGTGGTGCTGTAAGCAGTTGATCCACGACCACAGAGTGATCCACTGGGTGCCTTCGTAAATGTCTGGGTTTAGCAATCCGTGGCTTCGAAAACATCCGCGTCGCCAACGCGGCCGAGACTCATTTATTTATGCATTTATTTAAACAAATATTGAAACAGGCACTCGGACGAAAAGGGTTTCAAAATCAATCACACCTGCAATGAACTAGATTTACGAGGGATCGCATGGGAACCATATTCAATTTGGGGGGCTCGGGGTGGTGACGAAGGCAAGTGTCTGTGACGACTGCTGGCTACTGTTGTTCATACACCCGTGGTTTCTACGTCAGCTTTCCTTAAATTAATTGCACTTATAAAACTGTTTTTGTTTTTATACGCATTTTACATATTTGTCTAGCCGTGCTGAAGGCTAGAAGATCCAATAAGTAGCCGAGCTCTCCGAAGCATACGTCGCAATTGTAATTGCCCAGATAACAGTTGGTGCATTTTCACTAATCCGAGTTTGCTGGCTAATCAGCATCTTATCTCTGTACCCAGGCAGCAGCAGGTCATCGAGGGGTAACTCTCGTGCATTCAGTGCACACTGCCCTATATTTAATTTTGCGCTGAATTACACTTAGACGTGCCCTGCATTACATTTAAACCTGTGTTGTGGTTTTTTTTTGTCAAGTGCCCGGTGCTCGACCGTCAAATGCCACTTGCTTTTACGCAGAATCGCTGCGGCGCACGTGATTCAGGGTTAAACTGCCAGTGGAATCGCACTGCTTCCAAATACTCGTCCGGATGTGGTCGGAACGCTCAACAACCAACCCTAAGTTTTCGAGTTTAAATTCAGATCAGTGGCTTACTCAGCCCATCCATCTCCAGAAGGACAACAGCTGTCAATCCCTACGAGGCACACTCGCCATAGGAATGTGGAATATCCGCCACTGGCTCAAGAGCCAGATGAGCATTACCCTACTCTCGTTTGACTCGACACGGCGTCTTGACGACAGGATTGCTCAAGGGTCGCACGGCTACCTCTTGAGAGTTGAAACCAGAGCCACTTGTGGGTCTCTCTCAGCCATTCCTCATTTTCAGGTTCATTGTTATCAGGGCTGCAGGTAATGGCAATGTTAATCTCACTCCGGCGTCTGCTAAAGCCGCCAATAGTGTCTGTGTCTGTGTTGCTCACTAGACTACTGCGCTGATAATCTGAAGACTGCTGCATTTAGACAATATAGGAGTTCGTATCGTGATGGCGGTGGTTCGCTTGCGGAATGGCATCACTTCATTAACAGCATGCACGGTGCTATTTGGATATAGCCTTGATATAGATACTATTAACACCATGTTGAAGATTCTAGATTAGAAGCTTTCATGACTGCAAGGATTCATACTCTTAGTTTTTTCGGTAAAGTCACGTAGGTAAAAAAATGAAATTTAAATTAATAAAAAATAAAATAATAAAAATCACGACGTTTCGGAGGCAACACAAGTCTCCGTCATCAGGTGGGACCGTCACAGCCAGATTAGCTGCATCACTTGATGCAGCTAATCACTTGATGCAGCAAATCTGGCTGTGACGGTCCCACCTGATGACAGAGACTTGTGTTGCCTCCGACACGTCGATTTTTATTATTTTATTTTTATTAATTTTAATTTCATTTTTTTACCTACGTGACTTTAACGAAAAAACTAAGAGTACCATGTTGAAGTCCTAAAAAGTATTGAGGTGTTGTATGGTAGCGTCGAACACCATGGCTATCGAGGGTATTGCGAATGCAGAGACTTGTTTCATACATCGTCATCACAGTCACCAAATGACAGAACCACGCCCGGCCACCAGTTGTCTCACAAATGATGATGTTTACACATCGCACAAGGTACTCATGTAAGGCTGAGTCTTCCTAAGCAAGGACCAGGACCGGTTCAAATATTTTCTACTGTTGTTAGCCATGAGTGGGAAATAAAACTCTTGATTGCCAGGTCCGTAGCACTAACCACTACACTGCTGCCACCCTCATCATGATCACCAAAATAATCAGAAGCTTGCATGACAGCAAAGAATCGGCAGTAATCGTAACTGAGAGTTACTGAATAAGACTCACTTAAAATTGTGACACAAAGCAGTGCATCGGGCTTTATTGTGATTTTTTGAGTTTGTGACCACCATGACTTTTCATGCATTTATACACATACCATACATTTCCATTCCTCAAATTGCCTTGGTTTAACCAGGTCACCCTCGTGAAAGGGAGCAATATATCACGTGTCTCATCGGACCTGTATTTTCCTATTTAATCAAAGGGTCAAGCAATCATTTGCACTGTCCTACAACTTCCTAACGTGCATTCCATGCCACGAATGCAGTTTATATATTTTTTTAAACGAAGCATCCAAATGCAGCCACATCTCTTGACACGTCATTCATTGTGGGGGACACATGCACACCCAGAGAATTTGAAGAAGTGGGATTCCGAGATTTTTTTTTTATGATGACGGAGACAGGAAAGTAACATGACGTTTTAGTAAATGTGCGAATTAAAAAAATTCACAGGGGTCAATGATAATTGGAAGCCTGGACTTGAACAGAGGAAGGGTCTTGGCCACGCAGACAGCCCGAGGGAAGGAATTCCAGAAAATGGAGGCATTGGCAGAGAGAAGGGGGTGACTTTCCCCTTTGGGTGGAGGTTGTCCTGAAGGTTGTGGGGGAAAGCCCTCGGTCGAGATGAGAAGGGTAAGGTAGGCAGCAACGAGTCCATGGAAGCATCTAGAAGGTGGCGAGGATTATCTTGAAATGTCCGTTAGGACTGTATTGGTGGAACCCCGCAAAGGGGATGCAAGGCCTGGGGTGATGTGGTCTCATGCAGCGGTGCAGGTGAGGAGTCTTTTGGCGATGCTGTGGATCATTTGGAGTTGGGAGGTGAGGAATTTGGAGCAGCCATAGGACCGAGACGCAATCAGACATGATTTATACTGGAGAAATCCGATGAGCTCTAAAGCTCTTTTTCAGAGATGTCCAGGAGGGGCGGGTCAGAAAGTGACAACAACAAAACAAAAACACGAAAGGAATCCAAAGTATAGGAAATGTAAGAAAATTACTAAAAAAACTGAAACTCGACAATTTTTATATTACCAGGCAAGGCCCACAGAGTTATCAGCTTTTACACCATTGTAACCTCATTTGCCAGTAAAAAATATGATAATTGGTTTTTTACCCTTCTATCTGGCAACAACTTCAAGGACAGTGCACATTATCAGAGTTATGTCTTTTGTTTGTATTATGACTGCAGGTATTGCGGTCTATGCAAACATGACTCCTTGTAAAAAGGTGTCAGTTTTGTTGCCAGATAGAAGGGTAAAAAAACAATTATCAGTTATCAGCTTCTTGTCCAGAAGCGACCTGGCCACAAATGATAGCTCACCGAAGTGGCTTATCATGTGGAAATTTATAGCAGCAAAATAATCGAAACGCCTCTACGCAGCGCCTCCTAGAAAACATTTGCAGATGTGTACCTGATTCGAGCCAGTGATGTAAAAACATCAGTGAAAGTAGTGGAAATAAAACAATCAAAAATATCTATATAAAATATATAACACAGCGGCTTTTCTGTTGCCGTGTGAAATCACCGCATTGCATGCTAGCACGTGCCGTTCGCAGGGCAAATTCCTGACGGTGCGGCGATGTTGAGATCCCACGCCATGTAATTGAGATGCCGTTCATGCGCCGCGCGGGCTGTGTTAAATCTGCGAGAGCTGCGTTAATAATAACATTGTCTGGCGTGTGTTGTTCCTGCGCAGGTTCTTCCTGATGTATCTCATCAACAAGGATGAGACTGAACACACCGGACAGGTACAACGGCCACTGCAGGACAAATCAATCAACAGATTCATTTAGGACGAGATTGCACGCTCAAATAGCTTTGGCTCGAGCATGGTAGCTTTCAGATAAAGTCACAACAGCCTGTTGTTTACACCTTAGTCGTGATGTAATATGCACATGAGTGCTTTGCTAATGCAAGCACGGTTATGGATTTATGTCACTAATTCGATTCTGAGGATTGTGTTAAAGCATGTGTTTTTCTCGTCTCGACAATAGTATCCAAAAAAATACAAAGAAGATAATTGGACTATCATGCCAAGAAAGGATGCTCCCAAAACATTCTCGAGACTCCCTGAAGCAGTTTTGGACAAAGGATATTGTTATGCTTAGACAATTACCTAGGTCTTGGATCAACTAATTTTTCTACACATGGATTGTGGCTCAATCAAATATTGCCGCTGCAGAAATAAAAATACTCGTTGCTAACATTCAATTCAGATGGCCGCGACAGAGCCATGAGCCAGCTCTGCCGAGCTCCTGGGGTCAAATCCAAGGGGTCACCTGCGATTGTTCTCTAGTCCAGTGTAGCGAGTTCATAGTCTCATCCCAGTCAGCATCGACCAGAGGTCGCAAACGGGTTTTGATTCCTTACCCGTACCCGTACCCGGCCGCACCAGGGTCGCAAACTGGAAGGATTTGTGAACGGTGTAGACAGCATCATAGCCGGGTATCGGGTAGGGTACGGGTATCGGGTACCCGATTGCGACCTCTGGCATCGACTGCGTGAATACCAACAGGCTTTTGTTCACTTCAGCCTGCCCTGGCTCCGAGGAACAACAAATATATAAATATATACCAGGCGACTGACACTTGGCAAACAATTCTTCACAAAGCCTGTCTCGGACAAGAAGTGACTCCAGAAGTTAGTCTCCAATTGTCATTGGCCAGGGACATCCCCCCTAATGCGATGGGTCTGCCGAATGATGGCATTCAGGATGTTTCCGCATAGCATCATGTGAATGAAATGACAGCTCAATCGATATAAAAGCATGCATATATCGAATAAATAAGACTGTTATTTCTAATCAAATCATGCGATCGCTCATCACTTTTATTGAACGTCTTGCAACAGATACAGTGCTTTAAGTCTGTGTATCTTTATCTATTGTGCCTGGAGGTAGTTATTGATTTTGTGCAAAAAAAACTGTGTCATATTGATCATGCTGAGCATTGCAAAGGTGGCGTATGATAATAATACTAATTATAATTTATAATGCGCATTCCATCTTAGGATCTCAATGCATAATGCATGGAAATCAGGAAATAAAAACAGGCCCAAGCCAACCGACCAAACTAAAGGGGGAAGGCCACTTTAAAGAGATGGGTTTTCAAAGCAGACTCTGATATCCTGACTTCAAGAAGAACAGTGAGGTGAAGTATGGTCAAATAACCGCCAAAACCCGCGAGGCCCTCATCCAGCATTGGATTGACAAAGGAGTACACTGCGACAGGATGGAGCATCCTGCGACGAGACGCGAATTGTAAATTGCACAGATTATCCTCGATCCAATATGGGTAATATATTTCTCTCACCCCCCCCCCCCCCCTCCCGGCACCCCATTCCCCTCCTGATTCCTCTTCGCATCCTCTGCACGCACACAGGAGTCATATGTGTGGAAGATGTACCAGGAGCGCTGCTGGGAATTCTTCCCAGCTGGAGACTGCTTCCGCAAGCAGTACGAGGATCAGCTGTAACAGCCGAGGCACCGGCAATCGCCACTAGCCACGACGAGCATCACGAGCACCTCCACCAACAACACCATCAGCACATCCACCACCAACTACAGCCGCCATTCGCCACTAAGTGGCGGTAAATTCACTTGCAGCGCTTATGCCAGGCGGGATGCACTTTGAGACCACGTGAAGTGTCGAAGGCTCGCTGGCAGGTCACGGACAGACCCAGGTGTTAGCGGTTGACTGACAGAGATGACTGACAGATGGGCCACCTGTGCTGCTCACCGTGCCAACTTGCCGCATTTTATCCACCTGGCGTCCCACTCATTGTTGTAAGCATCTCTCCTCCACTCTCCTTTGATGGAGGGCGACTGCCTCAAACTGCAGACTTCATGAACTCCCTCCCTTACAGACGCCGATCTTAGAGAAGAGAGGGGATATGGAAGAGAGGGTATGGCTGGCCGAGAAGACCTGCAGCTTCATGTGGAGCAATAGCCAACGTAGCTTCTACACAGGTTACATCGTGGATAAAAAAGATAATGCTGCTCGACTGATTAAAAATGAAACTTCTGCTGCCAAACCAGAACTAGTCATAAGCACACTGCCCAGGTATGAGAACTCCCCCACTTTCCACAACTACCCTGTTACTCATGGGGAGTTGAGGGGGGGGACTACTTGATAACAAAATACCTAGGCAGGGGTGATTTCTTGAGGTGGGGCTGATGGTAAAGCCCCATCTTTCCGTGGCATGTCCGAGGTTCAGAAGATTGAGCAGCAATTACCAGATCGTCAGCCGACTAATAGGGAGCCATCCCTTGACTGCACCCGGGCATCGATCAGCCTAGCATTGTACCAGATGTAAATTCCTTTGGGATAGCTATGGAACGCTTGTTGAACTACGTGGTCAAAAAATTGTGTTGGGGGCCAGAGGACAGCTCTTGTCTGCACCCCAAGGTGAACAGGAAATGGCTTCGACTCTCAGCCACGTAACTTTACGTGGCCCTGCCCACCATCAATAACTGTCCTTAATGATTGTGAGCAGAGGCTCAGGGGACCCTGAACGCATGAAGAATAGCCCAAAGCCTGACCAGGTGAATAAAGCAGAGATGTATGTACTGCTGATACTCGCTCCACCTCGAGAGTAGCAGATAGGCAAAGAACATGGCGTCTGTGCAGGATCACCCAGGTTTGAAACCACATTGGAGCTCTGTAAGCCTCTCCCTCAGTATGTCTGGCAAGACGCTGTTTAACAATTCGTGCCAGGACTTTTCCTGACACACTGAGAAGGGAGATGCCCTGGTAGTTGTAGCAATTAGTGCATTCCCCCTTCTTAAAAAAGGAGGACCGTCAGGGCATCCATCCAATCCTGTGGAACCCGTCCTGTGCTCCATGCAGTTGTAATTGTCATGTACGACAGGCTGTACACAATCGCCATTCTCAGCAGTTCACTTGGGAGATCATCTATGCTTGGCGATGTATCTGTTCTCAGGCTCTGGATCTTTCTTCGCACTTCAACACATGGCATATAAATAAGCCAGCCACCCACAGGGGCTGCACAGAAGTCTGGCGACCTCCTTCCATTGTTTTTAGCTGATCTGGCCCATGCCTCCCAACCACTCCAGCTTGTATCTTGACCCACTCGGGAATTAAAGTCGCCCAACAAGATAATCTAGGGGGCAATTTAGCCAGAACCTGGGACAAGTCATAGGCATCCGACTTATCAGCTTTGCCTGCATCCCTCCTGCATACCGGTTGGCTTCCTACAGTGTGAATGAAGTTCAACATACATTCATTAAGTTCATCTTTGGTAGGGGTGTAAACTACCACCACCGCCACCACCAATACTCACCCTATGTAGATGGGGAGGGGTGAGCCCACAATAGCCTGGGGCTTGTAGATCCTACACCTGACCACCACACTCTTCATTTTATTCGGAAAGATGAACCACTCCCTGTTATTTGACAGCTTCCTACCCCGAGTGTAGGACTGTCCACCTCTCATCGTCACGAGTCGGAACCATAACACCCGACCTGTATTCCAGAGGTCCAGATAGCAGGCGGTACTGGTCTAGCACCCTCTCCTCCCCAGCCGCAGTGGTTCCCAATTGTTACTCGAGGAACCCCCATGGCAGAGTGTTCAGTCTCCTGGCTCCTCCAGACGGGGTTTGGCCAAAAGACGTAGAAGACGCTTCTCCCCCTTGGCACCTACGGCAAAAGCTTATTGCAGTTTTTTTTGTGTGTGGTCCTTTGGTAATTTTATTGAAGGCGAAGGGGTTACCAGCCCATTGCATCCTTCCCAAAGCCCCGCCGTTGGCCACACAAACAAACTCCTGCTCGCACACACACAACACTCACTCACTCGTCATGCCAGGATTTGCCGGGGCACGCGACTGGTCGTGCATAGTATGACTGCAACCGCGTCAGCGAACACCGGCCCAGGTGTGTATCAGATACTCACCAACCCACACTGACGAGTGCTTTGAAGTATGGTCAGTTAACCACCATGCCTGGCAATGCGTTGAGAGGGAGAACTTCGCCCAGCAATGGATTGACCAAGGCTGATGAGGAACCAGTTAACGGTGATGTCACACACTCGAGCACCACGATACACTCCAACCAAGTATGCCCATCACAACCACACTCCATCGCTCGTTCGTTTGCCCACAGTCCACCTGATGACTCATGCCAACTTATCCAGTCCCTCGCCCATCCCACACCCACATCATGATGAACTTTTGACGATCACTCCTAAGCAGTGACATCACACGATGTGTGGCTTGTTTGCTTCGTGCAAGCATTCACTTTTCTTTGCCCTAAGCTTTTATTTGCGAGACCATTTTTTTAAAAATATATATTTACAGAGACATTTTCTTGAGACTTCAGTTGTCCACGCTGAAGTGACGATATTAAGTTTTGCCTGGAGTGAAGAGTTCCAGAGAAACGCTTGTCCTATGCTGTCAGTAATTAATGTTTATTGCTGTTGAGCGTTTATATAAGCGAAACAATGGAAGATAGTGCCTTAAAAAGCTAAGGATGAGCTATGCAAGGTCAAGACTTAGTAAAGTAACCGAAGAACTCGTAGGCTGTAATTTACTTGTCTAATTTCGGTTTTTTTTCTGTACATGTAAGCGGTGTAAGACATCTAACTGCTAATCGTACATTCGAATATCCCAATAACATGCTTGTCATTTTTTATTTTGGCTGGCTTTAACATGACAGTCTTCCCATGAAATTTTACCAAGTTCACTGTTGTGCGTTTTAATGCGTTTGTGTGCAATACTAAAAATGAGACACCCATCACATTACGCCAAAAGTAGGAACGATAAACATATTTTTTTCCCGCGAAGCGATAGGTTTAACAGCATTTAACTTTCACGAAAATAATGAGACCGATGCTATTTTTCAAGCATTGATGCGATTTAAATGAATTTAAACAAAGTATGAAATTGTAGCCCTGAATGTGAATGTGTGGCTGTTCTTGCTAGTCTTTTCAAAACGCTGTATAATTGACTTCATGTAGAAATTGGCCCATTTAGTCAGTTTTTGGACAATGTTATATCTTTGTGACGTGTTCGACAGGGAAAACTCGCTTTCAAATAAAAAAAATAACAAAATGGAAGAATTTGTGAACGGTGTAGACAGCATCATAGCACAAGGGATTGTTTGAAGTTTCAAGCAGATTCTGAAATAAAACATTTTAAACGAATGCCTTCGATGTTTTCATTTCCTTATTGGGGTTTCTTTTCGTGCGAAGAACCCCCATGGAGGTGTGTGCGCGTGTGTATAGATCAATGAAAGTAATGTACACCCCTCCGCACCGTACACCAACCATCATTCACCACCACTGCCAATCCTAGGTTAAATAATTGAAAAGAAATGTTTTTTTTGCTCAGCTGGTGAAATGAAAGAAATGCAAGAGCATTGTACGGCTGCACCAAAAAGCAATCTACCAGCACGGCCGAATGGCTAAAGAGCCCAGACAATGATGTACAACTCTTTTTTCCTGTTGTAAAAATCAGTTGGTTGTCTCTGGCAACACGCCGTATGGATGTAGCCATGTGAAAGAATGATTTGGGGTAATATGGTGCTTGACCTGTGAAAGCATGACGTGGATATCATTTACCAGCAACGGACACTGCTTTCTGTAAAATTTAGTGTCATTCTTCCAAAAGGTACCGAAAAAACCCAGCAAATATCTATTTGGATTCAGCACCATTCAATGCTGCAGCTTTTTAAAGATGGAAAACTATATTTAATTTATATATATTCCACCCCCCCCCCCAAAAAAAAACTTTTTCAACAATTTTGACGTGCAACAGATTACGTTTTTATCATTAAGATAAAATATTTTTTTGCTCCAAAGGTTACAATGAGCTTCCCATTTACATCGGGTAGAGGGGGCGTGGGGGGGGCGTGAACCTCGCTCAACTCTGTGGGATGCTGGTGACGTGAACCACTTGGCCAAGGGCCACGAAACCAGGCAGGCAGGAATCTAGCCAGGCAGGCATGAATCTAGCCAGGCAGGCAGGAATCTAGCCAGGCAGGCATGAATCTCGCCAGGCAGACATGAATCTAGCCAGGCAGGCATGATTATAGCCAGGCAGGCAGGAAGCCAGCCAAGCAGGCGGGAATCCAGGCAGGCAGGAATACAGCCAGTGAAACTTTCTCTCATGTTATGATTAATGGACGAGCGTTGTGGACAGCAGAGGGCAGTTCATCAAAATCTAATACTAAGCTGTTTATGCTCACCCTTCACCATCCTGCCCTGATTGGGTGGTATGGTTAAACATCTCCCAGAACCATAAAGGTGGGTCCATCTTTATGCAATGTGGGGATGGCCCCGTATCCAGCAGTGGATTAACGAAAGAACGTAATTTTCGGTATTTTTTTTCTTCCAAATTCGACGCCCAATATTTACGACTTGTGCAGCCACCGCAGTTGCTGCCACCAAACAGTGCGATCGCTGGGCCAATGCGCTTTCCTGCTAGAGTCGAGTAAATTGTTCTCGGCACGTGTGAGCGCTCGCTTTCCTTGTCTCCACAATGTCAGCGGCTGTTGTGAAGAACGGTCAAAGTTTAAGTAACCGCAGAGTAAATAAATGGCAACCGCTGCCAGTTACACAATACAGGGTAGAACGTCCCATGTCTGACCCGCTGGGGGCCTGAGGTTCACAATTAAGACATGAGCGTAAAACCCATTCAGGGGGTCTAACCCATCATTGTCACTGATGCCACAAAGGAAATTAAGTACTTTCCTGTAGAGCATGATCTCTGCCATGGGAATGTGGAATTTCCAGAACTGGCCTCACAGCCGTCAATGCGGATGATTGCACCACGTTCGACAGTGTCATTGGATCATCAACGTGACCACGCACACGGTTTCGTTGTTACAATAACATGTGCGCACCTCGCGTGTACCCCCGTCTCGACACAAAGGGGTTCAACGCGCATGCAATCGGATTGGAAAAGAAGAAGACGAGAGAGCGAATCCACAACGTAGCGTCGGTTGGTAAGGCTTCCGAGCCTCCGCCCGTGCTTTTCTTACAACAAAACAATCAAACCACTCTCCGCGTTGCAACTGAGAATTCCTAATGAGAACATCGGCATGTTGCGGTGCTCCGAGTTTGAAAACAATCCTCGACCCGACCTGCTTGAAAGTGGGGGGAGGGAAATACATTTCGAGCGCTGAATAGCAAGCAAATGGGAGACGGCTCGCCCACTGGGCCCCATATTCTCAGTGAGAACTCGCAATTTGTTTAGCTTCCGAAGCGATTCCCATTTTAAGCTAAATCTAGATTGGAAATCTCGACTGAAAACTCGTTTATTTATAACTGCTTAGTCGCCTTTCCACCGCATGGTACGAAATAAGTTCAACATACTGTACAGTTCAACACACACTAATTTGTTCCGACATCTCCGTTAAAACTTGGTAGCAAACGTTCCGCCTGCTCTTTATGTTGCCTACACTTCTACTTCTCCACTACCACGTGAACTTTAAATATATGAAGTACTCGTTTTAAAGCGTTCATGCGCATCTTATTCAACTTGGACGAGACTGTGAGAAAGTCCACTGTATGTATAAGTGTTGAACTTCTTTCGCACCATACGTAGCCAACCGTGCTATTCGGAGGACAAACTAAACACGAAAAGCAGTTCTAAATAAATTACGTTTTCAATCGAAATTATTTAAAAGTGCATGGCTCCAATGGCTTCCTCATATCGGAAGAGCGTTCCAGACGGCCGCAGAAGCGCCTCTGAAAGCGCGCGATGCAGCGAGCGACCGTCTTTGTTCGATGGCCAGCAGCCAAAAGCCGCTGCGAGGGTGACCAGAGTGCGTGATGATGGTTTATGCTCCTTGACGAGATCACCAAGGTATCGTGGTTCATGTGACAAGCACGTTGTGTGTAATGAGTGCGCCCTTCTAATGTATCCATCAGTTCAATTGAGACATGTCAGACCAAACATCAGCATACGTCACCTTTAGTGCTACAACTATAATGGATTAAACTAATGCAAAAGCTGTCCACCAACAAGAACCTTGTCAACGTCCTCAGTGTGACAATGTGACATGTGATTCCCCATGTACTGACTTCACAGAGGTACACTTGGTTTTAGTCACACATTCAATCGGGACACTTTAATGTCTGGAGCAATTCAACATACATGCCAGGGGGAAATAGTTGAACCACAGAAACATACTTGCTGTACTGTTTCACAATAGGCCACCACATTGCCATGCGGGTGGGTTCATATTTATTTAAGCACGAATTGTCAAAGAAAATCTGGGAAATGAGCCATCATCTGCGCAAGCTGGCTCAATAGCAAGTACGGTTGGCACAAGGTTGCTCACTTTTTAAACTAAAGGAACATCAGTCCGAACCCTCAAAATAAGGAATTGCCAGAAACATCTCAAGCAGAGCAATAACTTAAGGCCCACTCAGGAGGGTGTTTCCCGACAGAGCAAAAATTGCCACCATTTGCTGCCACACTCAAGTTTATTTCACAATTATGAGAAGCTATTGCTTAGTTCATGAACAACACACAAAGACAGTAGAGAATATGCCTTCAACCACCGAACGCAGTCAGTCACAATGTCCGACGACACTTCTTGGATTGAACCCCGTTCGTGCACTGGTCACAATTCCTCCAGATCTTCATAGCGCCCATACTCTCTATTCGAACTGCACACCGTTGCCTTCCCGACACTTGTCACGCAATCATGCTGTCCAGCCAGTCTTCCAGGTCATCAGTTGAGGTGGGCACTTGTGTTTCTGCCTCCTCCTTTGGTGGTGCGCCCATCTCTTCCGCAGCCTGGTCGTTGCCGAGCCCGCTGCCTGGAACCGCAAACGCATTCGCAGTAATTTTTCTGACGAGTCCACGCTTACCCACAAAAAGTTCAATATTTTTTGCTGCTTAGTTTGTCGTCCTTCCCCCGTACCTCTGATTAGCACGCTTGGCTATGTACGGCGCGAAAAAAGTTCAGCATTCATACAATATTTGTGCAGATTTTTTTTAACGTCACATGAGTGTCACCACATCAGATACTTCATCATCCGCAACATTTCTCGCAGCGTGCTTGGCCCATGCAGCACATTCAATAACTTGCTGACATTCCTTAGCTTAGATCTAACATCTGACAGTTTTTTTTGAAAGTCAAGATAAGCATAACATGTTTTGAAGGCAAAAGCAGGGCAGACACGACAATGGTAAAAGTTACATGTAGTTCAAAAGTAACAAAGTGTTCTGCTTCTAGGGCTACAAGATATTTAAAACTATGATTTAATTCCAACAGATGCCACCATGGTGCAATGGTTTACACACTAGACTTGCAATCCAGAGGCTGTCGGTTCAATCACCCTGTGTGGCATTTGACACAATGGGCAAGCCTCTTAAACCCCCTCCCCTCGGCCCTTGCCCACCCAGCAGCACTGTACCAGCTGGATACGCCACAGTCAATCGATCGGCGGGCAACGTGTGGTGGGGTAAAAGTGTGGGCACTCCCACCATTGAAGATAATGGTAGGGCTGCACCTTTATCACCGCAATGCCACTTGATCTATGACACCCTACAAAATCAACGTGCATGGGTAACGTGGTTACCAGTCTTCATTTGTGTTGTGTTGTTTGTTTTCAACTCCCTATCCATTACACTATTCCACGTAGCTGCTGCTGCTACTTGAAATACTATGACACAGACGATGACGACAACGCCGATCATATAAATAAACTGAACATTACGTTCGCAGACAGACAGAAGCCGTGCTTCGTGCGAGTCTACGATTATCGTCCATTTCATTATGTCTTTATTGCAGGTGGTTTTTCAAAACTGAAAAAGATTCCGATAAAAGTGTAATGGTCTGTGGGTGTGAATGATGTTCCTGTGTGTGTATCGTCAATGTTAAAGACATACTCATTTGTAAAAAAAACAATCTAAGAGTCTCAATGCTGAAATTAGTAAGCAGTAGTCCTCATCTCCATTTCTGGCCCTGATCCAATGCTGAAAATTCTGCATTTCTTTGGCAGGGCAATGCTACCACATGACAACTGCCATTGAATTTACACACTTTAGTAATGATACAATTATTTTCAATTCAGGGGGTTAATGATGGGCTAAGTCGACCCTCAACCCTCTGATTGTGAGTCGAGCACTCTGCCATAGCGGCATCTGGCCAGACTAAGCACCGAGTAGAAATGACCACGACGGTAGGAGGAATCGGGCAGCCAACCCGCAAATGTGAAGCCACTCAGTCAGGGCTAAGCCAGAAGACAATGAACACCTTAGCCTCTGATGTGTTTTCTGGTTGTACCCCCGTTGGACCGAAAAAAACATCATCACAGAGCTACAGAGCACAACCGTGAAAATATGCGAAAGCGGTAACTTCTTACCCGCATCATTGGCAGCGGTGTCAGTTAAATCTGACTCGGCACCAGCGAGGTTGTCCAGTCCAGCTGCTGCGCTGGCCACACCAGCCGGCTCCTCCTCACCGCCCGGCGCGCTCTCTGGGGAGTGTTCCGCAGGCACAGAGGGCGGCTGCGGTGCTGCTGCCTTGTCGAGTGAGAGCAGGAAGTCCAGCTCTTCATCCAGCACGTCTGGCACGACCTCCACGTTCGCCAAAACGCTCCTTCCAACGCCACCACCATCTGGCTCCTTTGGAGTTGAAGGGCCTCTGCTCTTTGCCTCGGTGACTAAATGCAGGCTAGCGGAGTCCGTTTGGTGTGCGTCTGTGCCGGACCCTGACGTGTCTCGTGAGTGAATGTTGGTAGTAGTGGCAGGGGAAACAATCTTGGAGGCAATGAGAGTGGTGGTGGTGGTAGAGGCGGCGGCGGCGGCGGTGGTGGTGGTGGCAGGGCTGGGAGCAGTGAAGGCCAGCTTGTGAACCGTAGGTTGCTTAAAGTCTAGTTTAGGCACTGACCATGTTGGAACTTTCCCAATATCCTTGGGGATCACATCCTGCAAGAAAGGCCATGATTTAGTATTAGTTGCAATGAGGTACACTTTATAGTTTCATTGAAAAATCATTACGAAATCTCAGGACTCTTTTTAGTTGTTTGGACCATTCTCGATCAGCAATATGCAATCCTCTGGTTTGTAGAGGAAATCAAAGTATCTGGAGAAACCCCCATGTATAACAGGAGATAACAGCGCGTAAGAAAATGCAGATCGGCAAAAGACTTGCTGTACTGGCCACCTCGTAGCCTTGCAATGAGGCTTTTGTATTCAATTAAATCTGTGCAGAGCATCATGACCTGTTACGATAGCACTATGTTACAGGAATGTGCTACCACCAATACAGGTAACGTTGGTGAAAACAACAACACGTGTGTAATCATGGATGAATGTCTCGATACTCAAACACTTCAACTTAAAAGCCATCAGGAGAGGTGTCGCACTATTGATGCTTGACCTGGACAACATTATGTAAATACTCATCTTCATTGCCGTACAAATGAAGCCACATAAAATGCAAAACTCTTACAGTTTTATGCTTTGTTGATGTACGAACCAATAAAAAAAGCAGAGCAAATGCATATAAAATGGGAGCCTTTATGGTCAGCAGCTCGGCTAATAAAAGATAACAGCCAATCCTTGAGCACCAGGATTATCTCCGGTTCGATGTTGAGTCTCAAGTGACGCGGTAGTCCATGAAGAGCCAGGGCAATGGCCTCGCAGTCAATGGAGAGAGCGTCCATCTGGAAGGGAACGTTACACAGCATTAGGTCGTGCTACCTTAACTTTCAATTATTTTGAAAAATCCTTCAACTACTTTACAATTGTGCTGGTGGCATCAGATGAAAGCGACGGAACGATTGACAAGATACTGGGTAAGAGAACGGCCTAGAATGAAAACATCAGTTAACTACTTCCGGCATTACCTCAACTGGTTTCCTCCACAGAACACCAGATGACGCTCCCTTACGTGTCCTGCACGGAATGGCCCATGGCAATTAAAGCGAATCTTAGTGCAGGTTTTTTTCCAGGTTGGGCCGCATGGTTCAAGATTTCTTCTCTCAAAGCTGTCATCACGCACACACTGCCGTGGGCATCGAGCCGGGCGGTGGTCGCGCACGCCAGTAATTCAGCACTGTGGAGGTTCACACGAATGTGTGCAAAAAACTCTTCCTGTAGGCTTTGAGGTGCTGTCCTCTGGCTTGCCAAGTCAAGGCAGTAACAGCAAATGTGGTCTCCATCTGTTCCATCTGCATGGGATATAGTTTAACCCACTTGCATGCGTGGGTTGTCTCCAGGTACTCTCGTTTCCTCGCATGTAAATGCTCATTAATTGGCCGATAACACCTTAATATATAGAGGACAGCAGAGCCTGGGGGATAATTTGGTGCCAGCTCACCACATGGCTGTATTTCCCATTTGTCTGTGGTTCTTGGCGCCTGCGAGTCATTCTCTTTCTATGAGAGTGAGCAAATACTTTACAGCATCTTGCAAGTTGAAATAATTCTTATCTTCACGAGTTGAATAGCGTTTTATCAAATCTTCTGTGTCTTGAGAGGTATTGTATGCCAATTTAAGCAATAAACTAAATCATTATTATGTTGTTTTTGTACAATGATTGGAGACCACGTGGAAAACCTGCAGCTTACTCTACTTGAGAACCTGGCTTCGTTGCATGTGGCTAGAGCCCAGATTCCAAGCCATATTCTAACTCTTTGAGGACTAATTATGCCTTGCGATGAACACTTTTTTTTTACGGAGGTAAAAGTGCTCCGTCTAATGCTGAAAAAGAGTTCGACTGGAGTGACTCCAAAAGTGCTGTCATCATCCGGAGGCCGTTCTCTCCCACGTCGTGATGCCGTCCTCGCTGTGAATGCTCCAAATGGAAATGTTTACATTTCGTTGCACGATGCCAAGAGGACGGCTGCAATATAACGTGACAAAATAATACGCAGAGGGCACATTGCGGAGTCAAAAGGCAAGTGGCCGCCAATGTATACCATACACCAATAAGTTTTCACAGATATTTTCCAGTATTTTTTTTGTTTCCAGTTGAGTATCACCTGGATGACCTCAAGGCAAGGAATGTGTTAAGCCCCCAATGCACTGTGAAAGCATTTTTTGACTTAACATCTGCAATTTACCATTCAACCAATTCCCCATCCAATTTCCACTGAAGTCTGCATCTTAGGTGCCCTTATCTCCTCCACGAGGCTCCATAGCAAGACGGTCTGGGAAGTATAAATGAAATATACCGAGCCCTCTGCTTTGTCTGCCACTGCCATTCTAAACGAAAATGTCAAGCAGATTTCATAAACGTGACCTACCCCCCTTCCATAAAAAAACATGCCAAGCCTCAATATTCTCAAGACATTTCTCAAAGGCAAGTGATTGAAACAGTATGTTTGGCGCACTTAAACAATTCACGTCTAATTTACTTACCAAGGGAGTAATTGCCCTGTAAATTTATGGACCCAGCTAATTATTTACACAAATTAGTACATTAGAACAGTGTGCAGTCCAACTCAGTGGTATTTCGTTTCAGAGGAACAAGATGGCAAAATACCCTGTGGATATGTATGCGGGGATCTGTCAGCTTGTGATATTAATTTCCTTTTATACATTACACATGTAAAGTCGCAAATACAACATCTATGCTGCATAATGTGTACTCTGGGGCTGTACTATGGGGGTACTGGTGGGCATTGCTCTGTCAAAAACTTAGATGCTGCCCACTAAATCATTAAACTTTCTTCCCCTTACTATCCCAGCAAAATTAAATGCATTTAAGCAGGTAATTGGCTCGGGGTGGCTGGGTGATCAATGGACGGTTACACCAACCACTGAACCGTTTGCACAATTGATGGCAAGTTCAATTTCCACTTCCACCTGATAATTTATTTGAGTCATCAATACCAAGTTAACTGTTTGCTGTACAACCTATGAACAATTGGAGACCCATTATTGCGCTGGTCTCATAGCACATGCCGCACAGCTCTTGCAAAAGGTGATGTGTTGCTAGGGTATCTCGCCTGGTTAGGGGGAGAATTGGGTTGATGTGACACGGGGTTGGTGCCGGAGGCTGGATGCTGCTACGCACTGTCTCGGTGTCTGCTCCCATGTTCGACTTGACTAAATTATTGCCTGCTAATCACAGTCGCCTGTGTTTTCATACCCTCAATGCACTTTGCGTAATTCAGAGAAACACAGTGATTGCACACTTGGCTGATTTCAGTTTTCAAATTACATTATGGGCATATCTGAGATATACTCCCATTGCAGAATTTAAAGCAAATCGACTAAATAGTGATAATTAAATTCTTTAATTACCTGGGTAAAGGCAACATTTTGTGAAATTTACCTCTCTAAGGATATCAATTGGTTCTACTGATTGCTAATGCGTTTCTTTTTTCCTCTACAACACAAAAAGGTGAAAACACAAAGACCTAATTTTCATGGTACAGTAATTCATCAGCTTTACCTCCTCGACAATTGGCACTCTAGAGTGCTCAACTCGTACCCAGACGGCTGTGAATTCAAATCCCAGTCACGGTTATAACCATACCATTTTCTCTGCAAGGTCATAAAAAAAAAGTATCACTTTTGTGGATGTCAACATTGGTTGGCCCCATTAAGAGGCTGGCGCCTACCGATGCACGTCAGTGTGAGGACACGCCTTGGACTTAGATTGCGCTAAATGGCCGGCGTTACCAAATTTGTGCCAGATTGACAGTAAAGCAAAATCAAAACTGTGCCATCGAACTGCAATGGAGGCAGCGAATTTGGCTGTAACGGTTCCGCCTGAAGACGGAAGCTTGTGTTGCCTCCGAAACGTCGTGATGTAATTTAGTTGTTTTTTCATTTATTGATTTTTTACCTACGTGACTTAACCGAAAAAAAACAAAGAGCAGCGAGCACAGTGCAAAAACACGTATGCATGCATGCACGCTGAACGTATTTCGCACCGTACATAGCCAACTGTGCTAATCGGAGGTGCCGGCGAAGGACAACGAGCGAAAAACACGATCACCAATAGAAGACGGATGGCGGCCATGCCCACTACGCTGGCTGGCTGCGGACGTGCGACAAGCGAGAGGAGTGAGGACCTGCCCGCGAAACAAACCTGGCGCCGCTCCAGCGATTCTGCCTCCCACTCCCTCTCATCGGTGAAGCGGAACTGGGCAAAGGAATCGCCTGCACGGGAGGGGGGGGAAGAAATGAGGGGGGGGGGGGCACAGGGTCCAGACTCGGCATCAGCGACAGCCCATGGCAACGCAAACACAGACGGGAAAGGAAACGCCAACAGAGCGCGGGCGGCTTCATTTCAAACACTTGTTCATCCTCCCAATTAAGATTTTCTTTCATTAAATAAATACATACGTACATATATACTGCAGCCTCGAATTCCATAGCAGACGGTATGTTGATCGATGCCTTTCATGTGACGAATGCCCACAAGAGGTGGGATGTAAGCCTTTGCCGTGAGACTGTGACTCTGCAGGTGGCCCAGAGATGGCAGTCGAGTAAATGGGGTTGGGACGTATATTTCTGTTTTTTTCAGTGTTTTATACTCAAACGCCGAGGTTTTCTCTATGCACTTTAATTCTGACATGCAAAACACTTGAAAAAATGTGTCCGAATATCCCAATGCATAACCACCCTCTTGACAAAGAGTCCATCCAGGCTTGCCTGGATAAAGGACATCATTATTCTTCTTCTTGGTTCTTTCGGTAAAGTCACGTAGAAGGGAAATAGTAAAATAATAAAAATAAAACATTATAAAATAATTCTCACGACGTTTCGGCCACAATGCAAGCAGCCGTCCTCAGGTGAAGAACAGGTCTGTCGGAAAGACAGCGTCTGAAGACCTGTTCTTCACCTGAGGATGGCTGCTTGCGTTGTGGCCGAAACGTCGTGAGAATTATTTTATTATTTTATTATTTCCCTTCTACGGGACTTTACCGAAAGAACCAAGAAGATGAATCCCTGCAATCACGAAAGCTTTAAATCGACATCATTATTATTAAGAAAACCCAACGTGAGCCATCAACAACTCTGTCAATGAACACTGCTTTACCGTAGCTATGTTGGGAACATTTTTTACAATTTAATTTTAGTTTAACACGTGGGATGTAACTAAGGCACCCAATGGCTTGTATTTCATAATAATATTACAGGGTATTGAACGTCTACAAAAGGCAATGCAACGGTAATGGACCACACATTTCACCAGTCATCTTAGGATTTAAAAGCAGCATTCCATTGTATAATGCATATTAGGCTGCAGTGACACAGCATTTGTATTCGTCTGCCTCATTATGTCCACGGGTCATTTGCTAGGGGGAAATAGGCGTGCCTCAAAATAAACAACAATAAACAAAGTAAATGTAAATTTCTGACAGCAGGCTCCCTCGATTCAATAAACATGTCTGGTACTACCAGCTCACCGTTTTATAAATACTCGAGATCCAAAAAAATCTGGTAAACACACACACACATGCAAACACGTTTGTGCATGCATACATACATGCGTACACACGCACAAGAGCAGCAACAGCTACCATGAGTAAACAGTGGCAGTAATTAGCACCGGTTGATTATGTACGGTGCAAAAGAAGTTCATACATACGACACTCGTGCCGGATTAAGTGCACTCTGGCTCGTCATGTAGAGTGGGGGAAGGCCCCCTCGACTGGACGGCAGGGGAGACTCCGGTGTTATTGGTTTGCAAGCCAAAAGTGGCTAATAATTGTACACGTCTTGCAGTCAAAAATCAATGGTAGAGGGCTTCATATGAGACTGCAAATGAGCCCGTTGTGTTTCTGGGGCAAAGTGTTCTTGAGAGTTCATTACACAAGCGAGTACATAGATATATAAATATCCAAACCAATCTCTTAAAGGCACCAGGGCGAATTTAGTACAGCATGACCGCGCCAAAAAAAACGTTTGAGAATTATTACAGAACAGACTAAAACCATTTGAATGTACAAACCACTTGGGCAAGATTTGTTGTTGAGCACCTAAGCGGTGCTGTGGCGCAGCATCAAGCAAAGCTGAGCCATCGTTGTCTCTTGAGTGCTAAATTTTCCCGTACCATACCAGAAACATTTTAAGCTGAACTAACGTAGGGGAGGATCCAGCCTATTTATAAACTACTTGCCACTGAGCATTTTCTAGAAATGAACCCTGCTCACCAAGTTGTATAGAGCGGTGTGCGAATCGCCACGACCATAACAAAATCTACCTACACGCGCGGCAGAAATTCCTTCATTTCAGCCAAAGATTCCAATCAAAGACTGAACTTTGCGGAGGCTCAAATCTGCATGAAGTCACAACCCTAACACGTGCCTCCTCTGTGTAGCCCAGCATAATGCAATTACGCAATCCTGCTTCACAAATGTTTCATTCCTGGGGACGATTAAAAAAGAACATTTTTTTCAAAGTTCAACTATGCTTACATAAGCCATGTAGGCAGGAAACATCAACCAACTTGGCTGGCACATGTCCATTTGCACTCAAACGATAAATATCCCTGTTTGTATTTAAATGACCCCTCCCTTTGACGTCCTGTCGTCCCCCAGCACATTCCTCCTCGGTGCCAAGATATATCCACAGCTCTCTTGACGTGCACTAAACTAAACTGTACGATATCACTGACGCCAAGAGAAATACAAGGCAGCGGCCAATCTTAACAGTCAATAACCAAATTAATTAGAATATATGAATGAGAAAGAAAGATTGCATTTTAACGAGCAACTGGACGCACCGTGCTGAATTAAGAATGGCTCAAGGCACGCTGTGTTGCTCTGTAACGCTCAGAAACGCTTTGGTCAAGATACTTGGCAAAGTCTGGACATTGTGCTGACAACGGGCATCAACTTTGGCTCTAATGATGGCATAAAATGTGTTCAACAACGGTGGCCAGTGCACGCTCGGAAAAGCAACCATCCAGTGTGCGGAGCGTGCGTGTTTAATTTGAGCTGTCCTGCACGTACGGTTGACCGCGAAAAGCATGAAACGTATAAACGTTGCTGCCGTTGTTTTTGCAAGCTCTTCTCATTTGCTGTTACTGTTAGAACAACTGTCACGCTAACAAGGGCCATGCAAGTCATATGCACAGCTGAACTGTGCAGCCCGATTGGTTGCAGGCGAGATCTATTGAAGGGAGATTGGTAGAGGGTGCATGATATATTTTGCTCTTCATTGTGATGTGTGACCCAGCTGTCCTGTGAAGTCTGACAGTAGAGTTAAAATGCTTCCTTGTGTCTCGTTCCTGATAATGTATAATGGGGATAGAAATGTAAATAAAATCAATTATATGACTACACACGGTATATAACAGGAACAAGGAGACGAAGCTATAGAGCAGTGTCTCTGCGATTTTCATACTGCACTATGAATCTGGGCATCTCAAGGTCAATTCCCGGTGACGGCTAACATCGTCGGCAAGTGACACCTTAACCATCTTTCACAAATCCACATTGACCAGCATGGTAAAGTAAGGTCAAGCAACCCCCATAACATGGCATGGGTAGGCTTTTTTTATCAGGAGTGGATTGGGAAAAGTTGTGAATTCAAATCATTATTTTAATTTGATAAGGAAGAAAATAACTGGCGAGCACAAAAATAATCATCGTAATGAACTTGCACGATGGTTTATTCAAATTATTTCTTTAAAGCCCCACACACAGCTGCGAACTTGCTTGGCAAATTGAAGTTTAACGATATTGTGAGAGCAAATACAGAGTTTTCCAATGATAGAGACCCCAATGATTTCTAATGATCCCCTTACTTTACACTGAACAGGTGGATATTGTGAAATCGATGGCTCCATATCTCATGGAGGAGAGTGTTCAAAAAATATTTAATACTTGTATTGAGATTGGTGGGAGTCATGTACAAGCTTTGAATTTTAATGTTGTTCTGGCTCTAATTTCTCCGCATTATCTTCGTGGAGTATATATGTCAACGGATCGCAGTAGAAACGGGACAAACAATAACCTGTTGTTCTATTGGTGGGCACGTACATTTAAGTGTTCGTTGAAGCTGGCTGTGTGGCTCATGTCGTGTGAGGGCACTGAACCGGCACTGCTCGGAGTCTGGGTTTGAATCCAGTCAGCTGCCTGTGATCACACAGGGTTATCAAGTAGAGCGTGTTAACGGTGGTCTCAGCCCAGGCCTGTGCAATGACTGCCCAAAAATCCATATTGTAAAAAATGTGGTGTCACTTAAGTCAGCTTTTTGCCACTACTGCATGAGAATTATACATTTTCAACTTGACATTTAGCATTACCTTAATGGTGATATAGAAGGTGTGCCTCTACTGTGGCTACAAATGCCTGCTGCTAAAGGGACTTCAGCAGTAGATTTGAATGTTATAAAGGGAGGTTTCACGTCTCGTGACGGGATAGGATGTTTATGTTTTTTTATCTAATTTTTGTTTTATTGCTTACAAATATAGAGATATACATGTCTATGCTCTATATTGGTGTTAAATGTGAAGTCATTTTGGGCTACTATTTATTTCTCTTAATCTTTTAAAAATTCAGCCTTTGATTTGTGAGAGCTTGGATGACTGCATCTACAGAGTCTCGGTGATAATGTATGACTCATTGTGCAATATTAATGTTTCTGTCTCTGCTTTGTTGATGCTGTGCTCACACAGCACCACAAATTTCCCATCTAATATAGCCGGGCAACTGGCTAAACAGCATAATCCGTGTAACAAATCAAATAAATATTGACTTAAAGCTTTCGTGACTGCAGGAATTCATATTCTTGGGTCTATCTTCTTGGTTATTTCGGTAAAGTCACGTAGAAGGGAAATAATAAAATAAAATAAAGTAAACATAATAAAATAAAATTCTCACGAATTGGTGTTTAATATGAAGTCAAGACATTTCAGACAGCTGTCTTCACCTGCGGATGGCTGCTTGTGTTGTGGCCGAAACGTCGTGAGAATTTTATTTTATTGTTTTATTTTTATTTTTTTATTATTTCCCTTCTACGTGACTTTACCGAAAGAATCAAGAAGATGAATCCCTGCAGTCACGAAAGCTTTAAATCGAAAAATTATTGGGTCTTTCGGTAAAGTCACATGGATAGGTTCAAAGACTTTACCGAAAGACCCAAGAATATGAAATCAAATAAACTTAAACATATTTTATGTTCAAAAGTAATTTCCAAAATGTGAC